TTATGATCCAGCCAAACATCCAGCCAAACCAAACCCCGGAGGGATATTTGGTCGGCATTCTCCTAGAAATTCTACAAACCTGCACATTGTTCGGTTTCTTCTTTGGTGAAATGTTCTCTTCATATCCGCCGAATCTGCTGTGTATTTGATCTACTCATTGGGGTCCCAGCTCATCAATGATTAGGTCTCTCCAACAGTTCATTTATTATCTTGTTAGGGATCTAACCAACCCCTCAGCAACCCTCTTGGCTAGTAGTAAGTGCTTCGTTTTATGGGAGTGAGGCTATATGTACATTATACGTACTTATGTAACGTATATGTACATACATTCCAGCCCTGTAATTCGTTAAGTAATGTTTGTTTGACATAATCCAAATTTCGATAATTCGTACCTGTTTTTCATAGGATACGATCACTTGAAAATGTACTAAATAGATTTTGTAATCATCGATCTTAATTAAGTACATTGATGTTGAGAAATTTAAATAAATGCGTTATGCACTGCCTGCTGCCCCACTTTTCTGAATTTCCTATGAGAAGGAGAATATGGTGATACAAATTGTCTAGTAATATGATACACATAATCCATATATGTGTATCAAGTATCCGCCTTCGGAATTCAGAACTATACATCTGTTACAGCACATGTAGTTAGTGTTCACGCTGTAACCCTGTTATTACGGCTGATAAACTTTAGCGAATATGGAAAATACTAGTCATTCATCCTTTTGTTCGAATTATGAAAACATTTGCCTCTTTTTGCCAATTTACAACCTCACAACCTCTGCATTTATGAGACGGAGAAATCGGTTCTACAAGTCAACTATGGTTTACACAAATTTATGAGAAAAACCATTAGCTTAAAAGACTGAAAATAATGAACCATGAAATTTGAATTATGTGATCAGACTTTTAAAGCCCGACAAGTATGAAGAGCGAGTTGAAGGGGACAAAGACGAACTTTTCGATGGAGAGGCAACGGGGAGCGGGTGGAATATTGGACTCATCTCCTTTTGCATTGCAGTAGCTAAATTATCATCGAACCGGCCCACTCGTGCCCATTACGCTTTCCCCTCGTATAGATTTGCCATGAAATGAAATGAATGGCCAACGACAGACCACACAACCATAAAACTGAAAACATGGTCAGACGAGATATAGCCAACGAGGGGTTGATGGAGTACTTATACATCTTTGCCAAGGTGAAAGCAGAAGAGCATACCACAAATTCAAACAGGCTTCGGCACCACTATTGGTACTCATATTAGGCATGGCACGACATGCAAGTCTTCTTGACCAGGAACCGCATGCCACTTTTAATGATGCATGAAAAAGTATACTAATTTTGGAAGAGAGCTGGGTTTTATAATGCGAAGGGGCTTTTCAGGTTTTCTGCCAAGCCATAAATTTTTGCTGATTTTTTAAGTCGGTACAAAACCAACTGGTCTGTCGTAAGGATAATAAATTGTACCATTGACGACAGTCATCTCCCTCCTCCACCAGCATAGCTTAGCTAAAGTGCTTACTTATTCAACTAGAAACAAATTTACAAAGTCAATTTCGACAAATTGAAGAGAACCTCTTTCATTCTAGTAGAATAGACCCTTAATTTTTGAAACCTAAACTTTGGCAAAAATAATACAAAAATTTGCATGCAAACAAAAATACATTCGAAATTTTAGCAACTCTTACTTTAAAACTCACAACTTTCTTTTTCGGAATTGCAAATATTATTTACATGAACACAAGCATGATTTTAACTATGATTCTTTAAAAAATGTAGACCCGGCGCGGCGAAAAATATACATGACGGAAAATATTATTATACGTACATATATGCAGGCTTATCCTCTCCATAAGAGATAAGTACATGTACTCACGTGTCATAAATACTTCAGGCGAAGTTTCACCGTGTGTAAAGCACATAAGGTTTTTTCCTCCTCTCCCTGCACCCTGAAGGCTTATCCCACTTTGTGAAAGCTCTGTCCTAGGTACGAAGTATACATTATACATGTGTACACATACCATTGTAGTGCTTACAATCAATAGCACAAATATTTTAGCGTATATGATGAGTATATTTGAGCATTTTAATTGACACCATTAGATTGCATGAAATTGGACATAAATTGCGGACGTGCGACTTGTGCAGTAATGTGTCATTTTATGCACAATAATATATAATATTACATAGTTAGTAATTAATTTATGGAAGCAATGAATGAAGATCGACGGAAGTAAAGACAAATAAATAATTGCAAATAGTTATAATCGAAATGATGACCTTAATAATTAAATACAAAAAACAATTACATATGTACATATCTGTATGTATACGGATAGATGTGTGTATGTATGTGTTATGTAAGTGTTGTCGCTGTGGGTTATGGTTAATGTCAAGTGTAGCGATTGTGGTTACTTCATCCAATCCTAAGTAGTTCAACTCGTAGTCAGATCACTTTACTTGTGATGACTTGTAACTTGGTTGTTAATTTATGTGTATGGAGCTCCATATCATTATCTGCAGAAAACTGGACTCAAAATATCGGATAGTACGTACATATGTAGCAGGTTCTGGGTAGTTCGAACTTTAGTAAATGACTGGACAGACTTTAGATGACAGAGTGAATGTTCATCTCCTCTGAAAAGTTCTCAGCAGTTAGAGGATGACTTTATGAGAACATTGTCGCGAATTCAGGGGTTTCATGTAACTTTTTGCTCCAATGAGGATTTCCAGTGGACCATGATGATACTATTCAAAAAGTACAGTCTCTTATGCCACTTGTTCCGACCATCGTTGGCATCAACCGTCCTAAGGCTTTCACACCCCCATAACTTTCACGTTGCGTGGTCGGTTATGTGGGTTGGTTACCCGAGTCGAGGTAATTCCCTAAAGGGTTAATGCTGTCATTGACACGATTCTTACTCCTGGGTAATAAAGACCATCACTTCCACTCAGAATTTGGAGCTTCCATCTTCTTCAAGAGAATACAATAGGATAATATGAATCATGTGTCGCTTATACAACATGTCACCGCTGGACTGGAGCTTATCATACTATCCATTCAACGGTACGGGTAACAGAAATGCAATTATTGTGTACTAAATATGCATACTTGGAAAATAAACATTTATATGAACAATTGTTTATTTAACACACATATGTCTTGATCATATGAAAGTGAAAATTTCCAATTAAGTATACCAAGCAATCGAGCATCGTAATTATTAATGTAGTAAGTACTGGACTAACAAATATACTATCCAATGGATAGTATCCATCACTATCTCTACATATACAGTGATATTTATATGCGTGTAAGAGTGTGCTGATTGCCGATAGGGCAAAATTATTGTTTCCTTCCTATTTAACTTGGGATTGCTCTTTTCTACGTTTTCTGTACCTTCTTGCTCTTGCAACCTTGACCATAAGTAATAAAGGGGAGGGTGATGCACTCCCTCTCCTTCAAGTTTTGTATTCCCAGGCGAATCCTACAATTCATTATTGTCTCCTGCTAATACACCGCAAATGAACTTGAACAAGATGATCTGTATTCCTCACATGCAGACGTATGAAATAAGACGCATGGCTGCACGTAGGAAGAGAAAGCAGGAGGAAAGGTCGGTCGGATAGAGAAGTTTTTGGTGATGGGGCGGTGGGATGATATCTGCTCCTTTCTGAGAGTAAAATATGGTGAGAATCGGTGTTGGTGGGATGGGAAGGAAGGAAGTTGCTGGAAAGGTCCCTTCGTCTTCGTCTCTATCTCTTTGACATTGAGAAATGACCTCGACTCAACACTCAAATCCTTAAGACTGATTATACACTGCTGCCCTGTGGTGCCTCGTCCGTCCCTGATTCCCTTCGCCATCAAAATCTAAACCAATCTCATAAACCCCGTCAGGAAATCCACTCGCGTCACAAAACCACAACCAAACCCTTTGATCCTAACGTGAATCGAGTCAAAATGTGCACTTTTGTCAATTGAACGTCATAGACTATAGTCGCAGTATTTCACATGCATATTTGTTCACTTACTAGACACGTATCTTTATTTTATGATGCAATCAAGTACCTGCATGCTTAGTTTTCATCTTTACCAGTTTCAAAGACGTCATTCATGACCTCTACCAAGTCCATTATTGTTGAATCAGTTTATTGTTAACTAAGGACAAATTCTAAGAAGAAGCGATGTCATGGAATGAGAAGACTATCACCTGAGACACCTTTCATGTAAATGGTGATATTTACATCTAGATTACATACCTACTTATATGAAGATAGGAAAGAATAAAATTAGCTCATTTGAATCTTGCAATTTGAAATACCAATTGTGTAATTTGAGCTCATGCTTCATAGATCTGTCCATATATGTACATAGGCATGTGTAAGTTTAAAGTGCAGCACATGTAAGGCCCACAATTATCACCTTTTAACCGTTTTCTTCAGTTCCGTATTTATATTTATTTACCGAACCTAACGTTGGCATATATTTATGACCATATTAATTGTTAGTTTCTTACAGAATTTAGAGTCCAAGGGATGAGGGGTACAGCTTGCCTCTTAAGATTAGTATATGTATATAAGCAAATGCGATTGCATATATTCATTTAGTCACCAAGTTTATCCTTTTAGCTATGTATGTAAATACTCTACCCTTATGCAAAAGTAGTTATGTGAAGCTGTTCTTCGTGTCAGTGCTGACTTGTTCTAGGAAAGAAAGGGTTGCAATGGAGATTCAACAAAATGGGAATGATTGCCTTTCAAATCCTTGAACCTGACCTGAGAGGTCAACTTATTTCGTACTACAAAGTTCCTTGCGGAAATAAATTTCCTTCCTTATTGGATTGGATTGAGTATCCACTTAACTTGCAACCAATGATGATATTTATGCTAAGCTTGCCACTTAATCCTTTCTGAAAATGAGGGAGAATGTCATCTCCATCTTACATTTTAGGATGTCGCCTATGCTTTCCAGATTTGAGTAAGCACTATATAAATGGCTTTTCACTTTGGAGAATTTGATCAGTTTCAGTTAAACCATCAATTCGTCAATTTAGTATCAAATTAAAAGTCTTGACTCGTTATTACATAACTTCAGTGATATCCAATTACGAGTCATATTAAACTTTTCGAAATAGATTTTCACATTACTCGTTAGGGGATCTTTTAAAATTTTAGCAAAGGTAAAATACGTCAAATATGTAAAATATTATTAGGCTGAATTCTATTATCACGTCTGAAATATATAATATTTAGCGATCGATCAAAACAAAAATGTCTTCTTTCCATTTTTTTTCAAATCAATATTTTGCATGGTTGTAGGCAGTCACAAGTAATCCAAGTGGCTTCGGCGAATTTTAGTGCACAATTGGCCACAGCAGAAATCTTGCTGAAAAGATGGGCAAAACGGAAACAATCGTGCGACTTCTTTCAGCCTTCGCAATCCTTCAGCAGGTCCAACTTTCATTAACTTTGGCTCTGAACGAGGATGTGGCTTCCGCGAGTAATCATGGGACGACCACTGAAGATAAACTTGGAAAAGTAAGTTCATCCAAGTTGAACTTGTATATCTGTGGTGCTCATATATATTACATGGTCATACGTACATATGCGTATCACCCAGTCTTGAGCCAATTCCGGTCCAGTTAAAAGATGTTCGAAACAAGGTTGTATCCGCTGAAAGTATTGAAGTAGTTGGAAATGTCAGAGGGTATGCAAATTTAAGTACTTTAAGTACTGCAATGACTTGATAGATGGACTATTAGCAAAATGTACTTAAATGATTAAGTATAAATATAAGCCAATAAGATTACAACAATCATTGCTATTCTTTGATCGTGCATTTTTACTGACATTCAAATCAATAGGTGGTGAAAGATCCTGAACTTGGATCCGAACCCTCGGAGGAAGGCCGTCATTTTATAACTCGTCAGACCTTCTCAGACACAATGGAAAAAATAAAGGTTTAACTCATGCATAAATATATTAAATTGTATTTAAATATTAAACAACGAAATACTTTTACAGTGCACTTTTATCGACTGTCCTGCATCCCCCAATGAGGAATCATCGTCGCCATCACCTCCAACTCATGAAATTGATGAAACTCATAATTCAACTACTGTGAAAACTACGACTTCTCTTGTGACCAGTACCCCCCATCCTCAGAGTAATGGTTCAGAGGTTACTACTGCAAAACCCACAAATTAAATGCAATTTCAATGCTCTCATGTTCCGCACATCCCACATGCACAGAATACTGATACACATACATAAATAGTACACATGTATTTATGTATGGTTAGTAATAAACGTCATAAAGAAATAAACGTCTCAGGTCCGCTTATTATGCATAATTCACATAAAACGTGTGATTTAAATAATTACACAAAGAAAACTGTGTTCAATCGATGTTTTATGCACTTGTAAATAGCCAGTCGTGTAGCATCATGAACAAAGGTTTTGTCATCCACCATCACCTTGTGTACTAAACGAGGGAAAACTCTAATGCACACTGTAGTCGGTGGTGAAAGCACAATAAACCGACTTGTTCAATACTATCGAGTTGAAAAATAATAATTCTACTTTCTAGTTGATTCAATCGATAAAAATTTAGTGCTTACGTGTGTAACAGAACGCATCGATCCTCTCAAGTCGAATTATTCAGGCAAAGCTCTTGCTCCTGTTCTGGTACTTTCGCCATTAATTCTCACTTTATTAATTATGCTCATCTTTCTTTCTTCTTGTAAAAATAATACTGATAATCTAATTACAGCCTCTCAAATATCATACATTGTTCAAAATGCTAGATGATGATTTGGAAGAAGGGGAAATAAGTTCGGATGGAGACAAGGACGAGGTATTAAGAAGTTATTCACACACAACTGACCATATTAATAATAATATAATAAATTTTTATAAACGCTGGTTATTATCTGTAGCTGTCGGTTGATTATGAAGTGCTTCAACGACCTGTTAAGGGTGCGGAGTCAATACTAGGTACCCAAGTTGTTCATAATAAGTTGCCTGCTGGATCTTCACGGACCATGGGGATCGACCCCGTCTATCAAAGCGTTTCAAGGCCTATTCGGCCTGCACCAGTTCTTCAGAAACTTCCGGATGACGACGATGATGGACTGTATGACGACAAAAGCAGCTCCTCCTCCGAAGACAGCGATGATGAGTACGGACCTTCCGGAAGAAAATGTAGAAGAATGCCTATGCCTGTGGGTGGAGGGTCATCTTCTAGAATAATAACCGACCCTAATAATGTGGCGTCTTCTTCAGCTAATAGTTTACCGTTGTTGGCTGGGAATATTAGTTGTGACACACCAATGGATATCCCCAGCAGCAACGACGCCTTCAAAAATCATGCCGCAACATTTCAACAGAAACGCAAGCCAAACAATATCTGGTCCTCGGTGTTGCAAGAAGAAGAAGCCACCGGTAGGTTTTATTCAATGTATTTTAACACGAGCTTTCACAAAAAACAGAGATTAATGAATTAGATTTATTAGACATCTTGGGAAAGGTTAACGTGGAGGAGTATGATGACCAACATGTTCTTATTGATCGTGGACCGGAAACGTTTTCTGTCAAGTATAAAAATCGTCCCCCAGTTCGCCAAAGATCGGATAGTAGCAGTGTATCCAGTGGAGGTTTAACGGATGATGAATTGGAATACTTGCGAGGAACGTCGTTTAAGGAGCAAAAGGAATCTGTAGTAATGGATGAAGGGGTCGAAGATGATGGCGAAGGATTTGTCGAACAGTTTGGGCGCAGGCCGGTGAAACGGCGATATAATACCAAGGTTAACACTAATAATGCTATAATACCATCATTTTCTTTTTAAATTTTAACCACCTTTACTGTTAAATATTTTGTATAGCTTCGGCGTCAAAGGAAAAAGAGAAAGAACAAGTTGGTTAATAAAATGAAGAAAATGGGTCCTGCTGAACTGGGTTATTATATTGCTAAGAAATTAGATGAAGCGAAACATAATTTGATAAGTAAGATAAAAATTAATAATTGCAATGTCATGATTGTCGTTCATCATGCATCGTTGTATGTATTTATTTCAGTTAACTCGATTGAGCTAATTGGGAAGGAGGCAGTAATCGCTTTATTTCTTAAAACCACTAAGATAGAACGCCTTGGTGGTCTGATGGTTATGGTACGTATTATGGCAATACGTATATAAATTATTAGTAATTACTGTACAACAGTAATTTTAATTGATGGAACGATCCTTTCAGAATCAGCAACGAAGACGAACTGCCGGTGGAGTATTTTTTTACCTGCTTCGTGGTGATCCTAAATTTCCCAAAAAAATTGTTGATAAAATATTTGCTGTCGATGTACAAAACCAGCGAGTTGGTAAAAAACGGGCTCATAAAGAAAAACGCTTGAAGACAATGGAAAAGTTGGAAGAGAAGTTAGTTGAGGAGCATCAAAAATTAATAGAACAAGGTTTGTTGGTTGTCATTAAATCATACAAATTTTGCAATAAAAACTTACTATTCTTCAATAAGGTGTAAAAGAGTCAACCCACCAAAACCTAGTAGATGTCAACGAGTCCAGCCTATCGGAGGGTGAGGATGACGATGTGGATAGTGATGAATTTTTTGCTACAGATCAAGCACCAACATATCCTCCTTCTGCTGCTGATATGCGTAGCACCATTGGGTATGATGATCAAGATTGTCTTGACATTCATTGTGATTCATCTGATCTTATGTAGCTCGACAAGGGTCCCAATTTCTTGTAGTAATTTTTTATATTCATCAGTTTATCATATATGTATAAGGTGCATTCAAAATATCTTAACTGGGAATAAATTTCCATATATTTTGTAGAAAAATCAACTTTATTGCGGTTATAGTTCATTCAACAAAGGAATGTGTTAATACTAATTCATAAACTGCAATTCTGAATTGCATTGATAATAATCATATCGATATTTACTCTTTTGATTATGATTGACAACACAAAATTCCAACTAGACTGGAACAGACTTAAAGCATAAAGGTATAATTAATAAACTGAGAAATAATAATAAGTTAATACACAAATAATGCTGACTAAATTTTACGCCTCCAATAAATATGTTTGGTAACATCACAGAACAATAAGATCAGATCAAATGCTTTAAACAATATAAAAATACGAGGACCTGAGAATGGCATGGACGCCACACTGGCGGTTTTTGACTCGACTATATAATCCACTAAATAATAATAATACGAAAATAATTTCATTTAATTGAACTTGTCCCTACGTACATCATCATTAATCTCAAAATTAAAGCATTATAAACTCATGTGGGTAATGTTGGAGACGCTGGAAATCGTATTATTTTTATCATACAGTTAAATCTAATGTGAAAAATTGTTACGCTAATATGCATTTTATTCTAATTGGTCTTCCAAGTTGTACCCTCCCGCATACACATGTGCTTTTTGTATGTATGTTTAATATCCATATTAAAAAATAACAATATTCTAATGGATTGTTGTTTGTCTGACACAACACATACGTAAAATTAAATCACAAAAAGAGCATACTACAAGTGCACATACAAAAAAAGGTGCAATTGGACATCAAATCTATAAACTATAACAATGACTGGTTGGTACCATCTCTGGCAACTTAAATACAGATAGTATCTATCGGTAAGTGACCTAATATAAATGGGTAAAATAAGCACACGACATACAAGTGTGGGAATGATGGTGATCTGAAACTCTGGATCTATTAGTTTAGTGTGTTTTTTATAGTTAGTTAGATAGAAGAGAGTTGGATGGGATTTTTCACAGACTAAGGAGGTCAAGAAGGGGGAGGGTAGGTCCCACCACAAACACATATCACATCACAATCTAACGGACACAGAGGAATCAGGTTCTTGCTGCGGACTGACCATTGTGATTCTAGGGGTTTTGGCAAGTGGAGGGAGAACGGCCGTAGTGGCACCGAAAGACGTCACACTGGACACAAGGCTTGCAACAGTGGACCCAGCAGTGTGATTATTGTTACTCTTGGCCTTAAAATTGTCAAACAAGCAGAATTGTTCACATAAATCAATCACAACATTTCACATAGGTATACGTATATGGAAATCTATAAGGGATAGATAATAGCACAGGCAGAAATAGCAAGCCGGTTTGGAGAACAAACTTATGCAACAGGCTTAATATGCAGATAGCTGAATCTACTCATCGGGGTTGTGGAAAGAGATGGGACCTTGCGCATAATTTTCCCAGACGTAATGAGAGGACCAAATCCTTCCTGGTGCGCAAAAGCGTAACTAGAACGGAGGGAACGTCTGCTTCTTCGAGCTGATGGGGTTCGAAATGCTTTGTCCTGTGCCTGGCGTGTTCTACAATAACCAATACGATGATGTAGTATATGAATTTTATTTTTTGGAAATGTTAAAAATCTTACTTGGCAGAAGAAACTCGTTGTTTTAGTCGAACCCGGTCAGATAATGTGGGATGAACATCATGAAAGTAGAATCGCCAAGCAAGAACTGGGATTATGAGAATCATTACTGTGAGTACTAGGGTAAACCAGAAACTTGCTTCTTGGAGAGCCTAAAACAATAAGAAATCAACGCTATAGAGAAGTTAAATGAAAGTTATGCTTTAACACATTTAACGAGTCCAATCAATACCTTTGTTAACGATCCCAAATATCTTCCTCGGATTGCAAAGTTGTAAATATAATGCAGTATAAAATAGAAAAGTATAGTTCCCCAAATGGCAATATGATTGAACACCGTCCAATAAGCAGTGTCTAAAGCCACCTATGTTAGATAATAAAACAAATTAGCAGAAATTTTAGCTAAATAAAAAACAAATAAACAACGTAAAATTGAAGTCGTCTAAATTTTGAGGACGATACTAACTGACGATATCCATTTGTGCATTAGAAATAATTTAAAATCGAATATAGCGGATAACCCAATGCCACAGTGAATTTAAAATTGATTCGTCTTGCGATTGACTTCCTTTTAATTATCTTTGATAATTTCTACGTAAACATGTTAGTTTTTAGAACAAATTAACTGTATCGCTACAATTTTTTAAAACTTACTTGTACTGTAGTAATCACGACTAGAATTGTGGAGACCGCACTCCCGAAAAGCCTGAAACAAAACCATAAGCACAATGTAATAAGTCCAACCCCGATTTCACTCGCTCCCACATCTTCCAAACTCTACGTTTTCATGACCTCAGTAATTTTTTGTCATAAATAAAACATGGATCGGTATGTAATTAAACTGAACCCCATCCCTTCTTTTGTCATGGGAAACAGCATCACCTACACTCCTCTGCCCTCACCTGCTGAACCATCCTTGAAATAAATCAAAGACTGATAAGGGCATCAGTTGAGTCAGGATCTAAAGCTCACTTCATCTTAAAACAAACGACCATGGAAAGCATTGACGCAAGAGACAGACACATCGTTTCCAAGAATATTCCTCCAAATTCACAGCGGAATAATTTATGCAAAAAAACGCTGGAGTTCGAGACGTTAGACCACAAAGCGGTTTCAGTAGCTCAAATGGTTTTAAACATTATAGCCGTCAATGGACTTTATTCCATCTAAATAATCAGTCATCAATCTAAATAGCTGAGAAGTCTAGCTATCTTGATAATGGATGGGATAGCATCATTTTTAATGACTTGTTTATGATGAGGAGCAAAACTGTTTTCGATAAAAAAACAACGGAATCTATATCTGTTCCAACTGACTGAGGTGGAATATATGGTGTCGATATGTAAGACTGTGGGGGTTGGAGAGAAGGAGAGACTAGCTTTGGATATTTATAAAATGAAAAAATTGGGCTTTCAGAAACAGATTTACGATAAACCTGTTATCTCTTGGGTCTAAAAATTTTCATCATAAAGTGGGATCAGATTTTGGCATTGTTGTATTTCTTTTAAAACTTACATGTGATCAGAAAGTCCTTGCCCATCAGCAGAGATCGCATGATGATAAGTACCTATGAAAAAAACACAATTTATAAACGTCTTATCCTTTATGTATATATCATATATACAATACATTAATTTTGTATTATAAAACAACCTATTATACAAATAACTTACCATAAGGAACCAAGAAAATGACACACGATGTGACGAATCCATGTAATGCAGATTTGAAGAACTCTTTTTTGTTAAACAATAAATTCAAGTGCCCTGAGAAATAAATAATCATGAATAATCATAATTATAAATAATAATATTGTGTTTACTATTACCAGGAGTATACAATTTTGGATATCTGATACAATAATCGTCATTACTACAAGAAAAAACACAGATACCCGGATCATACATACATATGCATAAGCTTGAGTAAATACATGGCAGAATGATGGGATATGAAAATTGTTAGTTACATAAACACTAATAAATAATAAATTTCATATAATACTGTCTCTTACCAGTCTTGGTCGAAAATGCCAATAGACAGCACCGGTAAAGACGTGTAAAATAGATTATAAACTGCTATGAACATCGGATCAAAGACTGTCTGCAAACAGCAAATGGACGTTTTAATTATATATGTATCTGTTTTGAATATTGCGTATAACCATATTACTATTAAACATCCCTTACCTGGGCACTGAATCCACAGAAAAAAGCAAACCAAAAATGCGTCAAAGTGAAAGCAAAATTTTTGTAGAAAAAATATCGTAAAAATTTGGCCATTCTGTAGTACGACCTGCAAAAATGAATTTCGGTTAAAATCAGACCTCAAAGTAATAAAAGTACAACAATTATTCATAATTCAATTTAGTCAAATCTTAGTTAGAATAATAAGTAAAGGTAAAACAACGACTTGCCATCTTCCATGGACCAAAAGCAATCTTTCTAGGTACCGGAATTGGGCAATAGAATAATCTGAAAGACAAGTCTACATAAGCAACACACGCTAGGTCTAAAATATAAGGACTATTTATAATACGTAAAATAACTCACCTGATGCCAACACTGCTTGGAGGCCCTCTTGTCCACTTATTCTGAAATAAGTAAATGTACGTTGATAATTCGATTGCACGGCATTATAGGACATGTTTGCAATTTTAAAATTATTCACTCTTGACAAACTTTCAGCACATAACCTTCTTCAGGTCACAAAGTAGCATCAAATTGTACAAGATAAATATATTCCATTTTGGAAAATAATTCTTATAATCCCTGCCTCTTACGGTTCTCAAATTAATTAAATTTCAAAATTTCAAAGATGCCTCCCCAACGAAGAAGCAAAATACCAATTGTGGTTGTGAATAGAGTGCAAGGAAAATGGTACAGTCAAAGATTTGTGTCTCTCGAAAGTTTATGTAAAAAAATCAGTTGTCAAAACCAGACAAGCTGAGAAGAATATGACGACTGCTAATGCTCATCAGTTCTTGGTTTTCAAAAAAAGGTGTGAGTGGAGTTGGATCATCTCTTTACAATTGTTTTAATTTCCATTGTCAATTAGTCCCATTGGTTTTATATAAATATAAAATACTGATACAATATTAAACTCACCCAACTCCAATGTGTGCAGCTAAAAACAAATAAGATCTGCAGGTTACTATCTTTTTGAAAACACTATTATTTTCAAGAAATTCATATACTTTTAATCATTGAGACATCATTTGCCCCATCTCCTATTGCCAGTGTGACAGCCTTTTTATAATTTTTCACCAACTCTACAACCAAAGCTTTTTGCAAAGGAGTAACTCTGCAGCATATAACTGCCCGGCCTGTAAAAAAGGAAAAATGGAAATTTTCTATATTCAGAATTTTGTGACCAAATTTGTACAATGATTCCTTACATTGAGAGGCTAATTCAAGAAACAATTGCTCCAATTGAGGGTTAAGAGCACTGAAATAAACAGAGCATGTGAAATTATATGATATATTGAAAAAATCCCAATTGTAAACGTAAAATTATTGTAGACAAAATTAAAACTAAAATTTGAATACTTTACATATATTTATATCTTACTGAACTAATGAGTGTCCATTTATTACGACTGCATACCCCCCAGTATCTTGAGTTGGATCATCACCTGGATGTCCCATATCTGAAATATCGGTAAATAGTAACCCTTAATAAATGTGCTCCATGTTAAAAATCAAATTAATAAACTAACCTGAATCCCTGAATGTAACCATACTCACATCATTTGACTTTGTAACTGAATTGTCGAACATAGCACAGGAGCCTTTTTGAAGAGCATCGAGAAATTTGAGAAGCTGTCCTTTTACCTGAGTAGTATAGTCCAAGTAATAAGATAAAGCGAAAATACGAATAAAATAAAATTTCTTACATCATCGAATGAATACGCATCGACAATGAAGATGTCATTCATTTCATCCGTCAAAAGTTGACACGAGTAACCAATGTTTATTGCGGTTTCTAAAAATATCCACACAATAATCATAAGTAGTTACCAATGTATGAACAAGTAAAAATATTGGTGACTGGATTATACACAATTTATGTATGTGGTAGCTTTTTACCTTGCTTATCTCCAGTTAATACCCTGGAAAAGAAAGGAAAAGATTTAATAATGCATATCATTCTAATAATGAGCAAGTTTGGGAAATCTAAATTTGTTTCTTACCAAATCTTAATACCAGCTAAGGCTAAATTTGCAAAAAAACGTCAAATCGTAAAATCCATATGAATTAAGATAGTAAAATTAGTGTGATGTCAACACACGTGGATTTTTACCTAAATTTGCAATGGTTTGGGGTACACCATCTTGTAGTTTATCTTCAATTGCTGTGGCCCCGATTAAGTGCATTCCAGTCTCCATTTCTTCATATATTTCATCGAGTTTCTCATCACGGTTGGTGAGGGACATGGATGATTCATAATGTCTGGCTTTCCAATCTTCAAAATATGCTGGCGTCAACTCTTTTACAGCGAGAACTAAGACAACATTTGAATTATTCATTATCAGAAAAATGATAGCAAGATTACGCTTGATAAAAATCAACACAAAGACTCGTTTGAATGATATGTGTGAGTTGGCGTGGAAAAACTCCAAATGGGTCAAGCTATTAACCCACTTAAAAAAAAACTACATCCAGTTCTGTTGGATGGCATTTACGACTATGTCTTTAGAAAGATCCTGCGTCGACCTCATCATGTAATTCAAATCGATGTCACTGGAAGATCATAGTTTGATTTTTCCTCAGTTCAAACATACATTGATTCCAAAAATCCATAAGTTGGTTTTTTAATAAAGTATATATTGTTATTCGTTGTATCTTAAAATGTATATGAATGAACTTTATAAATAGTTTTCGTGTTAAATAAATAGATGCGTTTTATCCGATACATTATTCCCCTTTTAACTTCACTATAAATACAATCAGATAAATAGTAATTGAATTTTTGTACTTACCTAGTGTTCTAAGACCTTCTCCAGCAAATTTCTATACACAATAACAAACAAAAAATCATTCAAGTTGAGTCACTTAATTTCAATAGCGGACTGATTGTCCGTTTTGAGTTTTCTCACATTCAGATGTTCTTGGGTCTTTGCCCTCAAGTCTTCACTGGTTCTTCCCATCTCCAGTCTTTCAAAAATCACCTGCGAAAGAATAAAATCCAAGTGTAACGTGAAAGGTCAAGTTAATTTTTTATGAAACAACTCACCGAATCTGCCCCCTTGCATAGTAGCATGATTTTGCCTTCTCTTTGCACCACAACAGACATTCTTTTTCGCACATTGTTAAAATCGAGAATGCATAGCAAATCATAAACTTCCTCTTTGCCCATAACAGAAATTGTTATACTGCAAAAATGGAAACCATTGTGAAACTTTAAAGTATAATAGAAATAATAGAAAAATGAAGTTGGACGAACCTATCTGGACTTCGTTCTTTAAAAACAAACTCAAAATTTCTGGCTGCTGATACAAGTGCGTTTTCGTCCGGAGATTGAGCTTGGTACTCTAATACTCCTGCAACGTATTAAGCAATTCAAATGCAAAAACATTTGAGAGAAAATTAAGTGAACATAGAGCCAATGAGCAAATTAATACATATAAAACTGATGAGCTTTACCTGCTCTTTCGTCGGCCATAACCGTGTGACATAATGCCAAATGTCGGAAAAAGATAGATACATCCGGATTTCCTGCCAGTACAGCATCATAGAGAGATTGGTCATAAAAGCGAAACTTTTGCTCAAAATGAGGATTTCGCGAAAAATCTACTGGGGCCAAATTCTGCAATGTAAAAAATACAGGGGTACGATTATTATATAAATAATCAAAATAAATATAGACCGTGAAAGAGTTATTTGTTGTTTTTCTCAACACTACTAATGAATTCCATATAATTTCTTATTCAAAAATTTCCATACATGTTTAGTAACTTGTCGCAGAGCAATATCGGAGTGATTCAAGTGTTCTGATTCTGGGGTTGGAGTACCGACACGATCAGATCCACAAAACAAAGAAGATGGTTTAAATCGTGATGGCACATAGTCTTTGTATTTTACACCTGGTTCAGCCTCTTTGAAAATCTCTTCCGTCTTCGCAGGAATGGAAAAACCATGAAACGAAACAAAATGAACGAAATTCGTGCATATCATGCAATATTGTAAAAACAAAAATAGAGGAAACGGAATTAGTTCTAAAATTTGACAACCAGAATAATTACCCAATCAGACAAATTTAGAAGGTAGTTAAGTTGAGGCAAGAAATTATTACAACAATAGGATGAAGCACAGTAGACATGCAAACCTAATTAATAACTGGGGAAATACTTAATGAGACGAATGACGAAGGGAAGGGGAAATGATGTAGATATGATGCAGGATGGGCATCACTCGCAGAAGAGTTACAAAAAATACAACAAATATACTAATGGACAAGAATGCACCAGGATTATAATACAAGAGTTTGCCAATAAAGAATTACACCACCACTGATACTTTAACAGAAGAAAAATACAAGTGAAATCGATAAAGAGAAAGTAAGAAGATTATTATACCTCTCCATGCTCTATAACTTCACCGGTTCTCGGATCTATCACTTCCCCGTAAGACTTTCCTGCAAAGTATAAAGAAATTAGGACGTAGAAACGTTTGGAGAATGTGCAAAAATTGTTTGAGCATCATGATATGTGTAAAACCAATGACTTTACCTCCAATAGTACATTTATTGAACGTCATTATATTCTATGAAAAACAATGTAAACTAATTAGTCAAAATAAAATACAAATTATGTATAACAAATTGTTATACATGATCAACAATCAAATTCAAAACGAGTAAGAACAAACAAGAAGAATCACATCTTACTTGTGTCAGTGTTCCAGTTTTGTCTGTAAAAATATACTCAATCTGCCCAAGCTCTTCGTTTAGAGTAGTAGTTCTAGCTTTTGCTGAAATGAAATAGACAAGCTTCCTAAATACTGGCAATTTGAATTTCAATGGTGCGATTAAGGAATCAGCGTGGTTAATAATTTAGGAAGAGACAACGTACCTGGTGTACCGCTGGCCTCGTGATACATTTTCAAGTCCCAGTTAATTAACTAATAAACACACGAGTAAATAGTCATACATTGTATTGATTTTAAATATGTGTTGAAGTGAATGGCTTACCAAACTTTGCATTAAACGGATTACCTCAACACTAATAAAATTGTGAGACACAATTCGCAATTAAAAAAAACATAAGTGCATTCACACATTTTACGTTAAACATAGAAACTCACCTAACGTATAGTGATATTGGTACAACGGTATTTAGAATGATGGCGTATGAAAAGAACACCAAAAGTGAGATAATAATCGCACCTTCCACAGGCTGAAATGCGTAAGAATATAAAATGAGTACATACAAAATATAAATAATGCAAGACGGGACAACTTACCTCTTTCGGCACAAGTGAATCCCACGGAAGAAAGTTTATGAAGTATTGACCTAATCAAATTAAATACACCGAACTATCAATAGAGAGTACCTCACTACCTCAGTCAATCACCAGATATTACTCACCAATCATTGTTTCCCAAACGGCACATGCTGGGGTATTTAGGAATAATAAGGTTTGATTAAACTATTCGAATTTAAAGTGTATTATATGCATATTACCGATGGTACAGAACAGGCACATTGATAGGAGGAAAAACACGATCTGTAAATGAGATAAAAATAAAGAAAAATGTATGCATGTAATTTACATAAGAGGATCTAATTTCAAGTAATTTTCGATCACTAAATCTTCCATGATCCATAATATAACATTGCTTTAATAAAACTGAAAATATTATGCGATATGAAATTTATAAGATATTTTATTTTACAACTAAAGTATTTAAATTTTCAAGATATCAGTATTACATATCGTCGTCCTAATAATAAATCCGAAAAACTCTCCTGTTGGAGACATGCATCCTAATCCTAGCCAAGCATAAAATTTCCGGGAGTTGACAAGAGAGTTGTCCTGATTTATAATTAGGCCGACGATTTAGTTTAAAATAAGCACAAATTTTATCTCACCCCTAGAATTATAAAATTGAGCAAGCGATCAATACTAGTTCTCTTGAATTTCGATTTCCCACTATTTTGCATTAATTTTGTATCTCGTCCAGCAAATAATACAACACCATAGCCTGGAACAATAAGTCATGTAAAAACAGACAATGCATACAATTGCAGTGAAGTGCTTACACCATTGAGTGTTTCGAAGAATGCAACCACGAAGTAATACTTTATCGTTATCCAATGGGAATCTACAAAGAGAGAGAAAGTATGCGAGAGTTACATAACTATTGTGTGCATACATACATACTTATGTATACCCACCTCTTTCCTTTCCATTCTAACGCTCCTTCAAACTAGTCGAAACGATTAAAATACACAAGAAGAACAGTAGTTAGTTTTAGTAAAATTTCACGTATTTGACTTAATCAGACTGAATTTATTGTGATTTCACTATTATATTTCACTATGCTAAATGAGAATTTATACTTACCTTGTTCAAATGATTGTTTGGAGGCTCGCAAATAATTTCTCCGTTAAATGATCCTAGTTTTTCAGGTTCCTGCCCCATATCTGCAGTTTCGGTTAAACACTGTCTGCACTTGAGATTCGTTTCACTGTAACAGCATCATTCGAATATAAGATCATTTCCCTTTCTCCCCTCAATTGTCATAATCATCAAAGTCTCTGCTTCATTCATAAATTAGTTTAGATGTGCATGGATATGATCCTTGCACATACTTACATACCCGTCTAATTCTGCTGTTTCTATGTAACACAGTCCATTTGGCTCGGATGTGGAAAGTAAGAGCACGTCAGCGGCTATAAGTGCATGAATATAAAACAGATTAGAGAATTTGGCATTTAAATCAATGTCAGGAACAGAATGTAGATGCAGAAAGTCGTAATGACTGATGACTGTATAGCTGTCCTGAAAAAACTGTGCTAGTTAATGTGTGTAAGGAAATAATTCAATAGGAATTGCAGCTTTGAGTTAGTGCTATAGTGAAAAACGATTAATCCCATCTAATTTTTCAACATAAAGTATGCAGATTTTGAGGAAGAGGATTATATTTACATAGTGTGCATACAAATATTTATGTGATCACCCTCTGATTATTGTTTTCATCGATATCAATTCATTCGTTTTTTTACCCAGCAATAAGAGATTTCTGTGAATTTATACTTACCAACGAATTGGTCGTTCTCCATCCTAATAACGTCCCCAACGATTACCTAAAGTCATAAAGAAAAAAATGAGAGAAAGTAATAAACCATTGTACTCATTTTCTCGCTGACATTTGGGCTGAGAAATGTCAGGAATTCATTCACAATACAAAAGTAGATCACGCAGGCTGGCAGCATGGCTGACTATCCTAAGACATGTATAAGATTGGAGTACTAGCGATGCATTATGTGACGCACACGACATCAATGCTGGTGGCTTCAATTTCATCTCGAATGTAGTCTCTCTACTGTGACTCTCTGTTTTAGGTTTCATAGTTCAAACAAAACTCCCACCATTTCGTCGAAAAATGAGCGAGAGAGAAAGAGAGAGAGAGAGAGATAGAAAACATGAAAGTGAAAGCAGTAGCGTGCACAATATGTACAATGCGTATATAAATTGTTTTTCCTTACCTTGTGCCAACGCTCTTCTTTTAAAAGGCCTAAATAAAAGAAAACAGTTTGAGCAGATAACGAATAATAACTAAGTAGTTATCCTAAAACTCACACTTACCATTACGGAGAACAAGAGATTTTCTATTGTTAACTTGCGAATCATTTAAGTGTCGTTGCTAAAATGGAAAGAAATAATTAATTAATACTTAATATGCCAAGGTGGAATATAATGAATTTGGTGAAAGCACGTAATTTGTCCCATTTCATTCAACGATACATGGTTGGCTACATATGACTTGTCTACTAGATGCAATTACGCAGAGTAGTACATATCTAATGTAGTATCTATCCGTAATGTGCTTACTCAATATCGTCAACTATGAATTAGGACGAGAGACTATTCTAAATTTTTTGCTTACCCAATCATCATATGCATCTTTTGTAGCAGTTAAAGTTAAGACCAGGAGCAGTGGAAACACTGTTGTGTAAGGTGTAAGTGAAGATATCACAGGGATCATCTGCAAAATCCGGAAAATAGAGCACTCAAATCAATACACGATTACAACTAATGGTGGGTCAACACCAGCAAGAGATATTTACCTGAAGCACCAAGAGGCACAGGAAATAAAAGTTTGCTAGCCTTTGAAATTGCTAGGGAAGAAAAAACAATAAGGTTTTTATAAAATTTGGGTCCGTAATGGACATCGATTGAGGATGAGTCTTGTGTGGTTTGGTTGGTAAGGTTTGGGACGTTTCTGAGAGGTGAGTTTCGATTAGGAAGGACACGTTATTCCAAGTAAGTGGATTTCTTTATGGCTTTCCAAAATTTGCTGAACATGAGTTTCGAATAGGCACTTTTTGAGGGAATACTTTACTTTGGGAACAAAAGTATGGACGTTTCTGAAATGGTCGTTTAAGTTATGTGGGTCATGAAATCCTTTACCACATAAACGACAATTTACGCCTGTTGCCTTTTGTATTATTTTGTTGCTTAGATTTGTTGGTGCTGCAATAAGATGAAACATGATATTTTTATCATACACTTACCTCGAATAAGTTCAGGGGGAGGAACTGTAAAAATGAGGAGACATTCTCATTTCTATAAGAAACATTCATTTCGGAGCCATCGTACAGAACCCCAAAGCGGTTAATTACTTGCATTATTTTTAACTGATTACTTACCGTTATTACTGTATATTTGGTCGTTTTAATGTAGTTATTCTGTAGGACAAGAGATAGATTTCAGGTGACATTATATAATTGCTATGTTTGGGTACACTTACAGCATATGAAAATTTTGAGTTGAAGGCTGGGTCATTAGCTCGTATTCGTCGCTCTGTCTCTATGAAGAATTAAAAAAAGACAATGGTTGTGTATAAAGTGAAATTACGATTTGTGGTATTGTACCCTTTACTCTGACAAACTATAATTAACTGGCTGGATACATAGTTTCAGCTAATAATGAAGTATTTTCATATTGGAGTAGATTACAATTTAGGAACTCGCATAGATTGACTAAAGATATGTACAATAATGAGATGAGATGAGATAAGATATTAAATACCTTCACCACCACCGTGGCCTCTGTAAGGCGGCTCAAGGCCTAAGGCTCCGTCGATAATTCTCCAGTAAATTTTAGAAATAAATCCGAGGAGGCTAAGAATACGTGAAGGTAAATATGGGGTTAACCTCTCGCAGGGTCCCCTCCATCTTACAGACGCTCCAGAACTTAATGAAGTTTCCTGCCTATAACTCCTTCGGGGCTTATTATAAACCCTACAACATTTGTCAAAGGAGCACCACCGACAACAACCCGAACAAGTCCTCCCATCTAAATCAGAACCGTCCTCATCATCATGGTGTCCCGTTATTGGCGACTCATTGACATAATTAGCATGGTCCTCCTCATCCATCTCATCAATATCCGGCTCTCTAAGAATCACTCCTCTTGGGCGACTTTTGGCAAACTTTGTATCCTTTCGCTTATCTAATACAGCAACATGATCGGACCTTTCGTTGACATTGTCATGCAAACAGGATGCCACGTTAATGTTACTGCTTTCCAGATCGGTACCGTCAGTAGATTCCACTCGGTCCAGCTCTAGTAACTGCGTGGATGACTGAGATTTTATAATTTCTTCCATGGTGGTTACTTTCGTCGTGAGCTTTATGACGCTCTCAGTCTGAGTTGCAGGTGAATTTTGGCATGGGATGAAGGAAGAACAAGATGATGAAGATCCACTTGGACGAATGGGAGTTGACGAAGTGGTGGCCATTAAAAAGCTATCTGCTCCCCCAATATTTCCCCCACTACCAGATTCTTCTTCAAGAATGATGGCATTTCCATATTTTCTTCCTAGTTTGCTTCCCATAGGAGAGGAGCTGCTGCTGCTGAAGAAACCTTTTTCTTTTCCTGCTTTGCGGACTAATAATTTTGTCTTCACTCCTGGAATGGATGAGTCATTTGGGTGTGGATGGTGCGGTGGTACGTGACGAGTACCTTTCCCTGAGGAACCTTTTATTTGGAATACTTCAATCACATTTGATGTTTTGGGCATTCTGTTGTTACAAACCAACCTCCACAATTATTTTAATTGTGAGAATGGATGCAGTCAACAACCGGAGTGGATTTTTCTAATTATAATGTCGTCACAGAGTTACTTTAGTTTTTGTTTCCATTTTCCTCTTCTTTCACTTCCATCCATGAGTGCGTTTATGTACTCCATTTGGGCTTTGATCTACCTTTGACCACAGGTAAAATTTACCTTCATCAACTTTTCGAGTAATGAAATATTTCTAATATTCTATGAAACAACATTTTTCATACATGAAGTACGACACATCACCTAAATTGTCTGTGTATTTTAAAAACGATAAACGCAGACAAAATAAACAAGTAGGAAGACATATCAAGCTAAACATGTTGTAATATGGAAAAAAAGTCTTGAAATTAACCATCGCGTATGTAAGTAGAACGAAACGAATGTACAATTTATAGATTTCACGTCATATCGATCCGAAGAAAGTGATTCCAAGTAAGCACGTGTCCACAAACATGTCCTGCAATGTCTTGCAAGAGATTTCCTAGTGTCACTATAGGCAGTACAGTTGTACAGTGCTATGCGCGATTTCCTTAAAAAAGTTGAACGTACAGTATGTGTACACTGATTGCTACATTTTTAATGTTCACAATTATTTTCCCACAGTGTCATTATTTCGCACATTTGAATGCTCGAATCTTAATGCATGAAATGCTCGCCAGCACAGAACTCAATACTTGATACTCCACCGTTTCTGCCAGCTTTTGGCTTCCTTTTCTCATTAAATATGTATTCATTATTGCTCCAAGAGGACCACACTTTCACCAATCATGTTCCAACTGCTCCATATACGTAGCAACGTTCATCCTTTCTTCAAGCAGCCTGAGTTGTCAGCCAAGGAGTCATTATTAAACAAGATTAAATCCAATGACGGCAATTCCTGCAGTAGCACAACAAACCATTTTCGATGCGACTAACCTCTAGACATACATAAGTATGCGTAGAGTCAGTACATGTATATATGTATGTAGCAACAGAAAAGAGTCTTAATCCGTCTCAGTGAACAGACTTACAACACGACCAATTACGAAACAGTAACAGCATAAAGTGTAATACATTTGACTGACTGAAGTGTGACAAGGCAAGAAATGCATCCGGATAATGTGGAGAAAGCTCTGGTATTTTTATAGGTACAAAATTGATCGAAATGATTTGTTCCCGATTTTAATTTGATATTAAGTGAAAGGATTCAATATCAATATTGTATCACAGTGTAACTGTTGTGATAATCCATAGGTAGCCAAAGGACAGTCAGATTTTTTCCTCATAACTCTCTTGCTTTCACTTTTATAAAATAATTTGTACATTTTGCACTCCTGGATTTAACAGGCCCAGCCTGAGTAGTATATAACTAATAAATATCACTGCTATTTACTTTTATCAGGGTCACGTAATAGATCAAAATCCATAGTCACTTCGACAAAACACATAGCGAGATGCTTTCCCTCTCTCAAAACTACCCTCTTAAAAAATTTGTGAAGAAACCATGAAAATGTTCTTAATTGTTACGTGCACAAGACAATCGACCATGTGATTCCAGTCACACGTACAAGAAGACGTCTTTCTTCGTCCAAACTACTTTTTACAATGTCCATGTTTTGAGTAGAGAACCACTGAACGACTTGGATGACTTGACTGAAGTGCAAAACCCGGGTACATGCACCCAACGATGAGCTCACTCTGAGAAGCACAATTCTTGTCTTTCAACCGACTCTCTCCGAAACTTTGTAATTTTTAGGTTGTGGTTCTGCCCAGTGGTGTAAGTAACCCATATTGAATTCGTGCTGATGGTGTACAAATAGTGTTGATTTCTGCCATGCTACTGCATATTATGTCCTCCCTCATTCTTCGCCACACAAATATACTTTCTCTATTATAATAAACCCAATGTTAACATTAACCTACTCACTCAATCTCACCTCACCTCCCATCCAACGAGAATGGGCATTCTATACGTCCAGCTGAATCGATAACAGGGTTGCCAAAATAAAGCAAATCAAGGTAACGAGTTTCCAACATACAGCATCTAACAACAATCTTCTAGCCCACCCATTATAATAGTCCTAAAAGATGTAATGGATGTACAAATATAAGTTGAAAGCTGCCCTTTTACTCATTCGTTTTGTTGGATGGCAATCGGCAGTCTGAGGAAAACGAAAGTTTGCAAACTGCAACCAAACCACATCGTAATGCATTGATGAGGCATAATAAAGAATAAATCGGATCCGAATTGAAGCTAATACAAAACCAGCTAATTTAATCTTGATCTTTTTGAATATTCACAGTATGTTGTGAAATTATACGGTCATGTTCATCAATATCCAAGTAACAAACATAAAACGAACGTGTATTAATGCTAATGTGTACAACTGCTTACACAAATCCTAGCAATCGTTATAGCAAACTAACCAAAACCCTTAACGAACATGAAGTTACTGCATCAAACCCCCACATACACTTGTGTTAACAATTGGCATGAAATAATGCAAAGGACCTGCTGCTTCGAAAGTTGCTTGAGTTTTTTGTATACACATTTCTTTCTCATATGGCTGAAAAAACCTTCAAGGGCTGAACAGAAACCAGAGAAAATCATGATTCAAGAACTGATAAATATTACAAAAATGATAAAATCAAAAATGATAAAAAATGATAAATACACGCCTTCCGCTCGACGCTGTAATAATAACATACTCAAAAATAGGATGTTGAAAGTTTTAATTTTCCAGGTGAGGTGAATTTTGCAGATAAACCTTCTTAAGTCCAATTAACTTAATCTGGTTTGCTTCCTCGTATTGCTATAATTAGGTCCAGTTGTTTTTTGTCCAAGTGCTGAACTGAAACACTGTGTCTACTGTAAGTTGAGTTCAACACTTGGACAAGTTGTTTTTGCATAGTAGCGAATTAGAAAGTGAACACAAATTATATCCGCACATTTATAAATTCATGGAACAACTTTGTCATACTTTCCATATATTTAGAAAATGAATTGGATATGAACACGATGTGCCATATCCGAATTGCGGCCTTACAAATTATCAGTCGGTTGAATCTATTGGCACCAAAACTAGACTGCTAGAGTCCGAAATTTCTATGAGTGAAAGTTGTGTTTTCGTTCTGCCAGAGGTTCTCCGTGCACCATTCTCAAACTCGGGAACCTCGACTTTCTCCTTCAACCTTTTAGCTCCGTTTTTTCGTTCCACGAATATTACGAGAGTGAGACACACTGACGATGAGTGGATTTTACTTTTACTCGATGGGAGCTGAAACCTTTACTCCGTGTTCTCACTTGATACAAACTTACTTTCTTTGGGGTGAATTGATCTGATTTTTAGCAAATGCTCACTATTAGTCTCAGAATGGTTGTAATCAAACGTGTAGTCACTCAACCTCTAGTACAATCACTTGAAATTCTACTTAATGTCATTAAAATAAATTTCTATAATTGTGAATGACGAATTAACTATTTAATAGTGTATGATGTGACAGTGTATTGTTCGGGAGAAGGTTTTATACAACGACCATCATGTATCTAACTATGCACATATGTATTTGTGTTGTAAATGCATACGAGGCTAGTAACATATGAACCTCATTAAAGTTCGAAAACTTATTGCACACCGCAGCAAAAACGTGCGACATACATCGACCTAATAAAATCAATATCGTAAGTGGCTTTGTCTGAGTGTTTGATGGCGTCGATTGGATAAAATCGAACCAAGATTTGCAAAAAAAAGTTGGCAGCTGATACGCGTTATTTATGAACTGCCATTCTTGGGAAACGGTGGAATAATGAAAAGCCTATAGTATTATTATGTTATTGTTATTAGTATAGCTCCACAGTCGACAATTTAGCAATAACATTTAGCATTGAAAATTTGTATACATTAATACCAGCAAAGTTCACCATTTTAAGTTCTTACTAATCGTCAAAACACTTGCTCAAATTTAACAGTGTGAGCACACAAAAATGTAATTGGTGAATAGCTGGATGTATACAAACTGACAATCAATTGGATCCAATTAAAAATTAAAGATATCATTACGTTAATGCTTTGTGACATGCAATATCATCGATATCAAGGGGAGCAGTTCTCCCCTTTTACCTCACCTCGTATTCTCAACACGACAGAAGTGTTATCGAACATCAGCTTGAAATGTGAAAGTACTTTATGCGAAGTCGGATGAAGAAATAAATGAAATAAAGTTCGATAGAACTCACCTTACCACACGTCAAATTCAATAGTTACAATTATACTGCAAAAGTACAATTTATATGTATATGTATGTACATCTGTAGTTATCGGCATTGCTTAACTATATCCAGCCCAGTTAATAATTTTGCAGAAAAAGTAAAGACTTAAAAAAAGTATGTTAAAAGTACTTACCCCGTGATGGGGTCTGATCCACCACGGAATTGGAGTTGTTGAGTTTGGCCATAGTGTTATTGGTTCAAAACTATAGCTGGTCACTCCTGGGAATTTGTTGTAGAACCGTTGCCTTAAAAATGAACTTTCACCCACAACACAATTACATTTGAACGAAATATGGGCACATTTTACGACGGGTTCATTTGAATACTTGTTAAATGCCATTAGATTTCTCAAAAATATTTTGTTGCTGGTGTATATTCGGTTTACAAAGATTGTATTTTCTTCATTATCCTTGTCTGAACTAGCAGCTCATTTGGAAATTGTACATTAGGCGTCATCCTTCCGGGGTGACTCATTATTCCTGTATCTTATCCTTAGTGAAATCTCAGGAAATGTAGTAATCAGATAATTGTTTGCATATTTCACAATTGATTTGTGCTTATTTGGATGGACATCAAGTGAGTCACAGACAGAAGGCGTGAAAGACGGGAGACTCTATCCATAGGCAATCTTTGTATTCTGCAAATGAAAAACAAATGTCGTTACTTATTGTATTATATCGGAATATCTATAAGAATATGGACTGGTTTATTTTATTCACAGGACAATATTGAAATTTTGGTAATGCAGAATGTACATTATTGGCTCCTCAGATTAATTATGTAGGTCTGCAAGGTTATCTATGCACATATTTGGGATATACTTTACCACCTACTACATAAGTATGTAGTATATATGTACATGGTCAATGAAAAAAAAAGAAAAAAGAGTTACAAGAATTATCTAACAATATTCCCAAACCATAATTACATAAAAATAACAATGAATTATATATAGCAATTTGTAAATGTGTTTAGTAATTAAATAATCATATATACATAATGCAGAATGCTGGCAAACAAACAAATGATTAAACAATGTTTTTGCTATTTTTATGATCAGCGCAAGAAAGTAGAAATAACTTGTACTAGTTTAGTTGAGAATTGCGAGCATTGAACAACAGACAACAGACGGAGAACAAAACTAAAACCACAAGAATTATGGCCGATACCACAGGCACATATGATATGACACCTCCATTAAATAAAAACATATTCAAGAGAATACTTTACAAGTTTCCTTCCTGTGAAACATCCAGGAATGAGAATAGATGTATGTATGAATTTTATGGAGTCTCTATGTTTTATACAAAGTGGGGTTTTTGTATTTTTCTTACAAAAACATTGAAGACATGCATTTCTACGGATAATTACACGTAGATTCCAATAAAAAATATACCAAGTTCATAAAAAATTGCGATAACCTCTTTTTAAGCGTGAAATGTTGTAACCACAATTACTGGACCACTACGTATACCTCAGGCCTATGTACAAATTCCCTCACACTTCCTTCCTTTAGCATATAATCAGGGGATTTGATATATTCTCATCTCACTAAAACAAACTTAACGACAGGATCAAGTCGCCGTCATCATAACTCTGCCATCATATCGAAGTTTCTTGTCTTATTATTCTTATCCTCATTATTGTTCAACACGAACATCAGTTCCGAGAATATTTACGTCATCAACTCAGCACTCATGCTCCTTGCGTTTTGCGGACAATGCCAACTTTGAACTTACACATGAATGGTACCAATTTCATTATTATTCCAGATACCATAATCAGGTTTATACATACGTACATTCGCACAAAATAGAGAAATGTAAGGTAAGGGTAGCAAAAATTAGGCTATCAGCATTTATCATTATTGAGATTGAGATTGAGCGTAGTGAAGTGAACCAAGAAAAATGACTGAGCAACATAAAAAATTGTACGCAGAATAGTAGTAATAATTCTTTCTAAAAATGTAAAGCTTTCTAATTCTTTGCCCTTTTATAATTGTACGAAAGTTACAATGGCACTACAGCTATTTTATCGAATTCAACGTCATTCTGACGCCCTAAAATAATTTCCATCACCTTTCTCAAAACTACCAATGCCAGGGCGATGCTTGATAAAAAAACATGCATGGTTAAAAAGAGGGCCAAGAGCTTTCCAACACGACGAAGGTTGGGGTGAAAATTCTCTGACTGCCACATTTATTGGAATATGTACAAACATGCACACATGCGTTGAATGTGTCATTCCATGTTCTTTATATAATATGCTCGTATACCATACAATAGTTAAGTATAGTGTTGCTGGAGGAAAGCGCAAATTGTGTGGGCAGGCTAATCGATTACTGTTCTCATGATTACTTCAAGAATGCATCAGATTGGAGCTAAATATGCAAGCTACTATCAATGCAATAAATCAGGATCATCCAAAATTAATTGGTAATAAGTGGAACGTATGTATTCATTAGATTGAATATCGGAAGGCTTTACATAAGATAAGTCAAAAACAAAAAAGGTTATAACAATACGTAACTTCATCATCTTAAATTCAAAGTTTCATAACAGTCGAAAGTAAGAAGTCTTGCCGCATATAAATTACTAGTACAATTTTGGTTGCCTTATGGAAAGTGGAATCAGAAAAATGACTTACATAAAGACAACTTGCTACTTTTACAAGCAATGAACTGGTTTTCTGATTTCTTGACTTAAATTTTTAAAAAAAGTTCTTTTAACACACTGTTCTGTGTGTAATAAAACGAAGAAAGTTTTTCTCAATCCTTCGCATCCTGAGTAAGTAGGTGAGCAGCACTATTAGTATTAATAATACTAGTAGTTGTACATATGTAAGTGGCAGTGGTGGTAGAGAAGGGTGGAGAAAATTGGGCTGAGAAAGGAAACGGTGGTACAAACAATGGTGAGAAGTACAAAGTGAAAGGAGATCAATAAATCTAATAATGTATGTGCGATATATGTGAAAGAAAATGAGCAGATAGCGATGAACAGGTTGCTTTCCCTCGCGTTGAAGGATCTGGCTGGATAGTTTACGTATAACATATAGCATCGTCTAGTGGAAGTAGGTTGAGAGAGTGGACGAAGTGTGTGTTACAATATTTTCTAGAATGTGTGTCAAATGTAGCTCACCAATTTCTCACACGCATTCCGTATTCAACACATTAGACACAGAGCTAGAATAATTCGATAATTCGATTGTTCAGAGAATGTTACTTGGAAATGTTCATTTGTTATCCATGCAAATCGAATTCTTAAATGCATTTAAATCATTAAAGTTTTAATTCTTTATAAAAATTCAAGTCCATAAATTCCAGGTCTACTCCTAATAAATGATAATGCGAATTTAAAACAGCTAAACTATAATGAAGAAGAGAAAAATGTGTACATTTGAATGCTAGTAAATATTTCAGATGGAACTCGGACAATTTGTAGTTTGCATGAATATATAGGTACATATATGTACAAACATACGTGCATACTACATTAATAACATCGTCTTCCCTTTCAAGAGTGACACCTTCTCTAAATAATAAATGGTTGGTTATCACAAACACCTCAGAGCTCTGCGCAATTGCGTGGTCACGGTCAAATGTATTAACGAATAGTGTCAGGTCAGTCAACTAATATGAATCTAAAATATGTGATTGTACGTCCACATAAATTATCAATAGGACTTTCTGTGGGTGTGATTCGTGGTGTAAACGTTGAAACGGGTTTTCCGGGAAAGCGGGAGGCGAGACCCTTCTTTGGGGTCCGGTTTGTACGGGCCGTGGGAATTTTTTTCGACATTTCTTCCCCTGTTTTCCGAAAAAAGCATAGAACTCACGCTTTTCAGTTATTTGGTTAATTGTTAATACAATTACCAGGTAGCCTTTTTGATTCATTGATTATGATGCCATTCTTTCCTTAGATAGTCGATAAATTAGGAACGTTTGGGGAGGGATGGAAATCCTTGGTGGACTCACGTCATTTGCACCTTCCCTTCAATCCACTTGTTACAATGTGAACAAATACATACAGACAACTTATTTTGCAAAGCCCGTCGGAATAAACAAAAGGCATCCTTTTAGTGGAATACCAAACACGCAAACATTCATAAATTATTGTTTCTCCTCTTGCATTTCAAGTGAATGTTTCTAGCACGAATTTGTACCTATAATATTGTCAATTTGTTCGATAGGGCTCAACCAAAATTCTGACCAAATTAAGTGACAATAAGTATGCTAAGCTTGTTAATCCAATGATTCGAATGGATAGCTACATCCAACCGATCCACCTACAATGAACAAGAAAGGACCATGATTGCACAGATTATCAACTCCTTTGATCCTAAAATATCTATCTAAAATATGCCATTGATTTGATGTTGATTTTGTAAGGATGACATAAGTTATTTTAATTCAATGCCAATTTATATAATAATATTTCAGATTAGTTTTTAAAGTTGCATTTGCTTATAAAAAGTGTGCATGCATACAAATGCATAATAAATTCCTGTTAGACAGTATGTAATAACAAGCAGTAGCTAATTTAGCTATAAACTGTAGAATATACTGTATAAAATACCTTAAATTCTATTAGATTCAGAAAACCAAAGTAAAAACATTTTCCTTCTATTCTACAACAAAAGAGTGCCACTGTGCAAGAGAAAAAGACAAACAAGAGAAAATAAATCGAGTTGTTGCATGTGAAATACCAGTCCAGTCTCTCGTTCCAAAAAAAAGTTGTATTCTCGCGACACAACGAAATCCAATCCCTCCTATTACATATTGAACTCGACCAAATGATTATTGCTCATTCATCATGCAAAGGTATATAATCTCCGCAATTCGGAAATTCCATTCAGACGAGTGGCAATTACAGATTTGAAGTCGTGTTCCATGAAGTGTATATACAGATCTGTGCCTAATACTAAGGTCATTCAGTAAAAATGGTTCCGTTGACCTTAGTCATTTGTTGCATGGACGTCATGTACTAAGAAAAAACTAAACCAGTAAACGTTTGGATATAAAATCCGATATTTCAAGCGAGGAACGACCATTCGAAAAATTAGTAACTAGCATATTTCTACAACATCTCCAAAATCCATGGAATTGACATTTCAAAATGTAGATACTACTCATACATAACATTTACGAGCAGTCATTGATGACCTCGAGGTCAGTACCATGCAATTAATCTGTGTCAATAACTCATAATGAGTTACTCATTCCATTCATTCCTTCGTTCATTCACAAAAACAAAAATTCTTAATAACTAAAAGTAAACATTGATCATCACAAAGAACGCTGAGTACATAGCTGGTTATATTCTCACCTGTAAACCCCCTCTTTAAATTGTGACCAATTATATAGACCAAGATAATAAATAATCATATTCAGACATGAAAAAAGAGAAACTTTTCCCGTAATAAATTCAGGACACTTACAAGATAGGAGGATACACCCGATAACCCACTTGTTGAGAGAACAATGACAATATAATGACAAGGATAAAATGTATATAATTATTACATCTATTACATACTCTACCTACATATGTAGCAAAGTCCCCTCACTCATCCTCAGTCATGGATGAACTGAAGGTTTTTCAGAAATATGCTCGTTTCATGTTTCAGGCACACGATTAAAGCATGCAAATTTTGTCCTCAGCTTTTTGGTGTGTTCCACTTCAAAATTTGTGTAATTTTTATCTCTTAATAACCTATATCATGCTTCAAACCATTAATTTGAAGAAATTTATTTCGAATTGTATAGTATTCAATAAGTATGTTTATCCAAAATCAGAATTAAACCTTATGATTCTGTTGATACCAAACTTAATCAATAAATAAGTATTATCAAGCAACTTACCTTTGAAACAGATTTTGAAACAGCTGACGTTCACGATATGCGATAGCGACATTAACTTTTCAAATACCCTCTCTGCTGTTGGTGTCCATAAATTTACGAGAGAAAAATACACCCATCACTCATAGGACCACTTTATGTTAAATTCCGGACTAGGGTTTGAGAGCCTTATTAATTAACACCACAAAAAATGTAACAACTAACTGTGTACGATTAATATAGTAAACGACTCGACAAGAAGGTGACTAACTCGGTTATAATCTTGATGAAGTCATTTCCAAGCATTTCGAAGCAAACAAGAAAAACCCGAGTCGAATTATTGTTGAAGTGGGCAAACTTTTGCCACGAATGAGAACTGAGAAAAAGTAAGTCGGCAAGCGAAAACGGGTGAATATGCGAAAAATAATACACAGGTCGCAAACACCAGAAAACACGACTACATGCATCGCATCGCATCGACCGACCGACAACCAATTGATACGACGAGTACACAACAGTGTGTACATACACAATGGGGATTTGTTCGTTCAATATAATAATAATATGTATAGTCAGGTTCGTTTAGCTAGCTTCTCCTCGAGTGATAATATGTTTATGCACGCACACCGACCGAGCAATAAAGTGAGAAGTTTCGTATTCTTATTACACACGGTGCACTTATTTTGGCTAGGAGTTTCATTAGAAGAGTTTATTTGAGACACCATCTGATCCCCTCAAGCCACGACGGCACCATCTGCACTCATGTGAAGTGAGCTTGCTTGCAGGAGTGAAAGTAGTGAAGTGAAAGCTTCATCTTTTACTCCGTTTCCGTTTTTCAATAAACCCAACAATAAAAGTTTTCATTTTGTTAAACAAAATTTGTTTAAATAAATTTTTAAGCATCACGAGGTCCAATTATACAAGGGTATGTAATAAATAATAAATCAGTCATACATTAAAGATATATAGTTTTATTTTACCTTGTACTTAGGATTAGTTTAAAACAGAAAACAAATAAAAAATGGAATCTACTTTGGATGCCAAAAATGTCAAAATATCATCGACCAGTGGTAGTAGCACAAGTAGTGTATCCCACATCACTTATCCAGCTATGGCGTCCCAACTTACTGGCCAATCAAAGGAAATTGACGAAATGCACATTATGGAAGAAAAGAGGCTTTGGTTAGGAAATTTGGATCCGAAACTAACCGAGTAAGGGATTTGTATGCTTAATTATATAAATTTACATTTGAGAGAAAGTTATTTAACATAAAATAAATGTCTTTGTTCTCTACGGGTTTAACCTACTAAAACTGGTACAAAAATATGGACCGATTGAACAATTTGACTTCCTCTTTCACCGGTCTGGACCCCACATAGGACTTCCGAGAGGTTACGCATTCGTCGAGTATGAACATCGGGAATGTGCTGAAAAATGCATAGCCTCACTAAATGGAAAAAGGGTGATTGATCGTCACATAGCGATTAGATGGGCACACCAAGCCGTTAAAGACTATCCCGTAACTACTATTCGTTCAAATTCAGTACACATTGTATGCTTATTGGATAAATGCTAATAAGAACAATTTTAACTAATTTTCAAGGACGAACAAACAAAACTCAAGTCAAAGCTACCAGCACTAGGTGTCAAAGAGTCTGAATCCGCCGGACCCAAATTAAGTACGGATAAAGCCATCAATGCAATTGAAGCAAAATTACTAGCGATGGACAGAGAAAAAGGTCAACTGAATTTCTCTATTGCGTCCGGTGGAAAGGCGAGTGCCGGGAGCAGTAATTTTGCAAACCTGGGGAGTCGGAATCCGGGACACAAATTTTTTAACCAGATTCAGACAACAACTCATCAGCCTAATCGTTACAACTCGAAACCGATGGACCGCGACCGCAACAATAAGAAACCATATTCTAGATAAACGTTTCTCAATACACGTCCCAGCTCAGACTGACAAAGATGATCTCATTTGTGAATTGTAAATGCTATTATTACTTTCACCATTATTCTCGTTAATATTACTATTATTAACACGCTTATTGTTTGAAAAAAAATAGACTAACTGAATTTTAGAATATTAATTCCCAATTTTATTGTAGAAATTAAGAGTTTTCAGATTCCTTGAACCTGTAATGATATAATGACAAGCAAAATTTTATTAAAGAGTTTCTTCTTAATCATTAATTTGTTTGTAATTGAACATACTTGCAAGCTTGATTCATACAAGTGTAGAACACGGTTTGACCTTCATCCGCCGATCTGAGTTGAAGTGTAGCATAGCTCATTTGACCATGACCACATCGCCTGCACTCGCGATCAACAACAGGTCCTTCGGCCACCACATCTTCCTTATATTTTCCTGCGAATTATCACAAAATTAATATTCCATTATATTTATACAACAATTTATAGCAAGCACCACTGTACCTTTTCCTTTGGATTTCTTCTTCCGTCCTCCTGATGATTCGCCCCTCTCTTTGCTATACACGTCGGCATCATTGAAATGAACTATGTAGCTAACATTCGTGACATCTGAATTGAATGAAATAACACATACATTTATACTTAATTATCATTAATATTGATTATACTTAATTAGCTTTACGTTTCGTGTTAATAGATTCTTGACAAACGAAACATTGATGATCTGTGGCCGTGCCCGAAGGTACAGGAAGAATGGAACCACAATAAGAACAAAATTCTGGATCGGTCGAAAACACTTGTTCTATCTTTGATTTCCACATTATTTAAGAACTACAAAATTTTAGTATTTCAACTTTAATCCAATTTACAAATAACTTGAATAATAATCTTCACCTAAGCTTAGTAAATTTGACAAGAGTTTGAATTATGAATTTTGAGAACTTTTTACTCTCGTGTCTTGTGTGCCATGTGCGTGCAAAAACAAAACAAGAGTTGACAGTTTGTAATTCGCTCGCACTTCGTATATATGAATGTGTTGAAAATAATCAGCCGATGTAGCAAGAAATCACAACAAATAAAAATACTTTACATTGTAAGTTATTAGTATTATTAGTTGCAATTTGAAGGAATTTTACCAGATCTGGAGGATGGCCCAACCATCTGGTCAACGTCCCCTTCCACAGGGGAAGGAAGCTCTCCTTAAAGCATACAACAAAAGGCTGAAAGACAACGTCAAGTCAATGGTAGATAATTTCGGAGGTATATAAATTTAAATTACGTATATTTTCAATTTAACTGATTATGCATTAATGAACTTGATTGCCTTCTAGAAATAGTAAAGTTGGCAAAGATGGAAAATGAAGGTCAAGTTTCTCGAGCCACACAAGCCGATGAGGATCATTTTGAGATGACCGTTAGAGCCGCAAATATGGCAAGTTATTGATTGTGATAATATAATCAATGGGTTGACTGGAAAATGCTGATTTCTTAATAACGATAGGTACGAGCTGGAGAATCATTAATGAAATTGGTCACCGACATTAAACAATACTTGATATTGAATGATTTTCCATCTGTAAACGATGCAATTGTTCAGCAAAGTCACCTTTTTAAGCAGAAGCAGACTGAGTGTGATCGTAAATTAATGACGTTAAGGGACGACATTTCTGGAGACTTGTTTGACCTTGAAGAGGAATATTATTCCTCTGCATTCAAATAGATTCTTATTTTTTACATAATGAACATAAACAACTGCATCGATATTTAAAGTATTTATTAATTATTCTTGTCTGATGAAATACATTAAGGCCTTCCATAAATAATAATGACTATGTTTCGATTTATTTCAAATCAATAATATTGTAACTTGTTCGATTAAATAATACTTCACAGTCGATTTTAAAATAATTATGAATGGTCATATTTAACCTACAAATTGTATCGTCAAATTATGCTAATTTGCTATTCGTGGCAAAGACCACAGTTTGTATAAGTGCTGTAGGAAAGAGCGAGCGTAAGTAGCAGTCCAATAATGCTGTTTGCATTATCATAATTGGAATGAAAAACATTTGTTCCCGAACGTATATGTCTGTAATCGCCTGTAGAAAAACATCCTCATTCATAGATAAATACTACATTTTTATGTTTGCGTACACACATGTAAACTTTCTTAAGACACTAGGTATTGTTCTGTTCATAATAATTAATGGTATTTACTTATACTGTGCAAGGATTTTACAGACACTTTGCATTACTCAAGAATTTATCACGTAACTTATTGAGCCTTGGCCTTGAGTGAGTGGAATGAATATATTATAATGTAATACCTTTTGGTATATAAATTAATAAGTAAAACTTGGAAATAATTTTTATGCTCAAAATGGAAAGTATTGTCGATATTGAAGAGGCAAGATTTGAATCACTAACTAATCAGAGGGACACTGGACTAAGGCAGTTGCGAATTTCGACTCGAATTAGATTATAATACAAATAATAAATTAAAACAGGATATCTGCTGTTATTTCATTACTCCAAGTTGTGTCTTCAGAATCCGGTTTCAAATAATCCTCAATTAATTCTGTTTCACTTTTTTTAATTTCTGTCTTTTTCGGAGAAGGGGCGTCAAAATTTCCCAGTTGATAGTCATTATTCGCAAGTTTGGAAGTATAACTACTCAGTCCACCTTTGTAATAAAAATAAAACCAGGCATTTAGCTTATTGTTGTTAATAGCCATACATAGATAACACAGCAAATGTTGTATTAATCAAATTACTTCCAGAATTGTTGATAACGCTTGGGCCTTTATGACCCAGCATGTCTTTCTCATTGGAATCATCATCAACCAACAAGGACAACTCTGATGGGTATTCATACGTGGTTATTGCCTCCTCATTGAAAGAGATGTTCATCTATTAAAAACAAAAGTTAGTATTCTAACAGTATGTAGATACATATATATGTATTAAGCATGCATATGCATAGAATCAACTATTGTAACTAATTACAATGCATTAATTTACCTTTGTTGATTTCGGTCTCTTTTGAATTGAACTCTTTCCGTTGATTATCACATTTCCACCCACAACAAAAATCAGCTTGGCATCAAATTGGAAGTCAGTTGTTGAGTCAATGTCATCCGCCGATTCATCAGTAACTGTTCCAGACAAAGTTAGCCTTCCTTTGTGAAGTCCATCGTCTTCAATATAGTCAGGGACAGATGATCTGGTTGTAAAATTGAATACCATTGGCGAGTTTCCTCCTTGATTTGACTTTTGCTTTTGATGGACCCTAAGTTGGGATGCATTATTGGAATTAGATTCTTCAACAACTTTCCTTTGTGGTACAGGTGGCGGAGCAACCGGTGGGATATTATTATTTGCCTTTTGCTGTTGGTGGTGATGGTGAGGTTGAGGGGACGGTGATTTCTGTCTTTCATGACTCTTGACGTTCAAATTGCAAACTGGGGAAGGCTCATTCAACTTTGAAGGTAATGCAGCCTTTACATTTTTTGGTTCAGGTGGAGTGACAGTCGTTGGAGAAGTGGACCTGAATTTCGTACCATTCATGGATGACAAATTATTAGGACTAGATTTTTTAGATTTTGCAAGTGGAACAGATGCGGGTACGATTTCTTTTGCATTGGCGTCTATTGTAAAACTATTGGGAATGTGCTTCAATGGTTGTCTAAAGCTAGATGGCAGTTCCTTTTCCTTTTCTTTGCTTGATACCAGCAGGACTTTATCACCAACAGAATCCCTGGACGATGATGCTGATTCATCATTGCTCACCCTATTAATTGGTGAAAATGAAGAAATTTCAACATTCTTAGTGGGGACAGGGTGAGAGTTGGATGAGGATTGTTGCCGCATCATAGAATAACTTGCCGGCGACGGATGACTTGTAATAATTGGAGAAGTTGGGGATTCAACCACCTGTGGACTCTGAGGTGGTTTTGGAGAGGATGTGAAAAGAGGTTTTGGACTTAATGGAGGTTTAGATGAATGTTGTTGAAGAAATAGCTTGTAAGGTTGTTGAGTAGGACTCAGAATAGGGGACAGGATGTTATTATTTGATTTTGATTCACTGGTCCTATATAATGAACCTTGATCACCATTTATCGAGTGGCTGAGAGTGGGTTTGATTATCCCAATTTGTTTTAATAATGGTGGCTTTGCATTAGTAATGTTGTACCCAGAAGAAACGGGTATCTTATTCTCAGAAATACTTTGCACCCCCTGTGCCATGGTGGTGGTAGTAATGGAAGTAGAAGTAGGTACTTTTTGGGGCGGAGGGGTTGGAGAACTTGGGTTGGAGGAATTGATAGATGAGTGGGTCAATCTCAGGGCGTGACCAACTCGTTTGTTAGTTGTATTCTTTTCAAAAATCCTGGCAGTTTCCCGAACAATGTTCGAGGGTATCTCTGAAATAAACAAGTGCACATATAATTATGTACAAACAAACATGTTGAAATGGCATTAGCACATGAGCCTAAAATTCAATCCGATTAACACTCCATCGTGGGGGGTAAGCAGTAACGGAGGGAAACTAAACTCCCAACGTTATTTACTTTTCCAGTCGTCACTTCTTCTCCGTTCTCTCACTCTCTTATCAATGTAGTCGCTCTTAAATTTTAATTACTTGCAAAAAAAAAGACGATACGCAATATTAACTAGTCTTAGTTCAGTGTAGGTAGTTGATAGACGATAGATGAACAGTTTCTCCGGTGTAAGTTATCAAGTCAAGTTTAAAGTGCCGTGGTGATACAAATAGTGACAAGATGGATAACGCTTTAAAAAATAACAATCGTGCCGGAGGAGAACTGAAGTGCAGTTTGTGTGATAGAAAGTACAAATCGGTAGGGACATTAAAGGTTCATATGAGAAGAAGTCATGAGAATCGTGGAAAGTTTGTGTGCAATATGTGCAATAATAAGTTCGACTCTAAATTCGTATTAACGCAGCATATGAAAACAAACAAATGTGTCAGTAGTCAGCAAGAAAATTCAAAAGCTAAACGAAAAATTAAATGTAAGTTCTGTACTGCGACTTTTGAAAAACAGAATGCTCTAACTCTTCATTTGCGACGTGAACATTACGACGCCGTATATAAAATCAAATGTCCTGAATGTGACAAAAAATTCCCGAATCATGCTGGTTTAACAACACATAAAAATAACTATCATAGTGGGAGGGAAAATTTACATTGCCCATACTGTCCATTTGAAAGTTTAATCAAATCCAACCTTAAAAGACATGTTGACGAAACACATTCAGAGGATACAACCAAAAAAGCGGAAGTGAAGACGGCGCAACTTTCACCTGCAGAGATAAGTCTCGAAAACTACCGTCGGTATAAAGCAAATCCGGGTGACAAAGTTGTGCCAAGCGTCATAATAAAAAGTGAATACTATCTGAAGTTGACGAAACAACAGTTTCAAAAACTTGAACCTGATCGACTTAAGACGCCAGTCGTTTTCGATGAAGTGAATGGACCACGTCATAAGGCTGGGTGGGGCTACAAGTCTGAGGATAAGACCTCAGATATTTCATACGTTCCACTTACAGAAACTGAACAGGGTAAGTAATAATATTAATAATAATAAGATATCATGATTAAAACTAGTAATCTCTTAATTATGTTAAAATATGAAATTATATATACAAAATGATATGATGGAATGAACAAATTACTTATCTATGATAATTTGTTTTGTTTGTAGTGACTTCTAAGAAGATTTTTGGATACATATGGCGAGACGGGGTGACTTTCGAAATCGTGGAAGTGTATTTTGGGCTGAATGAGGAGGATTCCAAAATAGCAACAAAAAACAAATGGAAAATTCTTGTCCGCTACAAGAATAAGGGCTGTACAGATAGGTGGGTATAATATTAATTGTTGTATTGGTATTCTGCAGTTTCAAGTTTTATGTATATCAATTTAATAAATGCTGTTTTTATTCCACAGAATTCTATTCAAGAAGGGGTATTTCTTCGACTCAGAGGAGGCGTTTGAGGTGCCAGGAATGGTGGCAACATCAAAGTGGGCTGCAGGACAGCTCAAATCCTTTACGCGCAACGAAACTGGATCTATCTGTTCCATCAAACCTAAGGAATGTTACGTGTGGCTCTCGAAGTATTTGGAACAACTCCGAGCCGCCTTACGGTCAGTTAATGACCATTGGCTTGGACCAGTCGTAACTTTTCAGTTAGACGACAAGGAGGAGCTGATTTTGGCGAGACGAGATTTGGAGAAAGTTAGGGGCGAGATGTGTGAAATGGACATTGGGTTAGTAATTTTACAATTGTCATGATGATTGGAAATGCATAATTCAAATCAGTATGCTTATTTCATAAATACTTGTATTTTAGGTTTACTGATAAGCTTTCAATCCTTACGGCGGAGAACTCTAACCTGACGGTGGAGAACTCTAACCTGACGGAGGAGAACTGCAAATTACAACTGCGTTTGAAATCGTGGAAGAAGAAGCAACAAGACGCAAAAAATGCGAACCGATTACTTCTGGTGCAGAGAGGACGACAAAGGTATGCATACATTTTGATAATACATAATCTTTCAATATGTGATATATCAATGTGTAATCTAATTATGTATAATTTGCAGTTCAAATGAAGACGTTCCGTGCTTTTTTCCTGTGACGTTTAAGATGGAGGAAGACGGAAACTTGGATCAAGGAACTGAGCCCAACTTCGACATATTCAGGAAGGAATCAGTGCAAGATGAAGAGTCAAGTAGTGATGATGACGACGACGGCGTCGAGTATAACAGAGTCCCTACAGTGTCGGATCTCATCAAGGTTGTCACGAAAGTGCTTGACCGTTCTGAATCGTCAACCGAAACTAATCCTAATGGCGCTAATCCAAATCAAGAGACTGACCCGTGTGATGAAAAGACTGAACGTAACCGGAAAGTGTTCGTCGTAAAACTATGTGATTAATTGTTTGTCATTCTTATGTACGATATTTAATAGCTCACATATTATTATTAAATTAATTTCTTCGGTGCTATTATTATCTAACTATTAAAAATTTACGAACTTGTTGTCATGAATAAAAGCAAAAGCGCTAACCGAACAATATCATGAGCTATAATTAGAGGAACATAATATGAATTATTCTCATCAGTCACTCATAGATAAAACTTTTAGAATTTGTATCAACCATTTGCATTTTACTGGTATAAATGTTCAAATAAAATAAAATAAAAAACTTACGAGGTAACTCATGTTCAGGGGAAACAAAGCTTCTGGATCGTCGATGCTCACTTTCAGACGTTAATCCAGCAGCAGTTCGGTCTGGACTAATATAAAGCTGAGTTGGATAAGCTTTATCTCCAGCGGCAGTGGGCAGATAATATGCGTTATTCGACAATCCTCCTAATCCATTTAGATTGGCTCGTGGTCTAGAAACTTCAATAATCACAATTTCCTCTTTCGGTAAAACCTAAAAAAAAGACGAGAAAATTTTCAAGCACAAATCACGAAACCACAAAAACTCAATATTTCTATCACTAACCACAGCCTTAAATTTTTCCAAAATTTCCTCCTCGTGTTTAGTACGTTGCAGAGTATCCACAGAACGAGCTCGTCTCATGCGGTCCCTTCGCTCTGAAACGGCCGCCCGTCCCCTTGGTCCTGGGGGTTTCTTTTCATACATTTGACTATTGCTTCTATTTTCGAGGACAACCGTAGCTGACTTGGATTTGGTCATCTCGGCAGTAGATGTTCCACCTTCAGTATGGTGCTGATAATCATCACCACCATCCTTATCATCTCGCCCTTTGTTATCCGACGACGAGGTCTTTTTATTTGTGTAATTTTGGCTAAATGGAGTTGGGCTGGAAGAATCACGATGATTGCTAATAATCCCCTCCCCAGCAGATGTGTCAAGATCAATAATGTTTTCGAGACTGGTTGATCTCCGCAAACTAGGTCTGGTGCTGTACTGACGCAAAGCCAGGCTTTGATATCGCGACCGTAGTTTTCGTACAATTCCAGGCCCATACTCCAGAATGCTCTCCTCCTCCCCGTTTCTCAGGTATTGTCTCGACTTTGAATTATTCACATCGTCCATAAATCCGCCACCGTCCTCCCGAATTGGGCTCGACTTTTCTATTAACATAATCAAGGTTCACAAGATTAAACCACTCGTATTACAACCACACTGTCTTTAACCACCGACTTAGATGATATCACATCACACGCCACATATGTATTTTAGTTCTATTCGTATGCTATTTTCAGTATTATTTAACTTATTTAAACAGTACTTAGCAGCAAGTAGTTTTGGTTTATATCACTCGATCCTCTCTCTCTCTTATTACTCTAATAAACAAAACTTGTGTAAACACACCACTAATTCACTAATAATGTACTTTTAGTTTAGGTATAACGTTTGAATTTTTCTGTGAAAACTAAATGAGAGTGGGGGTGGGAAGTTATAAAGCGAAAAATAAACAAGATTTACATGGTCTCTTCATAATCTATAACTGTTGTTCCAAGAATTAAGAAAAAGTTTGCTTGCACAAATAAACAATCCACAATTTCACATTTCTATTTGGTGTAACATGCATGCAACAGTTGTTGTGCTGTTGAGTTGAAATGACTGACTGGTTTAGAATCACAAACAAAAACGACAGCGAATTAAAGACACGACGACGACGACAACGACACTACTTGTTAATAATACAGCTCACAGGAAAGGGGACAAGTAACCAGACCGAAGCTGAAAGGATCAACTCCCTCAACTCGTGGATACTTACATATACACATGAAACAGATTATTTCTTAAGAATCAAGAGCAGGATACGTTAAACAGAGTGGGAATGAGTGTGTATACATCATCTCATCACAGTAAAACCACTAGCAAAATTGATGCATGTATAAATCCTCAAGGGGAGAAAAACAGTTCGTTTTGGTAGTCAATAGTTTGACCCAACTAAAAAATCCAACTTATAAACTGCAAGAAATGTTGCATGATTCTCTCATGGTGATGGCAAAGGAAGACGCTTATAACTAAATAACTGCACTTGTTGTAGTACAACCCAATGCTCACTGGGCTCTCTACTTATTTTTCATGTAATGATGATGATGTGGGTATGCAATTGAATGAGAATCAATTCGGAATAAAGGTAAGTAATAACAACAACGAAGGCAATATCGAAATAAACTTTTTGGTGAGAGCCTATAAAGTAGATAGTAGAATGGAATGGAGAGAGGAAGCACTTGTCGTCGTCACTGTTGTCGCCATCATCCACTCCAACAACTGGGAGGATTTACTTGCTCAACCCTTCCAATCCCAACCTATACTACGAGCAGCATCGAATAAATAGTATGTAATGTAGTACCCTAATTACAGGTAAAAGGAGGGTTGTGAAGCCAATGTGTTGTGGGAAAGAAAATGGACAGGCACACTGTGAGACAGAGGAAATAATAATACGTATGCGATGGCTTCATGGAACTTTGTCAGTTTTTAGCAACTGCAATTTTCATCAAACATATTGGTTCGCCATAAAATAACACGTCCCTATTACCTGCCGTAAGAGATCTCAATAACCCATGATGGTTTTAGTATTGTTTTCTACCACAGTGTCGGCAAAACTTTTGGGTTTATGATCAAGAATAAAAAAAATCAACCAGCATACTGTCCTAAGCAATTGAGCTGATTCATGGGTTTTAAAAATCCATATAATTTGCAAATTGTGAGTGATACGTACTTTAGATGGATACATCTACGAATAAGAAAAAATATTGCTAAACCGTTATGCTAAGCTTACGTTATATCTGTGTAGTTCTACTTTACTCGTGATTTGATACTCATAATAATAATGATAATACTAGCAGCTAGCGGCAGACATTATTATCTTCCTATGGTCCACTGCGCGTAAAAATACAATACAACTTACCGGTGCTGGTTTTCCGTTTATTAGCAGCCTTCGTTTTGTGCATTTGTTCTTGAACCACGGCTGCCATCGTTGTTCTCCCACTTGTTGTGTGATGCTGTGTCACATTCATTCGGATGGATGTGGATTTTGGTTCAACAACCTGTTTTTTATGATTTCCTCCCGTTTTTGAAGTAGGCACTGACTCATTACCTTCAGCAGGGTGGACATCTTCCCCATCTGCCTCGTCCCCATTGAAATAAGAGTCGGACGAATGCCATATAATATTCCGGAGTATTTTATGATTCCGTGCTGCAAGTTCTGACATCCATGGGGGAGTAGCTGATGATCCCATTTTTGTCTCTTTGTCACGTGATTATTATCACAAAGGTTGTGCTGGTGGGGTGGTATGCACGTATATGTAGATGTACAGCGTGGTCAATGGTTGCAATTTATTATAGCTGAGTTTTTGCTTAGTCAGACTCTGTTATCTGTAATCTATTGTCACACACGCGTCTGTTCTTCGAACATTAGGTAGCAAACTCGGTACAATAATACTTGTTGCAGTTTTAAATTGATCACAGGGAAGAGTACTGGATGGACTTTACTACTATGCAAGTTCAACTCTTGAAAACTCCAAAAACGGTCAAGTATGTATGTATGCAGTCGTAGTAAGTCAGTAGTAGTAGCTCTTGCGACGAGACCTGTTGATGAACTGCATACATGGACACTGCAAATAACAAATTCAAATTCCTGTCATGTTGGTTGACGAGATTAATTCATATAAATTACTCTCAATTTGCCCAAATATACATTAAACTTGGTATATGATACTGTAAACCCTCCAACTTGCGTAATAATGTCCAGCCAGGCTATCTTTTGTATCACGACTCTGCTCTGCTTTATTTTAGACGCACACATCACCATTTATTTATTCATACTCTGCCCGTTAGTTAACGTTCCATGGATGCAGGGCAGGGCAGGGTGGTATATTGAATTTCACATCATGCTTCATGCATATCTTGCACAGCATATATTTGTGTACGTATGTATATATATAGATACGTACATGGAATAACTACAAGAAACTACTTGAAAGCTGCATGTTCAAACACTAATGAATTATCATGGCCCCGTTTATTGCCATTATCTTACTTATCTCAGTGTTCACCACTCCATTAATAAAATGGTATCATCATATTCATCATATCATGTTGCAAAAGAGCTAAAGTCAATATAATGATAAAGTCACAGACCTGGATAAAGTTGATGACGACCCACTACTAAAAACTAAATTACATGCTTTACGCTTAAACAAAATGAAAGTAGTGTAACCTAACCATAATGAGTATAGAGCAGGATGGACAACACAATTTGAAGTAAAGTGTGAATTATGACCTTTCATTGGTAGTAATCATATTATCGCATCGCAATATCATCTGAAAGGCATTATGTTGCATATACTCTTAAATTTTGGTCTAATATTGAATACATACAACATCCAACGCATCAAAATTTCAAAATGTCAATAGTTTACAGCTGAATAATTTAGTTTTAAATTCAAAATCATAGTTAAAACTTCCTAATTACAATGATTATTAATTGTAACATTAGCGGAAAACTTTCAGGAGTAGTTTTATTTATGCAAAACGGACACTGACTAATCACTATCACAAGGTAGGACAACGGCAGCTGATATCATGTTATCAACAATTTACGACATCAGAACCGATGACTGACAGATTAAATTACACCAATAATGACACCCGGATTCACGATAGACTTTTGTGTGGCATCGACGCACGAATTTGCTACAACCAAACAAGCGGTGATTCATTTTTACAACTCAGGTGGGTATGCACTGTGGTATGCACATAAGTATTCGGTATAACTGATACTTCATTTCGTTAACAATAATTTTAGCCCAGCGGATGTGTATGAATAGTAGCTTTAATTATAGTTGAACGACTTTTAAGTAATTATAATTAACCGGCATTAGTCAGCACGGCCGTCAAGATTAATTCCATCACGAGATTGACTCATTTGACTCAACCTCAATCAACATTATCTATCAACGGGCAGTTATTTGTTATAGCTTTTACTTGTATTCTAAACAATTAAAAACAATTAATTGCTGGCTACAAACAAATCAGTTGATTCGTTAAATTTAGGAATTAAGACTCAAAGCCAAATTAGGTTAAAAATAAAAATACATGCTGGAAAAAAATGGAACTTTTGAATTTACACCTATGCGATTAATAGCTCAGGTTTTAAAACACAAGGTTAGCTTTATTCCTGTAAAACCATATTACTAACTGTTTAATAATTTTCAAAATTAAAACGGGTTAGGAGTGGATGCCCAGAATTAAAAAAAACACAAGAAGATGTGAGATTCATTTATGCACCGAACCACATATACATAATTGCAAAAATTAGGAATTACTACTACTGCAGACAGGCTGATCTGTCTATATCCATGTTACTTCCTGATAAAGTAACTGGGGTATAAAGTTGAAAGGAAATAATAATAATAATAAAACTTTGCATTCCACTTCTTGCAGCTATTGCCTGCGTTCACTGAACGCCGTTCAGTGAGTTTTACAAGTTATTCAGTTACATTTGTGGTTAAATTTGATAGTGTTTAATATGCAGAAGAAAGTAGTACGCTATTCGTTGTCAGCCAATTCACTACTTGCTCAACATCAGTATGCATGAGACCTTTTTATTTATTTATTTACGTACTCACAATCCAACTATCAACAAATTATTTAGTATATCTCATTATTGTGGATAAACTCGACCCCAGACAATCAGACGCATTGGTGTCAAAATCAATAAGATTTGAAAATACAAGTTTAAAAATACGTGGTTTATTGACGTTAAACTGAAAAGCCGTTTTGAGCAAGGGTTATAGAGAGAATCGTTATGATTATTCGGATCAGATGAGGTCTTTTATCAGGACGTATGCTTACCGTTAATACCTTGTCCATTTTATGCAGGAAAATCGTAAAGCCGTTGTATGGCTAGTGTTCCATGTCCATTTTCATAAACGTAGAGTTAATGGAACTGAACCACAACTCTTCATAATTTTGAGTTTCGAGTTTTATTATGAAAGTAGCATTACGCAAACACTTTTTAAATCCTACTTTCAATGTAAGGATAGCAGGAATGATACAATAGAATCTAAAATAAAATTATTGCCCTAGTTCAATTGATGCATTTCCTGTTTATTCGTGGTGCCGTTCACTTGCACAAGTTTTAAAGAAAAACTCAACTGATCTTAACAATGATATGGTTTTTGCTAACTTGCAGTGATACAAAAATAATGAAGCAAATAGAACTACGCACAGGTGATATTTTAAAATCTAATTATAGCGTAATTAGTAATAAATAATACAAACATGCGAGTATTTAAAATATGTATCCTTGCATAATTTCTGTAAACCCTTTGAAATATAAAATTTCTCAAGTTGAATTGTCATATGATATGGAGAAAAGAGATGAGAAGAAAGGCAATTAAATGTGTGGAATAAAGTCCAACCCTTATCTTAAGATTTAAGATATTTTAAATCTAACAACCAAAGACGGTTGTAACAGTTGCACGGAAAACATTTTGAGCAAATTATGGATATTTACAATCACCGTATTAGTTATATTCGAAAGTGAGAACGAACATACTAAACAGTTTTAGTAGCAAACATCGATGACATATTATTATACTGATTTAGTTGGCTTTAAATGTAATGAAATAATTACATAATGTAATGAGTGTAAACTTGTGTATTTCAAAATTCAAATACGTTACAGATTACATCATATCTCCAAAAACTGAGTCCACGCTACAATTCTATTTCACAAAACTGATCAACTAAACAATACAAAGACATGTACAGAACTTCTGCCAACATTGCTTTATACCCATAAAAATACATAATGGGCATTGCTTTACGAAACGAAATGTGCATGCTTTTCCCAAATGGTATATATATTAAACTATATACTACATGTATGCATATTATGTAGGAGTTGCTCAAAATGGACATGCATCTATCTAAAGTACTCGACTCTCGAAATATATCTCTATATAAATAGTTAGATAATAATTCTACTTTTATTCAAAATAATGAACATTAATCGTGTTGCAGTGCAGAAACATCACATATTAAACATATTGAAGAACTGGCACAAGGGAGTATGTATGCATAGTAAGAACACACTTCTCATTGTCGGAATTATCGGAATTAGTTGCACCTCCGTCTGACCTTTTTGTCCTAAAAAATTCTAGAGACTATAAACTAAAGACACCCAATTCATTTCTCAAGTTAAAACTTTAGTGAGAAAATCTTATACAATGGATGCAATGGATAAAGTCAAATTGTAATGTCAAGCAAAATTGATTAATACAGGACTCGCAATTAGAGTTGCATACATATGTATTGAGGTTAAATTTAACTTTAATCTACAATAGAACGTTTTCATAAAGAATTTTAATATCAACAACCACATACGAAATCGTAATTTTGAGCCAACATGTAAAGTATAGTAAAGTAATAAGCAATAGTAAAAATGCAACGATCACAGGTACAACAATACTACGCTGACTGAGGTACAAATTAAGTGACGCTGAAAACAACAATTTCATTTACTTTCTATTAACCATAACCATTCCAAAATTCCAAACCCAGATCTGAAATATTATGTAAGAAAGGCCAAACTGTATCTAAACATATGTACGAAATACAAATATTCCACCTACAAAAGTACATATCTATATAAATCACTACTAGTGATTTTGGGCATTGTGGGAAGCTGAAAACAGAAACCCAAACCGCATAACCAAACAATCATATCATGCACCCGTAAAATCACAGTTTAATTGATTCAATGATCAACCAGCCTATTCACACAGAAATATTCCAACTTATCTTTTTTACCAGATAATGACAGTTAATTTCATGTCATCAAATTCTTTACGCTTAAACGAAACCAAGAACGGAATTTTACAACTGTGTGTGCTTTTAGCTAATAATGTAACAGAATTACAATAGATTGAGAGTATACATATGTACGTACGCACATAAGAATTGTTCAATGCATGGGATTAGTAAGATATGCTACTAGTACTGGATTAAGGAAACTTTAGTTGATTCATTCATGATTTGCTCAAGACTTAGTATTTCATCATGCGGTTCTAGCAACGATCATTTTTCATTTTGTACGGGTTCACTTATCCTTAGTGTTGCTCAATAGTCTCATATACAACAGAGTAATTTTATAAGACTTTCTGATTATATGTAAATTTACATTTATGTAAAGGGTGAACTTAAATTGGATTACAGATATCATATTTATGTATCTTTATTATTAGTATTAAATTAAATCAATCAAATTGATAGCAACTTATCGGTTCAAAAGTCTTGTATCCATTTATTATCTGACCTACTTAAATTGTCATTACTGCTTTGTTACCACAAAGTTTGTGAGCAGTAATCAGTAGGAAGTGGTGGTCTTTATTTTCTATATCTGCTGTACGTACAGTATGTACATTTTCAAATTCCATGCATTATGATACTACGATATATGCATCATTAGTACGCACATTCGGAGATGCCCAAACCCTGGATCTATAAAAAGTTTTGCATAAGTCAGTGATACCATAATTGAGGGTAGTTTGAGTTCAATAGTTCAAAATTCAATATTCTTGTGCATACTATAACTAACTATAAGCTTAAGACTGAGGCATAATGCAGCAGAAGTTGTGAGAAGTTGGGATGAGCTGCAATTTTTTAGAATAGCTTGGTAAACTTAACATATTTAAGCGTTTAATGAAGTTCATTAGTCCAGTTTAGTAGCCCAAGCTGATTCACATGGTCTTTAGCCACAGCCGTGACAAAAAATTTAAGAATCAGCACAAACCGAGTCATTCTGTGGGTATAGCACAAGCAAGTCAGGCTGGCATTGGTTTGCATTTTACGATGTGGAGTATGCATTCTGAGTGAGACGATCTTTTTTTCTTAGAAGAAGGGAAAGAAATGACGGTCAGCAAGTCTCGGTTGAAATATTTTGCATTTGGCTCAGAGAATTTAAATTTATGTTGCATGCTTTAATTTTAAAATGATGATACTTTACACGGTGGACGATTGATGCAGTTAATCTTGAGGGAATTTGGAACTAGGACTATTAAGATGTAACACACAGTTTATAAGGTACTATAAACTTGTGTGTGCATGTATGCATTATTTAGAACTGTCAACTGTGGAAAGATTGGTATTGCCCAAAATACATGGAACAACTAAAATTAAAATGAAGGATTAATAATTGTTTATAACACGTATACATATGTAATACATATCTATGCATACTTGTATACAAATATACATGTATATTTGATTTTTTGATGATCTGTATATTGGTAATTACCAATATACAAAATCAAACCCAAATTTATAAATAAGAAATAAAGTTGATTGATCGACTCTCTCCCAGACATCATTTGTGCAACAGGAAATAATAACCAAGTTTGAATTAGTCTTCTAACCCAAGGAATCAAAATAAAACAATTTAATAAAGCGACAAATACCGTTTCACTTGGTTTCATTAAACTGAAAGAGGACAAATGAGGTCTATGATTTAAATATAAGACTTGCTTTGAAACAAAACTCAAGTATTAAAGAGCTACAGAAAGTAGAATAGATATCTTAAAGACAATTAAGCTTTCACGACCATAAAAGTGATCATGTGAGGCATGTGTGTAGGTAAAAAGATATTTTCGCTTTTTTAGAGAAAAACTTTCCTTGCAAAATAAATGATTGGCAGAATACGCTACGAGCAATTTCCTACAATTGAATCGTGGCAAAGACGAAGACATACAAATAAATGTACAAATTCATTAAGTTAGAGGTAAATCTGTGATCACGAGAGAGTTGACTGGGATTCGTGCAATTCGTTAAATAGAAGGATGAGACTTTTCAAAGCAAATTGACGATTTTGAATGACTCACGTGTGTGTGTTGTGAGTGTGGGTAGATCGAATTGTACAAAGTTTTTGTTTCGTCTTAAATGAGGCGTTATCATTTGTAATATTATGGTAGTTTGTGTATAGTGTTTAGTGTATAGTGTATTTTAGTACCAGCTTTCCAAACTTATGCTTCCGAAATGTAATAATTAGGATACTTTAATATGCTCCAACTTGTGGCGTGCAGACACTTGATAAGAAATTCCTATTATGAATTTCGATAATGATTCATGATAGAATATGTGTGTATGAGTGACTTGATTTTAAATTAATAAATCAACCCAATTGTGGTGGCACAAAAATTATTAAGCTTTGAAAGAAGCCATGAGATTGCCATGTCATTAAGTTATCTCTTTATTAGGTATCATGATGTGGGTCCGCCAGAATGCTCATAAGTGAAAAGTAAGTGAATCATCTTTTGAATAAACAAATAATTCAGAAAACATACCTGCAACTTACATTATATAATTGAACTGTATTCAGAAAATTATTTTCAACAATATTCCTGATGATGATGACATGAGTTTTACTTTACATCGAAAGCTTGAATAAAATTTTTCGAAAATTATTCTACAAACTTCTTTTGATTTCTGGCATCTTATCATCATGGGTAGATAGTAATATGACATACGTAATTATGACTACGTCTAAACATGGCTTGACATCATTTGGACAACAGCAACGTGATCGGAGATAAGATATATAAAGTGTAAGGAAATCAGGGTGTAATTACAATTACCTCATCTCAACTAAACCAGCACGAATCCCTAAACCAGAAATACAATTTCCTCCTCAAAACGTATTCCTTCTAGCACCATATGAAGATACGCATATCGCAAGGAAAGGACATATCAAAGCTGTAATTGTCACAAATCCACCTAATTTGATCCACTGACTGAGGCAAGTTAAATATGTACATAGAGCTGTTGCAATCTATTTTTTGTACATCCGTTTTCTTAACCATTATCAACAATGCACAGGAAACGGGAAACACAGCAAACAAACGAGATTGACAATGAATTCAGTAGGCTACACAAAAATGCCCTTTGAACTTGAAATAGACAAGAGTGTGACTGAGACGGGATCATTCTTATTTATATATTTGACAACTCTATAAGAATACAAGTATACTAAAGTTTTATCAGTGCATACAAGAACGCATAGCTGCATGACTTTATGAGGAGAATATTTTGCATATTTAAGCAGCAGTAAATATTAGCTACTTTAAAAGTGACATAGACAAGCCGAAAGAGATGCATTAGAGCACTTCATTCATGAATAAGATCAGACTCAGTAAGTTATCAACTCAGTGCATGCTAAATATACAGAATAGATTAAACAGGTCGCCAACTAATTAGGACGTGGAGATATCAGTGTGACTCGTCTTTAGATTCTTCGCAGGGTTTAATTTGCACTTTAAATTCCAGTTGACGTGGGTTTGCACAAATATCTACAATCTTTAAAGTTAGAGAGAAATGAAAAACTAGTAGGGTTTGGAGGTGCTGAATCTATCAAGATAATTTGGTTGGAACCAAATAATAAAACTAATAAATTAATCTCTCGACCGAGCGTTTTGACGAACTCGCAGTGCAGATAAATTGCTGAATTTGCGCATCTGTGCATGTGCCGCACCAAATATTGTTTATAAAGAGGTCGGCTATCAACTCCACGAATCACAAAAATATCTGGATTAAACTTGGTGTGCGTTTTCCGTTTCCTATGTTAGCATTTTCAGACCAGCGGTGGTCTACGACTAATTACTGACAGTAAACTAAATAATATGTAGTTTAATATGCAGACCATTAAGCCTAGTGAAGCAAGAAAGCGAAAAATGCATACTATAATTGGTGATAGTAAAAACGGGACAAAAACAAATTCAATATGAATCTAGTCCATTCAAAATGACGATTGATTGAATTCACGTGTGGTTGACAAACAGCGTTATTATTATTCTTTATGATTTTATTAACTGCACTCTGCCTTTAATAAACTATAAGTCACTAATGACTATAGATAACATGTGTGGGTTGAGTGATAACAAAAATTATTCTCAGGGAATTTCTTATGAATTCTACGACCTCAAACTTCATGCAGCTCACACAGGAGAATATTGTAATTTTGGTGTTCACTTTTATGCATATGTACCAATGTATATTGCATGCGTGTGAAATGTGGGTTAAAATTTAATGTCGGTGTGTAGTGTAAGTAACATAGCATCCGACTCCGACCATACATATAAAATCCAACTTGGCTTGGTTGGTGGTGGTAGGTAGGAAAGTGTCCTACTTTGATTTAATTAAGCTTTCAAAACACCATGAAAATACTAAACTTTTTCTTCCCTTGCAATAATAAAATTGAAAGAAATGGTCATATGCATGCAAACCTAGAATCAAGTCAAGAGTTTCATCCATTTTAAATTCCTTATTGTTCAAGAGTAACAAGAAATGGGTGGACCAATTCGTCATAAATGTATATTTATCTCGGTAGTAAAAAAAACGCTATAACAAACCAACCTTCTATTTTTATGAATTTTGTAGAGAAAGTAGATTTACTTACTTTAAATTTTAAATGATGATGGCGACTAAATCCGTACCAGTGATTTGTGAAATGTCCTTGCCCTTGTTGAGATTCATGAGACAAAATAAAATACTGAGGTAAAACTATGTACAAGCCTTATTGGCCATTCGATGTATCGCTTTCGCTCACGAGAGAGTTATTCTAGAAAATTGTTTTCTTTGACGTCTGGATTTGAAAGGCTTGTATGGAGTTGGAAGGCAGCTTCAGTCTTGTATTATTGTCAATATGTAATTATTAATCCACATTCACCTCAAAATCCTAGTATGAAATTTTGTATCCGTAATGTTTCACAACTGTTTGGACTTTCACCACACTTCGGGTTTATTCGAGAGGCTGTTAAAAGATCAGAAATGTACATGCTTTATTACAGTGTATTGAATTCACTACAAACATTTAAAAGTAAAACCTTACCTACGTAAAGATGATTCTCAATTCATTAATAATAACAATTTGTAATCTGATACTCATTGCTCACTCAACAAAGTCAGTGCCCAACCAGCTATTCAGCCCAATAGTTAGCGGAATGCGTATGAATTCTTCGTAATTTAGTGAACACAGGTGAATGAATTTTTAGGTTGAGCGGAAGTGAACTTAAAAAGACAAAAGAGGAAGCAGGGATCAGTCAGTTAGTTGGTGGTTGGTTATTTTGTTTGTTTTTTTTAGGCGGCGCCGCACAACATCTGTCATTTTATGTGTTGGTCTCCAGCGCCCACGCCCAGGGTCTCCAGCGCCAAAGCGCCCAAGGTGGGTCTATAGCGCCCAAGGGTGTTTAGCGCCCATACGCACAGGGTCTACAGCGCCCAAGTGGTGGAGGGTCTCCAGCGCCCAGGGGTTTCGCGCCCAAGGTCTCCAACGCCCAAGGGTTTAGCGCGCAAGTGTCTCCAGCGCCCACCGTTATTAAAATTATTATTAGATCTCCTTGCATAACCCGACAACCATTGTTTCTCACCCGGCATTTATAATTCCACCCCCACCCCCACTCAAATCCACCCTCACAATTTTTATGGGGCAACGTGAGATTTTATTTCATATTGGGCTATCGTTCGTTTTTTAGCGAGCGAAGCGAGCAGGTTAGGTTAGATCTGATAGGTACGGGAAAAGTGTGAAATGCTTAACTAGCTAACCTAGCTAGTTAGCAGAGCTAGCTAGCCTTGCTACCTAGCCTAGCTACCTAGCCTTGCTACCTAGCCTAGCTACCTAGCAGAGCTATCTGGCCTAGCTACCTAGGTTAACTAGCTAGCTAGGTTGTATCTATCCTAGCTAGCTAGTTAACCTAGATAGCTACCTAGCTAGCTAGACCAGGTAGCTCTGCTAGGTAGCTAGGCTAGGTAGCAAGGCTAAGTAGCTCTGCTAGGTTGCTCTGCTAGCTAGCTAGCAAGGCTAGGTTGCTCTGCTAGGTTAGCCAGCTAATCATTTCACACTTTTCCCCTACCTAGCAGATCTAACCTAACCTGCTCGCTTCGCTCGCTAAAAAACGAACGATACCCCAATATAAAATAAAATCTCACGTTGCCCCAAGGTTACACACGTTGGGGTAGGACATGAAGTACATCATGTAAGAAGTTTGTGATAGAGACATATTCCCTTAATTATTTAAATAAACTAAAATTGAACAAAGTAGATTGAAATATTTTGTAGTGAATCGTTTCCCATTAAAATCGTATAAAAGAAAATATTTAATAATTTTAATAACGGTGGGCGCTGTAGACCTTTGGGCGCTAACACTGTGGGCGCTGGAGACACTTGCGCGCTAAACCCTTGGGCGTTGGAGACCTTGGGCGCGAAACTCTTGGGCGCTGGAGACCCTCCACCACTTGGGCGCTGGAGACCCTCCACCACTTGGGCGCTGTAGACCCTGTGCGTATGGGCGCTAAACACCCTTGGGCGCTATAGACCCACCTTGGGCGCTTTGGCGCTGGAGACCCTGGGCGTGGGCGCTGGAGACCAACACATTGTCATTTTTACCAGCAACAACACGACCATCTGTAGTGTAGATTCACACCTCTTCCTCCACGTTTCTACACCTGTGATTAAATAAGAATCACACAATGGACAGTGGAATGAATTGTGAATGAACTCAGGTTCTTGTCAATAAGTTACTGGTTTCTGCACTTGTTCATGCTTCATCAATCGTATCAATATGTAAACTTTAGGACTGACTAAATGGCAGAGGTGGCAAGTATTTACTAAATCAGCATGAGTGGTTAGTACATACTGGTTAATTGTATCGAAGTAATTTTCTGTGGTTAAAGTTTTGCATTCTAACTTTATTGTAATATTTATATGCAGTTATCTAGTTGGTCTGGAACTGTAAGCATTCAAAGAAGAACAATACAATTCGGACTGAGAGAAAGTAAAAGTAAAGATACGACAAAACCGGTGATCTGCTGCTGTTCTGCTTATATCCCCCTCACCTGACTGGTAGGTGATATTTTATTAGCTTATCATTATGCATTCTTCCAATAATTATTACAACTGATTATAGATTTAACTAGAAAATTGATGCATGTAGGTTTGTAGATATAGAGGAAACACTGTTTACAATAATCAGTGTTACGGTCAAATTGGAAATTAACATACATATTTCCAAGAATTTCTTTCTTATGTAGGTTGTAAGATACGAATTTGTACCTGGACAGGTGCTAAAAGCTTTGGATGACCACTTCATGAGAAATAGCTGCAAATTGGAATGATCACAACATGGGCGGCTCGTTAAGTTCTCCACATTATAGCACGTTGTATCTGCTATTTACTGTCATCTGCAGCATTTTACACTATACTGAACAAGGTAAAAATGATTTTCCTACAGATTGACGTGAAATTTTGCTATTTTTATTGAAACTGAGTACATGGCTTTGTCGTCAAATCTTTTTCAGGAGCCTTGTTTGGTAACGATGCAGCTCCACTATATGGGCCCGATGATCAAGTTTATATATTAAACTCTACAACGATTAAGGACCATATTTATGGCTCTAGCAGGGCGTGGGTAGTAGAGTTCTATTCTAGCTGGTGCGGTAAGTTGTCATTAGCTGATGGACGTTTGACGACGTCTTGATATTACTATCATTAACTGAATTTCGTTGTATAATTCATACTGTCACTGTACTGTAGGTCACTGCATTCATTTCGCCCCCAAATGGAGACAATTTGCTTTAGACCTTAGCCGTACGTCTAAAAATATATGCTAAATATTATCTAAGTAGGCAATCATTTAAGTTATGCAATTATTTACAGCATGGCAAAATATTCTGGTCATTGCTGGCATTGATTGTGCTGATGATAATAATGTAGCAATTTGCAGAGAGTATGAAGTCATGGGATATCCATCGATAAGGTTTTTTCCCCCTCACTCTCCAATGACCAAAGTATGTAATTATTCCAGTCATTTATAATTATACAAGTAAATGTTTATTTACATAAATAATTGCATGAATACAACTTATAGAAAATCACAAAGGAGAAGGAAATAGTTGACGACTTTTACCGTGGGAATCCAGTCGATCGATCAGAAAATGTTGCTGATTTGAAGAGAAGTATGATTGACATGACGATTCCTTATTTGCACAACTACTATCAAATGTCAGATTCCACCACACCATCCGTGTCGGATTCAACTTCTCTGTGGGAGTTTATTAAGACTAAAACCATATCTCCGACTGCTCTCCCTTCAATTGCAATTCTAGTTTTTGAACCGGAAGAATCATATGTTACGAAAGAAGTTGCAATGACGATGAGCAAGTTCCCTTCCGTTATAATATTCCGATTTACTAAGAAAAACGCTCTGTTCTCTGAACTCAAGTTGGAAGGGTGGCCTGCCGCTGGTTATGTCAAAAGCGATCATTCGTCGGGAAGTATGCCATTTCCAAAGAATAAAAATATCCCAAATTACTTGGTAAAAATGATGGCGGACATTGCGAACATTCCTATCGACCTGTAAGTGTGTCTTCAAATTTAAAAACAACGATAGAGCTAAATTGATATGTACTGAATGACAACGCCATGATACCTATGTACATATATCTATTAAATCTATTCAGATTTTCTTCCACCTCTAATATTCGTGACAATATTAAGTCAGAGGCAAAGGTGATGATCAACGAGGATGCAATGTCCAATAATCTTGAGGAGCCCAGCACTATAAGTGTGGTGAGCATTGAGGACCTTCTTCACGGAATGAGAAATTCATTAAGGAATGAAGTTGGTCTTTTCAAGCAACTTGCGGGAGATAAGCTTCAAGCTCTGAAAAATTATGTCCATACGCTTGCAGAGTTTTTTCCTGCAGATCGACGCGAAACTTTGCTATTTTTATTGAAGCTGAGCACATGGCTTGCACCCATGGAACAAATTGATGTAAGTGAACTATTACAGATATGATTGATCTATGCAATATTGCAATGTTATTATTCATTCATATGTACTACTAGGATACAACTTATATGGACAAATTAACCGAGTTGGAAGTTGAATTGCATCCATGGGACATCGACTTTAAGACTTGGAGCAACTGCAAGGGCTCCATACAAGGTAAAACACAATAATATATATATTATCTGTACTTTCATTTGTTAATTCAATTGCAGCAATTAACAACAATGTAATTTATTAATCAATAATTTAGGCAGAAGAGGTTATCCTTGCAGCATGTGGAGTTTATTTCATACACTCGCCGCAGTTGCATTTCAAAAAAATCAACAATTTCCAGTATTGGATGCCATACATGGATACGTGAAAGAATTCTTTGGTTGTAAAGAGTGTTCTGGTCATTTCACAAAATTAGTCGCTGATGATGGTGCATTAATGATTTCTTCGATACGAGATCAAGTCTTGTGGCTCTGGAAGGCTCATAATAAAGTTAATTTAAGGTACCATAAAGTTTTAAATTATTTCAAATGAGCAATTAATTACATATTTATCTTTCGGTTTACTTGCTACACTAGATTGAAGGGCACATTAAGTGAGGATCCTGTATACCCAAAAATTCAATATCCCAGTGAGACACAATGTCCAGAGTGTTACGGGAAGGAGACAATCTTTGATGAAGAAAAGGTGCTGCAGCATTTGCTCACGGTGTATTCGAAACCTGAAAGAACTTTACAGCCTATACAATCTTCTCCTGATCGACTATATGCAACGAACGATGGAGGGCACAAGTCGCCTGGATTTTTTAGTGGAACCGACTATTGGCTGTTTTGCATCGTCTATTTAAGCGTGGCCCTGTTGCTTATCTTTGGCTATGTTCATTTTAGAATGAGAAAAGGAGCCAGATTCGATATTTCATATTTTATGTGTAGGAAACTTAAACACCATTATACTGGAAAAAATAATGTATAATAATTCTTAATTCATTAACTAATTTAAAAATAACAAATTTAAAAGTCTATAAACATTGACATATCTGAACAATCGGCATTCTACTTCTACTAATATCATATAAATAGACTGAATCAGTAAGAATATATTACATTTTGTCGAGTAAGTATCAGTAAAAATTCAGGCAAGACTTTTATGGAGTGTGTTAGACTGCAAAACCAAATTCCAGTCAACGTAATGACATACATCATAAGGTTGTATGAGTTGTGTGACTATTTACATGAGGTACGTGTATATGAAATTCACTCATTTTTCAGGGAGTCTGATAAATTATGATATATAATATATCATTATTTTGCACTATTTTATTTTATGCAGAATCTGTGATATGGGTTGTTTAAGGAAGATTATATTCAAAGTATTTATGATAGATAGATATAACATTGCCAAATTATGCTTAACGTGACGACATATTTATATTGATTCCGTAGGAGTGGTAACTGATTTGATAGTCAAGAACAAAGAGAGTTATTTGTTTATAGCTAGACAAATCACGCGTATTGGATACCTCAATTTAAATAATTGTTCAATAAACCGCTTAAACACAAGTTAAATATTGACATGAAGCATGTTTATTCTTGTATAAACAGTTAAAAGCATAGAAAGCATAGCAAATTTATGTAGGTCATTATTATTTGATGTCTATGAATATGGAATGAATGGTCCGTATGTTATGTACACATTAACTTATAACACATTAACTATACTAAACTAATAACTAGTAAATAAGTAAGCACTAACTGTATATACAAAAAGTATGTATATTTTATCAATCAATCATCTCAACAATATTTTTCACACGTAAAACTAAAGGAGACTTGAAATATTAAGCAACTTTGAAATGATAAACGACATCATCAAGAACAATGTTTAGCATAAAAAATACCAGCAAGATCATTCGAATCATTTTAATTACTTTTTCATCGGCAGGAAAAAAATGCAGCATATTAGTATGGCGAAAACGGACTAGACTGTAACGTTTGCTTGGTCTTAAGCAGTTCTAGATGTCATAGTCTTGGTCACATCCACGCCAGTAATGGACTGCACTAGTTGTGGCATCCTCAAAACGGTTTCTAATACTTCGGTTACCAATCGGGAAGCACCTATTTCACCGCCGGTGCTCACCATCGAAATCTTGTTAACCTGAGTCAAACATAATATGATTACATTTACGTACGATTATTAGTGTGATTAACATAGAATGATACCTGAGTCAAAGGGGCGGCAACTTCGGCAGCAATCTGTATAAAAGAAAATTGTGATTTATTTTTAATTGATGACAATTGCTACACAAATTACCTTTGGCAATGCTTCCATCAGCATATCAACAATTGCCGCTTCTTTGTAAAATTTGTAGGCTTCTGCTTTTCGTGCAAGTTGCTCTGCCTCTGCTAAGCCTCGTGCATTTAGACTAAATGCCTCTGCTTCCCCCTTAATTTTAATTGCCTCTGCGTCTGCCTCAGCTTCTAATATCACCCGATTCCGGTGAGCTTCAGCGATTTTTTCCATCCTGTAATTGATAAATGATCAGTATGACCATTAATAAAATGGATTCATAATTTCTAAACTTTATTCCAAGCCTACCTGTACTTCTCAGCCTCCGCGGGCCTATATGTAAGGTATATCAATTATTTTCCATTATTATATTCTCACCACCCCTCTTATAATGGACAAGAACTTACCGGCGAATTGTTGCATCCAGTTCCTTTTGACGACGTTGAATTTCCTAATCATAAGTCACATGCATAATTAGTGATTTATTTCATACTCATATGAAAGATAAACAATATATAATTACCTGCTCCTGAATGGAAATCTCTTGCTGGCGTTCCACCACCTTAATTTGCATCTTTTCTTCTACGATCCTTTGCTTGGTTTTTGCAGCCTGTAGTGCGTAAGCCATCTCAGCCTCTGCTTTCTGAAATAATAATATCCAGAGTCAATTAAAGTAAAATGACCGATCATACGAAGCAATAATAAATTTCTCGACCTTAGTATTGACTTCTAAGTCGTAAGCAGCTTTTTTTAACTCGAAATCCCTCTTGGCTTTAGCAATCTCAGTGTCATTAACCTGTGATTAATTATTATTATTATTATAGCTTGATAATATAATTATAATTTAATAATATTATTGATATTCACATATTTTGCAGCCATTCTCTCTTCCTCTGCCAGCGCTTCCTTAATGGTGGCATCTCGCTGTGCTTCTGCTTCTCCAATACGTGCGTCACGTTTAACTTCTGCAGTTCTTGCCATACCAAGTGCTTGAAGATAGCCCTAAAACATGCAACATCATAAAATTAATCGAATTCCCATCACTTTAATAGCTGAGTAATAAATGTCAAATGGTACCTGGTCATCCCGAATATCTCTCAAAGTGTATGAAATCACTGTAACACATATTTACGTAATTCATATTTGCATGTATATTTATAATTACCTCCTGTTTCCATTACCTGTAATTCCCTACCGAAAAAAATTAAAAATGATATTTATTATGTTAACATTTGAACACATTTGGCGATAAGTGATAGTTTACCATATTCATGAGGTCAGCGGATGCCACTTCATACACATTTTTACTAAATTTCTTTCTGTCCTTGTAAATTTCCTTTTGAAGAAATAAAAATATAATTCATTTGCAAACTTCCAAAACAATATCAACAGCAACAGCATCAAAGAGAAATACGTATATAAAAATCGACTCTTTGTTTGCGACTTACTTCAACAGTCATGGACCCCATGATTGCTCTCTGGTGCCCTTCCAGCGTCTCCAAAGCCACTCTCTCGATCTCCTTAATGCTGCATTTTCCAACAAATTTATTATTAAAGTTTAATGTGTGATTATTATTTGATGATGAACATTGATAGTTAAGAGATTAAACCTTTTTCCAAGAAATTGTTCGCAGGCAGACATTAACATTTCTTCATTCTGGCCTGTGGTACATGTCAAACATTATTTAAACTTCGACTGCCACTTAAAAATTGTTACTCTGCCACCATATATATGTATATATATCGTATGCAAGTAACTTGATACTTTCGCTGTGCTGTAAATTGTACGTTTGCGCTGTAAAGTTGTTTAAATTAAAATTTGAAAATTCTCAATTCGATTCTATCCGAAAACTTAAAAAGACTATGCAGATTTTTTAACAAAATGACCAAATTTTTTACAGTTTGGCTTTCCTTTGCGTGGTAAGGTCACATGTAAATCTTGACAAGATTATCTTAGACTCCGGCTTTCTAGGCCGGAATCTTGTTTCAAATCAGGTCGATGTGTATCTCTTGGGTTTGATATATGTAAAACGCACCTTGTATCTTGACCTGTGCAATTCCGGTGACCGTAATTGGCACACCCTGACTGGTGTATACTTTGGCAGATTCAATTTGCAGGGTCATAGTTTTCAGTGGTAATTCCTGAACTTGCTGAATTACAGGCCACACAAAAGCCCGTCCTCCAGCGACAAGAGATGGCTTGCTGTGACAACATCCTGCAAATCGGGTATTACATAATTAATTATTTATGCAAATCTTTGATACTAATAATATTACGAAGTCATAGATTGGATTAGACTAGATTAGGTTAGGTTTTACCTGAGATGACAAGAGCTTGGTTTGGACCACAAGTGACGAACCCCCAGACCATAGTGTTATTTTGATGTCACGAAGGTTCTAAATAGTAATAGTAAATACTTCAGAATGAACCATTTTCGCATTTTATTGGGTTTTGTCTTATACCATAAAGAAATCACTGTCCAATCAACAATTATCAATTACCTGGATTAGATATAAAATGACTCCCTTTTTATTGTGCAATGCGAAAGTAGTAATTAATACTAAATCAGTGTCCCGAGTTTTGGGCGGTGTCGTATTTGTAGTTTGTGTAAAGTTAATCGTACGTTCGTAATTAATTTCAAATAGATAAAGTGAAGGATAATCCAATTATTTGCAAAACTCCAGCCCAGCCTGCCTATCCCTATTCCATCACCAAACATAAACACAGAGAAAACCTGCTGGATGGATGGGACAAGCGAAAGATTATTACTTTCTATGAGAACAGCTCACGCACACACGCCATTTGACGCCATCGCATAGTCATCCAGAAATTCAGGCTGATTGTACTGTACAATTTGTACATTAGGTTGTAATGCAAAAACGTACACTGCTTGGCAGTTGAACACAGCTTTCAACTTTACAGCTCCGGTGTGTTTATCCAATAAATTATCCTGCTGGATATTCTAGGGTATGCAAAACTATTATGAGTCCGTGCATACTACACATCAAGCGTATGCATGATGGGTTTGAGGAGTAAAAATTCTAAGAAATCGATCCCATGTATGCTTTGTATGTACAGTAAAAAATATTGTTCTATGGCATTTGGCTTGTATCGGAGAAAAGTTTGTTCGAGCCCAATCATTTTACTTTAACTAACATGCCAGTTTGTGCATAGACAATGTGAATAAAAACAGTTTCGACATGTGATGGACAGTACACGGGCTTTTTATGGTTGCATGGATGGTTTTAATAGATAACATGCATGTATTGAATTTACTATTTCAAAATATTGATTTAATGATTTCAGACGAACTAATTACACAATTAATACTGCGTGTTTATTGAAATCTCGTAAACTAATTTGAGTGAGAGGACACCGGATGAATACATGGTGTGTGTATGAATGACTTAGAATTTATTATAATGGGAGGATTCATTAGGTTCGATAACGTCGCTTCGCCCATAACTTGTGAAATTGTCCTCGTGAATGACCCAGTTTCAAATTGCTCGCAAACTCAGCATTCATATGATCTTTCTGTCGAATTTTAAAATCCGTATTTTTATTTCCAATGAATTTGAAATTATCGCTGTAAATAATCATAATGCGAAGTTTGCGCAACCTTGGAACTACGTAAGCTTCGTATAAAAAGTTCTATGCATTTTCTGGGCAAAAATTTGCATCGTTCACTAACTTATTTTGCGATGCGACGTTTGCAAAATATACGAAGTTCTCATGAATCCTCCTACTATTTAAAATGTAAAAGTAAACGGGGTTATTGTTACAAAACTAAAAAAGAACATCCAAAATTGTCCATCTCCTACTTCATTGCATTGCCATAAATAAATTAATTTGCTAATCTTGTGAAGCATTTGCCTCAATTTCTTCTTCACCACAATTTGTCATACTTTGGAACATTGAAAGTAGTTCAACACATCTGCTTTCAATCTGTGAACAAAAAAGACACATTAGTACTTATCCTGAGGAAGGTCATATAGCAAAGCAGGTAAAGTATAAATATCCTGATAGTACCTCTGTACGGTCTCTATTTGGTAACATTGATTCCAATTTTGAGAAAGCGCATTCATCAGATGACTCGGCTTTCCAGGTCGACATTATCAACTCATCTTCATCAAAACTCCAAGGTTTTAAGTTGACGAGAGTGGTAGTAGAGTTGGCATCAGTGCTAAGAACTGAATTGACACTAACGTCGGGCATTGAGATCATTACATCAGAACACGTCGTAGACGTTGATCCAAACTGATTAATATTATTGTTGTCACAATTTGGGGTTTCGTCGTTATGTAGAAGTTCTCCTTCTTCTTCAACATCTCGTTGTAACTCTAAACCAGGTGGTATGGATGACGTCTTTTTGTTTTGAGGTGCAATCTCCTCAGCCACAGACGGAACCCGCATTACTGATTTATCCGCCTTAATCTGAGGAATCGTCGTGGTATTCGAGTCCACCTTAAACGATGTTGTTTCATGCATCTCTGCTGCAAGTTTACGAGCACAAGAGGGTGACATCAGTTCAACATTTACAGGCCTTACAACGCGACCACTGTGGACAAAGACCTTTCCATCCTGAAACTAAACGAGTGAACATCTATTATCTATTCATTTTATTCATTAGGAAAAATAATATAGATTCATATGAATGTGATGTGATTAGTTACCTTTATACAACATTTGTTGCAATGTTTCACTCTAGAAGAGTAGGCATGATGTGTGGCAGTTTCATGACACATACACGGACAGGTTGTCGTTGCAGGAATCGTTTTTTCATCAGGCAGTGTTACGAGTTCTATATCAGATGCAGTATCTTGTGACGTAGCCTCGCTCTCCATGTCAAGTTCCTCAAAATCAACACGATCAGACCTGTAGGAAGACATACATGCAATTATCAACACATCAAACAATTGCGTGACAAAAGTAAAAAAAAAAGAGTTAACTTACACCGAGCCTGGCAGGTAAACGGATGGATTAAGAGCCTGAAAAGCATTCATCATCACTGGACTCCCTTGAAAGAATGGTGCCAATGCATCCGCCAGATCTTTCGAAGTGACATTTTCTTTTTCATTTAAAATTTTGAACTTATGGATTATTTTCGCTTTCAACTGTGGACTCTTTTCAGTGAATTTCTAACACAAGAATAAATAAATAAAGCATTAATTGCTATGTATTAAAATTTATAGCAAAACCTAGTGGGTGTAAGGAAAACTAACCTCCAAATGCCGCAAGAAATTGACCTGTGATTCCATTTCTTGAAATTCGCTGAAATCACTGACTTCGTCTTCTGGATTTTCTAGATTCCTTTGCATGAATGTGGAAAATTCCAATGCTAAAAGAGGGTAGTCCTTGAATAAAGTTCTGACTTTTAACAAAAGATTTTCTTCACTGATATTTATCTCGCCTGCTTCGGCAATGAGTTTAATAAACTCAGAGTGAATGTTTGGGTGATTTGATTCTGTTGTAATTTGTATTTTACGCAAAAAGGCTTTCATGAACGCATCACAAACTTCTTCATCCCGATCAGGATCATCCTCCAACATTGATTCGATTGGAACTCCCCCTTTTGCCATCCGTTTTTTCTTTGGAGGGGAAGTTGAAGAACTGCGTTTCGAAGAAGCTTTTCGCTTAGCAGGTTCGCCACCAACTCCAGCACCCCGTCTGGATGAGGATGACGACGGTTTAGAACTGCCTGTTGGAATCAGACTTGGTACAATTTCGTGTTCATGATCTTCCTCTGTGTCGTATTCTTTGTCCATTTCATCATCGACAGCATCTTCTGGCATTTCCTTCTTTCCATTATTTCGATTATCATCCCCTTCTTCGTCGCCATCGTTCTCTCCGTTGTTGCCACGATTTGAAGAATCCTGGCTTCCTTCAACAGAACGGGTGGTGGTGCTTGCAATCCCTTCGCTTGCTGCTGTGGAATTCTCTTTATTATTAGACGGCTTGCCCTGGTCGTTATTTTCGCTCGCGTCGATCGGCTCCACATGATCTGGTGATAATGATGCGTCAGCTCTTGTGACTCTTTCATCTTCATCTAAGGTAATCAGGAGGGTAGTTTCGCAATTATTATTAGATTCGCAGTCAGACTCGGAACTGCTACTTGAGTTAGTTTCGCTGCTACTGCTGTTGCTGCTACTACTGGAGTGGTCCATTGAACCTTGATCACTGCATACGCCATTGCTATATTTATTTAGAGAAATTATGGACATGGCATTGTCTTCATCCGCTGAAATATTTTTCGAACTACTAATTCTTGCAGATTGATTGTTTGCAAACGTTCGAGCACTGTGTATGTCTCTGTGATCTTCACTTTGTGATGCATTTTGGTGATAATTGTCTTTTAATTGAGCTAATTCAGCTGACTCTGAGACTTCAATCTGTTGCATTACTGCCATTTTCATTGGAGTGTTAAGGCAAGACAAATTTACAAAGTCGCTGTGTATCCCAGGCAAACTGATCGGGATTCCTACAGGCGTCACAGTAACAACAGATGAATGTTGGTCGGCTGTGTCCTGAGGGATCTTGTTGGTGTTTGTAGACGGTTTGTAAAAAGGCACGGGATGGTAAAATCGTCTACTTGCGCCAGTTTCGGTTCTGCCTGGCGATGAACTGGTCCCCGTGGTTGCAACTAATGCATAGTTGGGCACAAGCATGTACACTCCTGCATCTCCTTGGTCATTATTTAAAGGCATCGCTGTTAAGTCAGGATGAATATTAGCATGATGCTGAACCATACTAGTACCCACAGGGAATGTTGTTTTTATACAAGCGTCATTTGTTTTTTGTTTGCATAATTTTCTATTCGATGCCTTTCCAAGGCGTGCTGTTCCATTTTGTCGACCCCTTTTTAGATGGACTAAATCCTTCCCTCCTACATTCTGAGTAAAAATACAAATACACAAATTTGTAATCAAGTGTTGCATTTAGTATCCAATCGTTAAGCATAATTCGAGTGTTGTTTTTAAGTAATGATAGTCTCTTATTAATAAGTAAAATAAATATGTAAGTACCTCAGGCTCAGGGGCCAATAATAAGCTTGAAATAATCCTCCCCCACATGCCTGGTAAGGTGTCCCTTCCCTGCTTAATAGGAGAAACTGCCAAGCCAGGGTGCCATCCGGGAGGAGGTGGGGTAGCCCCTCTGGGAAGTCGACCAAGCTCAAAATAATCCTATATAGAAACAATTATGTATCTGGTACCCTGAGTATTACTCAAAAACTACTTTACTTCAAAAATGTATAAATGATGTTAATTTAAAAAACTTATTACCTTCATATCCTGGGACTGCACATTACTCACTTTCCTTTGATTTCTAATTCGATGGTAAACAGCTGCAGGTGTGCGAGACGCCAAAAGTGTGGCTGCAATTATTTCTGACTTCTCCCTGCATGAGAGTAGCTCATCTTTCAATTGGTCTAGAGCCAGTATTAGCAGTTTGTCTTCTGAAGAAACGAAGGGACACCTTTTCTCAGATTTTTGATTATATGTGGCCGGTAGAAGATGTGGAAACATGAAAGCATCGTTTTCTGCAATCGCTTTTGCAACAGGACGAGGAAAATAATTTGGAGTAAATTTTTTCCCCAAAGATTCTCCCCAATCAGGATTACATTCGTTCATATATTGTTCAACTAAAATCTTTTTCCTGTGAAAGAAAAATGTCATAGATCATGAAATTCGATTAATTCTAAGGTGTATTATAAAGTAGTATTTTAAAGCGCTTTCAGCCAGTAGTAGTACTAATAACAGTAATTTAAAAAGACTTACTTGATTGGGGATCTTGAACATGGCCGGACAGGCCAACTATTGACAAATTGCCAAGCCGCTTCACAATTATGAACCTTTGAAATTGTCGACGTTGCTCCATTTAATATTTTGATGTTCCGGATCTCGATCTAACAAAAAGAATAAATGCACTGTTTACTATTAACAAGCAAAAAATATTTTAGGAAAAAGTAAAACCACTCACAATCATCCGTTTTGAATTTTGTGCAAGGGCTTTCATATCAACATCGTCTCGGCTGGCTGTCAACGCATAAGTTTGAGCTAGTAACTGCACATGTTCTCGCAACTGGTGTTCCAGAATTGAGCGAGTAGTTTCGTTAAACAAATTAAATAATTGATTATCTGGGGGCTTATTATTTTGGGAGGACTGAGGTAAGACCATTGCAATAATTGGTTGTTTTGAGGGTGGCGAAGAAACTCCAGGTGAACACGGTGGAGGTGGTATTAAACATTGATTCGAAGACGATGCCACATCACAATCTGGCTCCAATTGCAACGACCCATTTGTCTTTTCCATACCAGATACTCGTCCAACAACTGTTAATGGCAAACTTGTATTTATTTTAATTGTATTCGTCACGGCTGCTGCTATATTTATTACTTCCTCGTCCTTCTCCGCAACAACCTATGAAAATAAACCACAATTAATTAGTATTTCAAAAGATCTATTTCACATTTTGTTGATGTACCAGTTGGAATTGTAGGATATCAATAAAAATGCATACCTCTTCTGCAGATTCATTAATTGCAATTCCTCTATTTTTTATTAATTTGTTGCTACTGTTGGTGTCGTTGTATCCTGTTGACAAATTCGGAATTGACATGTGAGACAACTGTGAGGCACAAAATGATGTAAAATCTGTCTCGTCAAGTTCATCTCCACTCGGAAAGTGTGACTCGTCCAACAGTTCAGCAAAAAGCTCACTGAGTTCTTTCTTTGAGACTTTTACGGCCCGATCCATTCGCAGCTCTTCCTTGTCTTGCACTTCTTCTTCTTCCATCACATTGTACTCTGGATCAGCCTCCTCGTCGTCACCTCCTTCATTGTTCGACGTCCCACATGGTCGGAGAAACTCGTTGACAAACCCCAAGTAGTCCTCGTTGTCAATTATTCCCCAGTCATACATATCTGTGGTTATGTCTGGTGGGATGAGCTGCATTTCCAAGTCTTCCAAAGGAGTGTCATTAAGTGGCAGTTTCGACCGTGTCCTTTGACCAATGGCACTATCTATTATTCTTCTAGCACATTTTGGTTTTATTGGAGGTGTTTTGAAGCAGGGGAACTGTTTGTTTTTCACAGGTGATAATAAATCCGACGACAATCCACATGACGACGAGGGCCGCTTTCTTGTTGCAGAAGCATAACTTCCAGGAGTAGAAAGTCGAGGAGACCCTGCATCGCTTGTTGCATCGTGTGACGCGACGCTACTGCTGAATTCGTCCTCTGAATGTGTCTCAGTATCACGTGGATTCGGAATATATTCTTCATCATCTCCACTAGAATCTTCCGGTAAATCGTTGTGTATGAGAACTTGAGTTTCACTGATGGGAGGGGAGCACGACTTGACAGGGGAAGATAGTGACCACAATGGTGGTGATGTGTTGCAATTTCCAAGCAGAAGTCTTGTCCTTGCTCTTGTTAATTTTGGTTCATAGCAACCTTCATCATCAGAACTGTCATCTGGATTCCGTCCCTTCCGAATAGCGGACGACATGACCATTTTCTGTACCATGTTGTTGGTTATAACATGTCGAATAATGCTTTTCACATTGGTTGCGGTGAGATTATTCTTCATAGCTTTATCCTCAAGAATTTTGTCAATCTCTGCGTCCAATGCAACTCCGTCTTCTTCTCTAACTACCGGAATTGGTTCGTGTTGAACCGTTGTGCTAGACGTTGTTGCTGCTGATGTGACCTTGCTAGCTCGATTGTTCCTCTGGGATTTGGTTCTGCGACGTCGATTCATTATTGTCTTTTGTTTGTCAAAAATATTTCGACGTCCAATAGTGGATCCTCCCCCGCTTCGGATTTTTTCTGTGTCGTACCTCCGTTTACGGTTTCGCAATGTTACTTCTTTTCCTGGAGTAATAATGTCAGGTAGTTTTCCAGGAGGCTTGACTGGGGTTGAAAATGAAGCTGCCAAATTTGGACTCGAGCACGAAACCTGCCGCCTGTTCACTTTTGGAGTTTCAGCCCCACTTTTCTGTCGAGAATTGCCCTTTTCTTGCTGCGGAGACAAACCATCTTCTTTATTGTAGCTAGTTTTATTCAAGGAATTTACCTTCTTTTTCTTGGCAGAGGAAACTTGTTTTGTTTCGCAAATTCGGAGACCACCTGGAGATGAAGATCTACTAGAGACGGTAGAAGAAGAAGATTCAAATTCGGACGTAAATGAAGGACTTGCGCCAGCATCGCTTTCAATTTCGGATTCTGATAATGCTTGTAGAATTCCTAAATCCTTGCGGCGAGTTTTTGATTTAAAATTGACTTCTTCTCCATCATCGTTCCGTGGGGCCGACTCAGCTTGGCGATTAATAACAGCTTGCACGTTATTCGATCTTGTAGGCGCCATAATCTGTAACTACAAATTATTATACTCCTAAAACAAATTGTTAGAACAATGATAATTTGATTACAGCAAGGACAAACAATTATTCCATATTTATCTGATTATTAAATTCGAAATATGAAATGCGTACGTTTATTTAGGAATTTTTACTGACCTATAAATAAAAATCTCTGGCCATTAAATATTGAGCACAACTAGCTAATCCCGGCCACGGTTTAAGATCAAAAATTAATTTTCAATTTGCATTTAAAACTTTTAATTAACCTATTTATTTCGTAGATCAGAACGAGAAAATGAATAAGACAATTGTCGATTTGTTTTGATGAGGGAAAAGTTAAATGGGATCCCGCCTGTGCTGATTTTAGTTGACGCGAGGTGACGCAGATGGCGCAGAAGTCTCTCCTGCCCAACGTGAACCACCGCTTTCAGACTTTCTCTCTCGCAGAATATTCATGAAAATTTATTTTTTTTAACAAAAGCTTCTTCCTCATTGAAATTATTAAAACTTTTCTTCAGCAACATTTTTTATTTACTCGGCTGTTATCTTTTTTTACTCAGCGATTAACTTTATAATTAATTAGGATGTCGTTCTCTTGTTCAAGGCGATGGTGGCGATGTCTTGGCATTTCTTGAGCTCTCTCTTCATGTACGTCTCCATGAACATAAAGTCCATCAGGATTTCTTGAACCATTTCAGTCATGAGTGAGGGCCAGGCTTTCTCCAAGCGGTCCAGCTTCTCTAAAATGTCCACCCCAGCGTCAACAATGTCGTGCAACGTGGTCGGCTTCTCATTGGAATGTTTTGCAAGGGGGTGATTTGCTTGCTGTCCGTTCTGGAGTATGAATTAGAGATTATTTTGCGTTTTTTATGAACTGTGTACACAATTTTATGGTTGGTCAATTTGTCGTGATCTGACAAAATGTTTGTGTATTATGCATATGTAAGCACACATGTATGTACATGCGTATATCCCATGTTAATAAAATTAATAATTAGCGAGTCTTATGTACATGTTGAGTTTTGTCCATTAAAATTCAGCAAACACAAAGTATGTAAACCCCTTCTGTGATGGAAGCTTTATGAATAAATAATAGTTCACTGTACGAACATCACCGTATCTACCATGTCATTTCCCTTTTTCCTGTCTGTCTGTCTGTCATATGCTATTTATTATAACATACAATTTATAATGGGAGCAGCAGAATTTGTTGAAGACACTTTACCAAATAATAATCGCTCTCATCATTCTCACGCCCTGATCTCCTGACCTGAAATTGCGTGTGTCACCTTCTGACACATTTTTAAACGAGATAAATGCTCAGTCCTGTTAATGCATGCCTGCCTCTCTCTTTTTCTCTCTCGTTCTCTCCTCATGTAAATAAATGAAGCCATTTCCATCCTTATCCATACACAGCGGAAGAATGATAACTCAGCGTCAGCAGTTCTTTCCTATCTCTCCTCTCATCGCCCCCATCCTCATCATATGGAAAGCAACTATATAAAAGTCATCTAGTTGTAAGTAGCACGAGAGTGAAGTTGAATGATACAAATTTAGAGATGAAATACACAGTCAAAACAATGGGCTGTCCAGGTCACCCGATCCATTATCATTAAGACTGGATGAACAACCAAGAACATTGTGCTTAATGAAGACATGCATACTTCATGCGAGTAAAATTAAAGAAAAGTGGGAAATAAGGACATGATGATAATGGGTCAAGTAAAGTAGTCATCTCAATTGGTTATAATTTAGTTGCATAATGCTCACAGTGGTGTTCGGTGCTGTGGAATGCTGTTGGGGACAATAGACCAAAGCCTCCTTTCCTATGACATCTAGCAGAACGGGGTCGTCATCCCAGGATGTGCAAATGGATGATGATGGCGGTGGCTGGTCGAAGGGTGGGAGTGGAGAACTCGTCCTTCCATTTCCGCCTGGTTTCCCAGTTTTTGTTTTCCCTTCAAAAAAGAAAGCAAAATCTGCAGTTTCTTTGTTGTTGTATGCATATTACTGCAATCTACCATCGTATTACTCGCATCATTTATTTTACATTACATACATGGAGGGTAATTATCTAATCTAAGCATACTTGCATTTAGTACCTGACTCGTCCGAAGAGGAGGATGGCGAACAACAGCAGAAACAATGAAGCATGTGAAGCCGTTTCGCCAACGGCGTCACTACAACAATAAATAAATAATATTTCATTGTCCTCGTATCATCGTGAATTTAGGTGACCATTATTTTACGTACAAGCCGTTTGTGGGAGGCAAGATAGTGCAAGAAAGCCCAATGACTCGAACTTGGAAGACGCCGTTTGCCCTCCCCGGTAGTCGGACGACACCTTAAGAAAAGCATTAAAACTTGTTGAGAATGGCGCAACTGCAAAAGTTTTCAGTTTCCAAAGTATAAGTAGCGCGTAACAGAAATGACCATATTTTGGTTGTGTAAGTAATGCTCAACTTTCTCCTTGTTCTTATTCCAGATCTAGCTGAAAGAACAGCAGATGCTGGGTGGACTGCTGGTTAGGTATGTGAGAGTAGTAAAAGTGTCAGAAGGAGAAAGTCAGACAGAAGAGCAGCCGCCACCACCACCAGCACGAGCACTAACAACATCGCCTCTTGCCAACTCCCAAATGCCTCTTTTTACGGTTTGGAAAGTAAAAGTGAAAGCCAGAGAAAGTTTGCAACTTTCAAAATATAAAATCAGCGAACGATACAAGAATGAAAAATTCTAAAGGATGAGTGTGAATGGGAGAGAAAGTAATAATGAATCGGAAAATTTATGCCGTTTTTTTTGGAAGCGAGAGAGGAGGATTAGCTGCGAACCTCCTTTTCTCCGTTGACGTTGAGAAGACCCCAGTGGGAAAGCCGGTAGGTTGCATAGCCAACCCAGGAGGTGTCCTGTGAAACCAAAGGGTTGCCTTCTTTAGCGATGTGCAGCGACGTCAACCCTTGAAGATCCGAGAGGGAATTCAGCTGGCTTAGTTTCTCTATGTTGTTGGCCCTAAGTTTCAAAATTTTTCAACAATTAAAATATTTCCAAACAAACTATTCCTATTAAAAACAGCACAAATTTTACAAGTACATAGATCATATATGTATGCATACTACATGGGTACTACTATCTTCTGCGTTTGAGCATGTAATTTGCAAAAGTGTTTTGTACTTATTAAATAACGGCTCATCTTGCTTACCGAAATTGGAAGTGTTCCAGTGATGGGTAAATTTGTCTTAGCTGTAACAGAGAATAAATAGGGGATCCGAAATCAGGAAAGGAAAGTGTCTATGTATGTAATGCCGTTGTTCTTGTCTCACCTTGCCAAAGAACGGAATGATGGTATCGTAGGAAATGTAGTGGAATTTGGCAGTTGTGACGGTACAAGTCACATTTCCAGAGAATCCCTGCAAATTAAACGAGTTTGAAATAGCAGGAGGAAGCTCAACGAAAGTCCAACATTTAGCAGAAATATATTCAACGTTACAAATATATGTACTTAATATCTGCAACCTGTTAATGTTACATTGAATATACAGTATAATATTGTTCAATCTAAATAAATTGATTCCTGGCCTTCTTCACACATCAAAGCAAGTAAAAAACATTGATTTCAACACTGATTACCTTTGTATGTATAATGCATAATCCTGACTAATCCTGACTATGTGATGCTTTCATCATCACACTGACAAAGATAAATTGCTCATGTACATTAACTGAAATGAAAGTGTCGGCAGTATTGTTGAATTGAAAAGCAGGTTCGAGTTTTGCTGATATAAAATGAGAGACACTGTTGTGACTGGGTTTCCTTTATTCGGTTGCGGTGCTGAGCAAAAAATTATTTACAAAAAAAAACACAAATAAGCAGTATCGACAAAAGTAGCCTGAATTTCTTTTCGATGCCCATCTGGATGAAAAGAGGACAGAAGAAAAAACACGCCTTGTTCACACACCCCCAAATGAAGCGAGGGGAAAGGGAATTCTGAGGAAAGATGATGATAAACTCGAAGGGGCATCAAAATCTACCAGGAAGCAAAGGTATGATTGAACGTAGTCTCGATTGAACGGTGTGAATGGATGATTTTGAGAGAGGAGGAGAAAACCAAAAATTTCTGCAAAACATTTTTTGCTCATCCCAAACAAATGGAAAGAAATGAAATAGGTCTTCTGTCAGTTTGGCAGACCATAAATGATGACCAGTCTTGTCAAAATTCAGGAATCCCAAAGGAACCATGCAACTTTCTCTTTTCTATACTCGTCATTCCTTACATAAATTTTTTTAACAGGGTTTGTTTGCTTGGTGTAACTGGTGTAAGGGTTTGTGGAATGCTTTTTGAGAAAAGTAGATGTGACGTAATGATAATATATGTGAAAAAGTGGCAAGTGTTTGGTAGGTTGAGAAATTGCTCACCGTCAACGTGTGTTTCATGGCTTGCCCATAAATACTCAAGATTTTCCCATCAATCTCTACGAGGTAGTCGGTCCCTTGCCTTTTCAAGGGAGTTGGTGAGAGATTACTAGCCCCGCTATTCTCCAAAGGGCATGTTCCCGTCAGCCCGGACCCCCCCACTGCTGACTCACATCTTCTCATCTGCCTGTTACCCCGCGTGTCACCACCCTGTCCAACGCGGCTGACCCCGCTGCTGCTCCCAACCGTCGTGCTGCTGATGGTTTGACTTGAAGAAGACAAAGTGCCCAGTGTCCCACTTTTTGCCCGAGGAGTCGTAGCGATGCAAGAGGAAGATTGGGCTCGAGACGGTCTATCCCGCAAAACCTGCGTACAAATAATTGTAACAATTTTATGGCCAAAATGACTACATAGTCATCTATAAAATTATAGCGTCCGGAAAAACGTAAATATTCGAACATGGATTCAATTAGTTCAATATATTACTTTTGTACTAAGCTCGGACTTTTGTACAGGTTGAGGTTGAACCAGTAATGTATAGAAATAAGACAAAATTATTTAGTCAAAATTTGCTATTGTATGTAGGACACGAGGAAATGAGTTATAGGGAGATGGGACATGTATTTCTACCAATGTTGGCAGTTTTAGTCTACACGAACAATGTGCATATACGTTTTCATAGCATTAGTATATTACTTTGAGTTTTTGAGAAGACCTGGTCCGTGGATTTAGCTGTTTCCGTGCAAATCCCAGTTTCATGTCAGAAGTGGTTGTCGCAATCGTCGTGGTAGATCCCGTCGTCGCAGTGGTATTGCTGCACGTGTCATCATCATCAACGTCGTAATGTTCGTCGTCATCCGACCCAGCTCCTCGACTCGATGATAGCAATCTCCCGTCAAAACTAGCACTCCTAAGTTTAAGTTTCCTCAGGTTTGGTTTGTTATCATTATGAGCATTTCCACTACAGTTATCTACGGCTGAATTTTGCGTAGATATATTTGCATTTGTGGAAGGGCTGCTGGTGGGCAAGGGGCTATCAGAAGGGACAGAAGGGAACTCCAAAATATTTGCAGATACTGAAAGTGACGACAAAGTTGATTCTTGTGTAGCACTAGTACCAGTCGGATTGTTATTTATTATGCAAGTTTCCTTCTCCTCATTGATTCTTTGTTGGTCTAAAGTCTCAAAAGTGAAAGTGGGACAAGTGGTTTCCTCTCTTGCACCACAATTTGAGAAGTTGGGAAGACATGTGGGGAAACTTTCACTCCTCGACATATTTCCCAGAGTGACATCCTCCTTTAGCAGAGTCCTGATCATAATTTCACTTTCATTGCTTCGGATTATCTTATCCTGATCGGATGCAGGAGAAATTAATGTGAGTTGATTTGACTGAAAAGTATTATATTGCAAATCTTTGACACTTGGGGAAAGAGGAGACTCAGGTGAAACGGCTTCATCGTTATTTGATAATTTACTATTATTGTCGTTATCATTATTGGCATAGGTAATTGTTACATCATCAATCGTGCGGTGGGGCACAAAAATTTCAGAAATCGCTTCTTTGTTGTTGAGCACCGAATTTATCGAGTCACCAAACATCATTGGTGTATTATTTGTGGGAAGGTATGCCCTCGGAGAAAGCACGTCTGGTAAACTGTTCATGGTCGTAAAATCATAGAATATTTGGTTAGAGGTAATAATTGTCTCGTCCACGGGACAAAGGTCGTCTCGTAGCAAAGGTCTTACCACCGCTATTCTATTACTATTACTGATTTCAGCATTTTCACTCCCCTTGTAGGTTTTGGGAATAGCTGCGACACTTGACTCTGACGCAATGGATTTTGAGCACAACTGCTGAGAAACGTTTTTTGTGAGTCTACTTGAATCATCGTCATCTTCAGCAGCACCTGTCAAACAGAAGATGAAGAGTGTCACAGAATCCGACTTTATCATTAACTACGCAGCAAACCCAACATACTCCATATACACACACTTAAGTATTTCTTTAATCATATAAAAAAGTGACCTCGATACTGCCACAGCATACCAAATGTTTGCGTTAGCGTCCTCTTCCTCTTCCGCGGATGATATCCGTCAAGTGGAGATTGAGCACTTTCCTCTTCTTTTATGATGTTTGTTGTTATTGAGGAATCCATTTGGGGGCTGTGATCATCGTCATCGTGGTCTGCTGCTTGTGATGATAATAATAACTGGGTCTCCTTCTGCTGACTCGTTTGACTGGCAACACCAATTTCTCCTCGATTTTCGACATGAAACCAATGTTGGTGGTAGTTGTCGGTATGGGATTCATGAAGGTCTACTTCCCATTGCTCCTGTTTCTGTACTTGTTTCGAGGAAACTAAGCTATTAGAATTGGAATTGGTATTGACATAATCCATCGGATTTGGTGGTGGTCTGAGGTCATTAATCATCGAAGGAACCGAAGGTGGACAAGAATCCTCTTCTGGCTGTGGCATCCGTTTTATATTTCTTCCTCCATGGCCGCCTTCTCCCGAGTTGACCGATATGGGTTGATGTTGATCTAAATCCGAATCCGACTGAGCAAAATTAAGCTTCACATCTCCAGCAGTACCACCACCAGCCGGGTACTCGAGAACCAACTGCTTCATCATGGATTTGGATTCTTTGGACGAGTTTCCTCTGGACAAAGTTTCTGATCTGGATTCCCATCTAAAGTGTGAGTTTAAGTCGTCGTCAATTTCAGACCTGACCGGGTCGCCAGTGCCAATTTTTCCCAAAGTTCCTTTTTCATTTGCCCCGGACAGGAATGGAGATGAAGGATTTGTTGGTTTGGAATTGGTGTTTTTCACAAAGTTTTTTCTTACTGATTCCCATCGCCTCCTTGCCTGGTAGATGGTTTGCTCCCTTGAGCCGACTTTGGGGGACGTTGTCGTAGGACAAAGTCTGGACGACGCTTCTCTCCGTCGGTCTTCCTCCTCAACCAACTTTCTCTTATACCACTGCCTTGCTTCGACTCGCATCGCTTCAGTCATCTCGACATGGTCCAGCGTGGTCAGCCAAGGGAGCATGGACAGAACTTGGTGCCTGCAGTCCGAGGTTGAACTTAATGGATTTGACTCTAGGAGAAGTTCTTGCAACAAGGATAATTTCCTCAGGGGAAGCAGGCTTGCGAAACTAAAGTTTGGAAATGGCATTTAAATATCATTATTATTATATTATCTAAATATTATCCGTAAGGCATTATCGCACACTTAAACTTACATTAACCTGTACTACGGAAAAATAACTATTTATGACAGATTAGAGTCCGAAGTCATCATTTTCAACTACAGCAGGAACAAAAAGTAATTTTTCCGCATTGTTGAATTTGATGTTTTTTTTTAGTTTAGGCAATACTAATATTCTCGAACATGTGCAAGCTACGCACATATAAAGTTTTTATGTTAAAGGAAAAAACAGGATAACAAATACATACGTATGTGTACATCTTGTGCATGCACGAACCTATATACACATGTCGAACAAACTCGTTCCTATACTTATTAGCAAGCACATACTGCAGTAGACTTTCATGGGTCGAGTGAAAGTAAGTGAAATCGTTATTTTTGCTCTATTTCCTCCAGTCTTCATCCATTCATCCACGTAATATGATTTTGATTGCATCATGCGACCAAAATTGGGACAAATTGTCCATCAAAATCAAATATCAACTGTTTCTGCCAACCAACAAACCTCAAGGAAAGGCTCTTTGATCACCAAGAGAAAGCATATGCCGACTACCTACGTAACCACGAGTATAACATGGCGCACCGACAATCACCGCAAGATTTCAAGCAGAATTAAGTGAAAAAGTGTACGATTGTAGAGGTGACCACCACTCACCTTTGTAAATCGTTGTTGGCTAGTAGTAGTTTTTTAAGGTGTGGAGCTTTTACCAGCCCGTCCAAGTTCCGAATTCGGTTTCGTTTGAGGTTAAGCTCTGTGAGTGTGTTTATGCCATTCGGCCCAAGGTTGCGGATACTTCTGAGTATGTTCCCTGCCAGGTTGAGTACCTGCAGGACACGAGTTATAAAATTATAGTCAGGTTCAAATTCGAAGCTGCACAAACTGGCCAATAAAGTTACAATTACACGAAGGGAGGACAGGACACCCAAATTATCCACATAACGCAATTGATTCCCATGAAGGTCCAGGATTTCTAAACGAGAGCAAAACATTGAAGGAGAAAAACCGACAGTATTTTCATATCAATAGCGTTATTATTTTTAGCGCTACCAACAAACGGCACATGCATGCTTACCTAACCGTTTCAAGCCTTCAAGACCCTCAATGCGACGGATCCTGTTAAACAATCGCGTCAAAAGTATCACTGCCTTGCAAATTATGCTTCTGACTGCTTCCTTTATGCATCTGTCTCAATTAATGTTTCCAACTTGTCCTTATTGATTAATAGGAGTCTCATTTTACCCCAAGTTCATTGAAATACATAAAATCATCCATTTGTTTCGCATATTTTATGGACCAACTGTGAAAGGGGAAAACTCTTCCTCAGTTACACAAGCAAGTTCTTCAAATGACCCGTATCGACAAGGGTGTCAAGAATTCGTTCGTTAAATGATTAAGCATTAATTGATATACAAGGTCGAATAAAGCATCATCGACATATTTGAGACTGGAAAAGAGTTTTATAAGATTCGCAACGATGTGAACAACAAAGATTTATAGTACCACTATATACATAGAAATAAGATAAAAGCTATACAGACATGTATATGTTGACATATATGAGATATGATGGTTGCTTATGAAGATAAGAAATTTACTGCGTACGACGCTTTCACTTAAGTCAAGGGTATAAAGGAAGTGGCATATTTTATCGTTCCTTGGTCCATTGTAGAATGCAACTCTCAGCAAAAAAAACGACTCATCTTGTATTTTGCACGATGAAAATAAAGTGAACCTCCGATATATGCACGTGCGAACACGAGACGACAGCTACAGCAATAGAGAGAATGTGGCAAAGTCGCTGTTGAACGAACCTGTTCTTGCCGAGAAGGAGAACTCTCAATGAAGTGAATCCCAAGAGGCCAAGTGAGATTCTTTCGATGCGATTGTCATACAGGTCGAGGACGACCAGGTGGCTCAGGTGCGACGGGGTGTTCTCAAGATATTTGATGAGGTTGCGTTGCAATGACAAAAGTTTAAGGTTTGGCCCTTCGCCCCCTCCGATGGCTGGAAACACCTTCAACCCCAGCCCGTCCATTCGGATGGATTCTGGACTCTGTTCTCGCTCTTCCTTTGTTCGGATCACCTAAAAATCGCAGCATTTCGCATTTTATATGATACTGTATATGCATGTAGTTTGATGTAGTGCATATTTATGTACTTGTGTTTATATGCGCATATACATATTGTGGGTGCGGGGTTTTGGTTTTGCTAATTAAAAACCTTGCAGTATAACCAAATTAATGAGAATCGAAAGGAAAACGCAACTCATGCAATAGTAATGCTCAGCCTTTTTCACGGAACACTAACCTGAACCCTCTCATTCAATTTGGTGGATAAGGAAGCCATGGACTTTGTCAAGTTAACGGGGTCACTCAGCACTTTCCAATTTGACTGTCCAGTTCCAGACATGAGCCGTATTCCTGAAGAAGAAGACGTCGGAGGAGGGCCATTGAGGCCTGATTGTTGTTGTTGTTGTCCGTGTCCCTTCTCGGCCAGAAAAATATCTTCATTTTCTGTCTCGTTTCTTTGTGAATTCGTATTCGCAACCTTTCCTTTCGCAGTGGAGAGGAAAACCAATCCTCGTTTCGTTGTGATTGGTGTATTCGATATTGTGGAGTTGGTGTTGAGCCGCTTTCGAAATCCGGTTTCGGCTTTCGCAGTTTTATTTCGTTTTGGTTTATATTTCTTATTGTCAATATTATTAGATGAGGAGGAAGAGAACGGAGTAGTGGCAGCTGGCGAATTCCCTTCCCCTGTTGTAAACAAGATGGATTTAGATCTCTCTCCTGATGCATTTCGATGAGCTCTGTCTCAACTTATAAATTCTAAGCAAAGCCCTTTTCACGGAAGAGAAAGCGAATCCGATTTTGTCGACTTTCCTCCTTTGCCTACTCCTCCGATGCTCCTGCTTCTTGCCAGCACCGTCCTTCCACTTTCCTTCACTTTCCTTCCTCTGCTGGTTTTTGCAATATATTATCTCTCGCTCTTTCTCTCTACCCATGTAGATCTCAAATTATATTATGTTACAACAAGGGGCTCAGAGCCGGAATAATGGAAGGAGGCGCATTGTTTTGGAAGGAAAAGCTCTATGAAAATGGGGACAGCTTACACAGCTTATTCAAGATGTTGCACTTGGTTCCTTTAAAATGACCAAACACATGCCGCCGTCACTAAGCAGAATCTACATCATGGATTGAATTGCATGCATATTGCGGTCCTACATAATTTTCATACTTTGTAATGCATGCGTATTGTGAACACTTTATTTCGGATTCCACTTGTACATATGTGATGCTCGGCAATTGTTCCTTTTGAAATATTTTCTACTGCGCCAAATACATTGCAACAGTAAATAAACATACATTTGCAACAAAAGTTACTAAAAATGTGGTAGCTTGACGTGAAAATATGTACCTATTGCAGCATGACTGCTATGTGATGAATTTGCTGAGCTTGGAAGAATCAGGCTGCTCGAAGAATATGGTTTCCGCAACTTTTTAGCAATGTGACTTGGTTTGGGTACTTTGTACAGAGGAGCTTGTCGGTCGTGAAAATGTTCTTCTGAAGTAATCCATCCATCTCGGTCTCCGCCAGCAGAGTCAGACGACGGATATGTCGTTTTTGTGAGTACTATTTTAGGGTTGTTCCTTTCCATCCTTGTTGTTGCAAATTTCTCATCCTGAGTAAAAAAAATGCAAGATTTTCAGCAACATAATCGAATGGCAACATCTTATTTGGAAATTTATAACAGAGTGGGAGAAATGGTTTGAATTATACAATGGAGAAAGCATTAAAGCATTAAAATAAAGTGTCGTTAATGAAGTTTTAGGAGGAAAACAAAGGGTACATGTGTATCCTGCATCCAATGATGTTATCCATTTCCTCTGGTCTATTGTCTTGCTCCTTTTCGGGTCATAAAAGTGTTAATGAGGGAGAAGTTTGTAGTGGTGGTGGGGAGCATAAAAATTAGAGTGGTTTTGAAATTAGATGGAGCATAATAATATAGTTTATTGGCTAACAAGGTGGCTGTTTTGTGAGTCATCCATATGCCTCTGCGTCTGCCTGCCTTGAGGTGGACCTAAATACACGACTAGATATTTCTCATTCACTCACCCAAAGTAATTCCTTCCCAGTTGAAAAGCTTCCAAAAAGTTTATTGCCACCGTAGCTGGCATTGGGAGGAATAGTTGGCGTTACTACAACCTCATTATCACCATCATTATTGCCTCCGGTGAACGGAAAACTGATTAAAGTGAGCGGATGCTTGGGTCTTGGTTGCGAGTAGTGTGAAAATTGAGGTTTTGACAAAATATTGGAGATATTGCTGGATTCCAAGGTAGAAGAACGTTTCGGATTTATTATTTCTGAAAAGGATGTTTTTGTCGGAGCTAGAAGAGCAGTCCGGCTTGTGGCACTGCTGTCAAAGGAACCACTAATAATAACGATATTGTTTTGTGGCTGAGATGATGAGGAGACATCTTTATCAATATCAGACAAATTGGTGTTAGGGTTTCCTCTACTTATTTGTATAGCACTTCCTAATCTACTCCCTTTCATCCTACTTTCACCACCACTTTGTTCTCCAAATTGAATTAGTTGCACTAAACTAATCCAGTGAACAAGACGGAAGAAATCCGGAATGCCTTACAGAACTTCTCCTTCAGCTCAACCCTGTCTTTGTGCAACAACGAATGCATCTCTCATAGTCTGATATGTATGCTGGCTGGCTGTGTAAATATTTTACTTGGAAGTATGAAATGTTTTATGCAAGTTAAATACAATTAACACTGAGGAGACCGGTGGTCTGAATAATACTGATTCTTGGTCTGGGAGCAACTGATTATTATTATTCCCTTATGAGCCAAAAACCATGCCTGTCTTAGAGTTTAGTCAATAAATGTGTGCACTTTTGAGGCTGAAATAAGTGAGGTCGGGAAATGTACATAAGTTTGTTGGTTCAATGTACGGTCGGCGTCGGTGCTTTCAGTGAGAACGACAAGAAAGGAATTGTCACTTGCGTGTATGCATTGTAAAAGATGTGTGCGTAAATACGTACCTCGCTCGACTTGGTTCCGTTTTCTTTGACTCCCTTGGTGTTCTGTAGGACAGGTTATTCGATGGAACATAGATTCCATGGTTGGTGGGGGACGACTTTCACTTCTCAGACAGTCAATAAGCCTTTCCTTATAAAGTCATCAGCAATCTTTCTTCTGTGCAAAATAACAAGCAAGTACTTCCGATGCCCATAAGCTACAATATGAGTTAGTTGTTTTCATCTATTCAGCTCATTGCACATATTTATATTACAATATACGAGGATTTCCTTATGCTGGTACATATATAATGTTATAATGATGCTTGTTAGCATTATCGATGAAACAAATTAAAGATTAATTAAATTACAGACTGATCATTAATTAATAAATAGAGCATACATGTGTATGTAGTAGTATATGTTTAGCCTCTTGATCCAACTTAGGATACCTAACTTAATTTTTTATTATTTCGAGTATATGCAAGATTATTAGATTTGTGACAACGCAGCATTGTTGAAAAAATTATCCACGTACGTATGCAAATATGTTTGTACATATACAGACGTATATGTTGTTGCATTGTAAGAATATTGAGGGTGAGGTCGACTTGACAAATAAAAATCGGTAGTACTATCGTGATGAGACATATACATGTGAACAGTTCTGTTTGATGGAAGTTTTCAAACTATAAAATGAGCAGCGATTTCATCTTTACTGTTATTAAATTACTTTGTGATTTCGAGATTATAATTAATCACGATAAATAAATACATAAATTCAAAGGTCATACATTTTGGATGAGATACATATTCAAGTATTAATGTTTATTTAAATGTCTCGGTATTTCAATGAAGTGATACGTGAATCTCTCTTTACTTATTTATTTTAAACAACTGCACACATACATAAGTACTATAGTACATCGTACATATGTACTATGTAAAATTTAGTACATATGCAAAATAACACAATCTACTGTTAACTACGTGTAACATTAACTATGCAGAAAAACACGAGGGTATTAGTCTGCCATATTTTACACATATGTACAAGCAAAGTTGCAATTTCAACTCAAATTTCATAAGCTGGAAAGTCAAGGTCATTCAGCATATCATATGCACTTGACATTAACAACTTAAAAGGATGCATATAAGCAGCATGCAATATTGTAAGCAGTTCATTCATATATGTAATACATACGAGTAAGCAACAACTGTTGAAAGTTAACATTAGACACTTAAATATTTTCCAGGCTAATTTAATAATATAAATCAAAGTAAAATGTCCAAAAAGGTCTTAGGAATATTGATTTTTGATGAGGTTGAAGTTTTGGACTTTTGTGGACCCTTCGAAGTTTTTTCAATTACAGGAGTTTTAATTGAGGACTCATTTGAGGTAAGTCTACATGTGACGCTGATTGCACTTGCTTATAGCGCAAACCGATTAGTGACCTTAATGTATATATGCATGTGTACAATATCAGGTCGTAACACTAGCTCAGAAACCTCAAATCGTTGCAAGAAATGGGCTCACCGTCGTGCCAAAATATATTATCGGAACTGATGCAATTCCAAAATTGGACATTCTACTTGTTCCCGGAGGATTGGGGACTATTACAGAAGCAAAAAATGAATCGTGAGTAACAAAAATTGAGTCGTTAGGAATATTATGTGTGCTCATTGCTCATAAATTGTGAAATTCTATCCGACGCAGACTGATTTCGTGGATCAAGACGGTGGGTGAAAGTGCAGATTTTGTGCTCTCCGTGTGCACTGGAGTTGCATTGCTGGGAAAAGCTGGACTACTGTTGGAAGGAATGGTCGTCACTACACATCATCTAGCTTTCGACCGAGTCCGTCCAGCATGTCCCAACGTAAAATTCTGCAAATGTAGACGGTTCATTGATAATGGCAAAGTGCTCACCTCAGCAGGTTTGTCATCATGTTTATATGTTGCTAGAATCCTAATCGAAAGTCCGTGAAACACGTACACTTTCTACAGGAATTTCTGCCGGGATCGACCTGTCATTTTATTTTGTAAAGAAACGTCTTGGTCTTGAGGCAGCGAGGAAGGTTGCAAAGCACATGGAATACGATTGGAAAGACGAGGACATGGGAAACTGTTCTTGTCAGCTAGATTAACAAAAATACATAATATTTCATGCATAGCACGAACTAAATAAAATGTACTGTGCAATGAAATAATTATGCATGATGAGGGCCAAAGGATATGTTATTAAATAAAATTGATCGATTGAATTATTATGAATGAATCAATTGCATTACACTAACAAAATTCTCTTCACGTGACCAGAACAATAAATAAATTCATATTCGCGATTCATATGTACTTCACATTGAGCACCCCGTTGTATAATTTTGTACAATATCTACTGGTTCAAGTTCAAGTGAGTATTTTCTACTGATGCTTTTTGTCCTATGAAGTCCTAGCACCTAGTCCTAGTGTTTAATGCTTTTATGACATTGAGAATTTATGTAATTCTAAGAGAAATGCAAATGGTTTAATCATCTGTCGTAACTAGAAAGTAATTGTTGGAGACATGCTTATCACCAATAGAGTACCCGTAACCCGGCAATGAGCTATCCGAAGGGTTCATGGCTTATATTTACAGAGCGTTGCCAAGAAAATATTAATGTCTGGGGGATCGTCAGCGTAGGTATCTACCGTAAATAAATCAAATTTTACATTAACCTTATAGCACATCAGGAACTTTTGCTCTATTGGCATTTGGTGACAAATTGAAAATACAAAAGAACAATAAGTTCTCCAATGTCATAAATTACTTATTAGTCCACAACTGATACGATCATAAATAAACTCGGAAGGAATTTTTTGGAGGGAGAGCCAGGAGAAAATGTCTGCAGAAGAAAGTCTCCTCCAGTTACAGGTGCGTTGTAGTTTATTGTTGACGTGGTGGACGGCTTTGGGTGGCAGACACTTTTCCTAGCTTCGCTTTATCCCAACTCTCAGACGACTGGTTCAAGTCGAGAGAGAGGATAAAAGCTTTTGCACTCAGGCCAAGCATGAAATCACGACAATAAGCAGCTCCTTGAGCAAAAAATGTAGAAAGTACGACGAAAGGTTGAAAAAAATATTGAGAGAGGGTAACAGGTCCTGATTTACACGCTTAGCCCTTTTTCAATCTCCACCTTAAATTCTCTTCTTTTTGCAATGACACTGAGAAAAAGGAATGAGTTGGTTGGCGACACCTTCTTCGTACGTCTTTCGGGAGCCAAGTCAAGAACTGAAACTGGAGAGATTTCTATACCCTGAATCTTGGCATTAAGAAAATGCACACTTCCAATTTAAATCTGCCCAAGTGTATGTAGGATGGATTTAAAGCAAGAAGTTTCTTAGACTGAAAATGGTTCTGCTCCTGCCACGCTATGGATTGTGTACTGTTTGACTTCGTTTCCTAACCCGAATCACTTTAGAAGATTAGCTCTCTTCCCTGTCTGCCTGTTACAAAAGCTGTTAGCACTCTGACGTATAATGCAAGAATAATTTTAGACCTTCTCACAAAAAAAAATCATAATTTTGTGGTCGTCGCCAATTTTCATTTTCTTGATTTTCAAAGATTATGAAAGATTGCTTACTGTTTTTAAAAAAAATTACAAGATGGTGCGAATATTTCAGGGCTGGCTGGAATCTGACATTCCGCCTGCGACATCGGTTAGGGATTCGCTCTACTTGTTTGCAGACTGGGTAAAATTTGGTGGTCCTCCAGTTCGGCAGCAAATGTTAGAACAAGGAGCTTATGAAGCGGTCACAAAAGCCTGGTCATTAATCTGCTATTCTGGGATTGATGGCACCGTAACACTTTTCTCGTAAACATAATAACCCTTAAATCACTCCTACCTCGAAATCCCATTATTATGACAGAAAATCAGCTTGTAGTTTTTGCTCTGCAGCCCTGATGCCAATGGTGTGCGTGAGGCGAGCTTGGCAGCGTTGTACAGTTTGACCGCAGGATTTCCAGAAATCATAGATCAAGTTGGGTGGATTATGATTCAGCAGTCAGTGGAGTAAGTTGTATATTATTGTAATTTTCACTGTTATTGAAATGCTATTTAGCGGATATTGCACCAGTCGAATGGCAGATTGTGATTCTTATTGCATAATAATATAATATATTTGCTTGGTCTTTCAACTTTCACCCAGCACCAGAATGCCAGACACGACTCTCACTTTCGCTATGAAATTAATTCGTAACATATGCATCAAGTCGGAGAGCAACCGAGAGTACATTTCTTGGGAATTGGAGCTGATGGAACCTCTCGTCCTCCTGATCAGAAGAGACAAACCGTCACCAGAGTTTGTGAGAGAGGTGATTACTTTATTAATTTACTTGGTTTCCGATTCAACACTAACTTATCTCGAATAGATTCCGCTAATTATTTCTCACCCAAAGTTTCGCTAGTTACAGTTCCAAGAATAGTGGAAAATTAGTTTGAATTCAAAACTCAATTCTACGTCAACTAAATAGTAAGTTGTTGTTGAGAATATCATGGAGATTATTATCTGCCCAAATGAGACGTTGTACTTAAGTGCTTAACTTTAAAGAAAATTAGATAGAAAGCATATCGTACAGTAACATATATGCGGGCACCATGAAGACAAACCCAGGAAGAACAGATATAGTATTAACTCTGGGTTTTCTATGGGAGGCCTGTAAATAGGCTGGGAATTTATTTTAGTGGGTTAGCTACAAGATAAAATCCCGATATAATTTTGGGGAACCGCGTGATGGGATTTAGATGACATTTAACTGCGATAAACCAATAAGATTTCCCTAACATTTTACACGTCATATATTACGCCCTTATTATTTTTGGGAAAATCACTCAGTTATACAGAACAAAGGAAAAGCTCAATAATACTTCTGGGTAGACCCAGACCCTGGTTTGCTTTGCTATAAATTCGGTGGGTTTAGTCCGGGCTTGCCCAAGCGTCCATTCATATTTTTATATGGGGTTATTACTGGGAAACGCTTGCATATCCCCGAGTTTAAATCGAGGTGGACACTTTTCAGCGCAAATTCTTTTTGCCTCAATTCATCGTCAGTATCGTCAGTATCATATTTGGTGCCGTTCGAGATACATTCAGTCCTGTCCAGAGGCTTAAATGTTTTCTGTAATAAAATTTCCTGGTGTAAATTGTGCGGCGTAAATTATGAAGGGGACGAAGCCACCATCAACTCGATCATTGTATTACTGGGGAGTATGGCCACGACTGAGGATATGTGCATCTCAATTGAGACTGGAAATGTGTTCCCTGCCATTGTAAGGATTTTCAAGACGGTCTCCGATAATGAGGTTCTTCAATTTCCTTACTTTCCTCGTTCTAAATATGTCGTTATATGGAGATATTTTAATTTTCCTGGGGTGTGGACTCTGTTTGTTTATAAATATAAAATATATGCAAAAGTGCATATCGTACAAGATTTATGTACTTACTAAAGGGATTTCTTGACTTATTGTAAAACATGGGAAATACAACTTAACATGTTTATGCCCACATTACACCATGTTATAGTGAAATTGAGATGTTAATGTATTTTCAGATGCTTATCAAGAACACAATGTCCCTTCTCCGTTATTTGAATGTCTCTCAAACGGTTCGACTAAAATGCAATGCTTTTGGTCTTGTAAAGTGGGTCTTGCAAATCATGATGCAATATAAGGTATTTAAACGAAGTGCAATGTAAACATATTCAGTCCAATTTATGTTACTCCATCCTATTAGCTTATTTCTAACCTACATTTTTCTCTATTGAGTTCCTTGACAATTATTGAAGCAAGATTGCTTCTGTACGCAGATAAACGATTGAGTAAATACTTTTGCATTGCAGGCATCCGAGGGTATTCTGGAAGTTGGATGCTCATGTCTTGCTTTCATGACGTTGCGGAATGCATGTCACACTGCTCAACTCATCATGGCTGATGGAGTTTCAGTCCTATTGGAAATTATGGATTCGAACATGGAAACAATTCAAATTATGGTGCGTATCCTAACCTTTTTGTAATAATTTTTAAAATTTCTTGCTATACCCAACCCATTGCATTTTGAATACACAATTCAACTTACAACTCAAGGCACTTATCGATAAGCTACTTCAAGAATCTCAATTTTCCCATTCTTAACACTCATGTTATAATGATTTATGAAGCACCATGCAACAATTCGCCAAGTAATTCGAAATGTGATGTTTCCATATTCCAGAGGGCAAGGCAACGTTCCTCGTTTTCTTGAGGGGCACGCATGGGGAAAGTCGAAGTGAAGGAGCTATTAGTATTAAGAGAGCTCGTGGAATACAAATGGGGTGTGACTTGGAGAAAGTGGCTGGAATTTTCTCCCCTGATAACGCTCCTTGATTTCTTTTCTTCCTCTCTCCTGCCCTCCGTCATGTTATGCCACACCTCATCTCCATCTCATGCATCCCTCAATTCCCTTCTCCCTGTGACCACTCTGCTATACTGCATTAGCCGAACATAGTTGTAAAAAGTATAGCTTCTTACATATCGTCGTTGAAGATGCAAAGAGCCAACCGGAGTTTTTGTTCATTGCATGTCCCCCATGTTAAAGGTAAAGGAAATGTAACGGGCCAACAAAGATGCAAAAGGTTGGCCCTTTTGCATCTTCAACGACGATATATGTACGCCACGAGCATATTGCAGCAATGGGAATTTGGAAATGTTGTAAACTTTTGGTTGATTTGTAGAATTGATTTTGAAAACTTGTGTAAAATCCTTATGTTTCCTTCTGCAGAAAGGTGGTTGTCTAACCTTGAGAAATGTGGCTGCAAATGGAGGCAATACTGCTCGATCCAGCATTTTGGACAAGGGTGGAGAAGAACTTGTTCGAACAATTTGGGAGAAATTTCCAGATTTGAGGGAGAATTATGTGAAGCCTGTTCTCAGGGATTTGGGTGTTTTGAAGGAAGACGAAATTTTCAGCCAAAATGTAAAGACACAACAACAGCAGCAGCCAACGCTTCCTCTTGAAACGGAAGTGGATGCAGCTGGACAGCACACAGAAAAGGAAAACTGATTGGTTCTGCGACGGCGAGCTAATTAAATTATGAAACAGTTTATTGTATAAAACAATGGTGGTAACATGCGAAATAAATTGTATTAATTCCCCAGAATATAACATCATGGGGTGTCGTGTGGGTGGGTTGCGACAGATTTTAATTCGAACTGATTTTGTGAACTTAAAGGAAAGGGTACTGGACACTAGGTTCAGTATTGCTTTTATATAAATGCAACAATTGAACATTTACTTTATACTTTTTTTTTACTTTATATATTATATTAAATTACTTTCGCTTACAAAACCTATTTGTTGTCAATACTAAATAACTTATGACTTTTACTCTATTATCTGAGAATAAATACATATATAGCTTAAAATTTTTTAAGTTTCATTAATCGTAACGATCGCCTCATTGCAATTTTTCTCACTCTTATCCAGTAATAGTCCGTATCAGGATCTAGTTCTTCGAGTGACGGAGCTTTACCTACAAAGAGAAAACAAAGTGAAGCATAAACACCATGTAATTCCTCGAGACATTTTGGAATAATTTATGGGATAAAGAGGGAGAAAGCACAAAGGGAAGGACGGGTTTCAAAATAGTGCACTTGTCCCATAGAGCATCAGCAATTCTCTTTCTCTCCCTTTCTCCTATTCTTCCCAGAAAATTAAAGGGTGAAAGCCAGCACGAGGTGGTTGGTCTTACTCTGCTCATGTATGCATATAAATTCATCAATGTTGTACCATGATTTTACTTGGGAGAACCCATCAACTTCCCCCAAGAAGTGCGATTGCATAACTGCATTTCGAGGTAGGGGTGCCGTAACAAATGTGTCGAATGGTTGAAACGTACGTAGTACGTGACAATTAAAGCGAGTGCAAATTTCATGGAATTTAATGCAATGGTTTTAGAAGAAAGCAAGTAATGCGCACCAGCAAACCACTCAAGAGCGGTGGGTGGTTTATTCTTTAGTTTATAAATACATGTGTATATGTTTAAAATGTGAACGATTTATCGGATATGTGAATGTGTGCAGCAAATACTTTCTTTCCGTGTGGTTTCTAACTTTTCATATTGGATGGAATCTTTTAACGCATAATCGTGCTTATGTAATGGTAGTATTGTGTATTATTTACAAGTATGAGGTCCGCCAGAAGCTACTAATTTAATGCATGTTTCAATCTATACATACCTGTATTTAACGTCCACAACCATTCTGGATATTCTGAGTCATCTTTCAGCTTAACGTCCTCACCAGTTTTAGTTAGGCCTGTCCCACAAACATAATTTACTAATTTAGTGGTATCCGTCTCAACCGGTAGTTTCTTTTTCTCGATAGCTGGCCCCGTCCCCTTCATTTTTGAAGTTTTCTTTCCAAGCGAAGGGATTCCTGCAATCAAATATTATAATTTATTCTATGCGTTGAAACACAAGCAGCAAAAGCTAATTAAAAAGTCGTATGTACCACAATACAATCACAACTTTTGAAAAACTAATTTAAAAGAGTGAACTGAATTAAAAACTTACCAACATTTGCTTTGGCGTAATGCCTATTTTGACCTGAGCTAAGAAGAGCACTTATATTACTTGATGGTGGGCACGTCGCAGGGAGGGTGAGCTTTAAGCAGTTAACGCTGTGCCACGTAGATAAGATGAGTCGGTGAACTAACATTTCAAAATGAATAGTTAGGTCAGATCGAGAACACAAATTGTTTGTGTTGGTTGACGAGTGAAAGCAGCCGGTGAGAGAGTCAGATTTCCCACTTTCCACTCAACTGGGAGGAGGGAGACTCAAGACTCACAGCTGCTGCCTCAGTCCACCGGCAGACGGAGAAAGTTAACCAACCAACTCGTTTTCAAATCTTCAATCTCTTGTTTAGCACGTGTGTAAATTAAGTAAATTTACTAAAAACACAATTTAAAATATCCGGAGTAGTGAAACTTCGTAAAGAAGATTAGGCAACAACGTACAGGATACAAAAAACAGGTAATACTGATAAAACAACATTTAAGAGGACTACTGCATAGATATTTACTTTTACTTTTATTTAACCATTGCAATTTGTAAAATTATTTTGTGGTTACATAGTTGTTTTCAAATAATGTAGAATTAAACTATGATTGTGTGAGATAATTTGTAATTATATGATCTATATAGACTGGTCGCTTTACGGTTGGTATTTTTTACGTATTGCATATTGTATGTAGTTTCTAAATTCTAATATTATCATAGGCACTCCAAACTAACTTCTTATCACTTCCCACACATTCGACTTCCCTGCCAATTATAACTAATTAAGTTAAATCCAATGGTTTTTGACACCAAACTTAATTTTAGGCATTATTAGTACTGGTTAGGTTCGAGGTTATCGAAAATGCAACAATTGCGTGGTGTTGTGGGATAATTTAATGACGATAGAATAACATATCTTTAATTCCCGTTGAACTAATAATCTCATAACCTGAGTAGGAAAACTCATAGTTTAGTTATACTCATTTGCACGTCGACTAACAATGCAAAATTGGTAAATTTTCGTTAATAAACGCGTATTTTTTGTGCATAAATGGAGATAAAGTTGCAATTTATTTTTCCATGTTTTACAGCGTGGGTCGTTTGAAGGAGGACAAGGAGAAAGTCGCAGGGTGAGTGAGGAGAGCTTGCTTGTGGACCAGAGAAAGCAGAGGAGAAAGAAGGTGAAATATCGTCCAAGATGAGATTTACGACCAGGCTTTACTCTGCTACAGCTTGGAAAGGGACCATCACCGGTAAGCTGGGAGAGCTCACCAAACGCTACGCTAATTTACCAGAAGCCTACATCCAGCGGACGGCAGAACAGGTCATTTTTCACTTTTTATATTCCCTTGCTATAAATTGTTGCTCAAATTTGGATATGACTTTATACTACCACATCCTGAGCAAACAAAACCTCTTTGGTGTTCTGATTTTTATTTGTTTTGCTTTCTTCAATGTGCGGCTTGCGATAGTGTTTTACATGATAAGTACCTCGATCTATGGACTTTCTTTATGCGTGGAACTATTATGCATCAGTTGTTCAGTTGTGGCGTAGTGCATAAGTAGTTTGCTGACGGCAAGACGGGGGCATTCCATTTTAGAGAAATGACCAAATCCACGCAAATGGAGCTAAACTTGGATAACAACGTCTCGTTATTGCGTTAGATTTATTTATAGGAATAAGTTTATATCGTTGATTGAATCAAGTTTCACAACCTCTGAACTTGACGATTTTGTAGTATTCGTTCCAAAAACATTATTTGCGTAACAACTTTAAAATCGGTTTGAGGAAACTTGAAATTATTTGAAGTTCTTTTCTTATGGTCCCTCACCCCGCTGGTTACCTAAAAGATCACGAAAGAATGAAATGCAGTGAATTCCACGAACTGAATGTAAACTTGCTTGTCTATCTAATGGTCTCATTTTTTCTCGATTCAAGTCAAAATTTAGACTGCTTAAATATTTTTGCTTGAATTGGAACAAGTTTAGTTCTTTTGTATAAAAAAGTTTTTTTCTAGAGTTAAAAAGTTAGGACAGTGTAATTCGGTGGTAGTAGCGAATAGTCGAATAGAGGTTCGTCCAATGAGAACAGCATTAAGGAAGAGACGAGCGTGGCGAGCGAGTTGGTTCAGTTTGATGTTTTTGATTAGTAAACTTCGAAACTTCCTCTTTCCCATTTTTCGCGTTTGTGTTTGGTCTGGTTCCTCTGGTTGATATTATTTTTTTTATTGGATGACTGTTTCTGAAAGGTTGTCACATTCCGGCTTCATGAAAGTAGTTGTCTTTGAGTGGAATTAACCGAATTTATGGCAAGCTGTAATCTTTGATGACTGCATATAGTAGCGTGTACCATGTCTCTTATAAAATTAAATTTTGGTTTGCTAGGCTATTTTTAATGTACAGTATGTAACAAAAGTATAGCTACGATGACATATTTTTTATCTCGACATGATGCCGTAATATTTCAACTTTGAAACTCCGTACAAAAATGTCAAAACTATCTGCCGACAATTTCCTCGTCGCCGATTTTTAATGTCGCAGATAGGTCAAAGGTCAGGATTATTTTTCTAAAAAAATTTGAGGCGTCGAAAAAAAAACTTCGTGGATAATTTTTTTTAAACTTTGCAATATTTTTTACTGGATGCGGCATGCGTTTTGAAGAATAATGAGCTTTGGTCGGACCGTGTACGATTTTTTTGGCGCCCACAGGAATTTTTCGCCCAGGACAGGTTGGAGGTCTAAAATCGCCGCCTTGGCGAAAATTAAAAAACTGAAATATACGTTTGCATATCCGGACCCTCTATATGGGATTGGTGAAGGGATTGGTGAAGAAGCCATCCATTCGAGAATATTGGAGTACTGATGAGTTAATTCAGACTCCGTTCTTTCCAACCATGATGTCTCGAAATCGGTATGATGAAATGAGATACCATTGATATTTCACATACATAAATAAAATACATACATGCATAAATTCAACTTTACAGATTTCAAGGCATCCTTAGAGCTTTGCATTTTTCTAATAATGAGAATAACACTGGAAGAGATCGTTTTTGCAAACTGGGCACCTTCATGAAGGATATTTTGGCCAATTTCTCGAGTGCTGTAATACCAGGCAAAAATATTTGCATCGACGAAACTCTTCTCGCGTACAAAGGACGATTGTCATTCCGCCAGTATAATCCGAAAAAGCGAGGCCGGTTCGGGATCAAAATGTTCGTTTTATGTGATTGTGCCCTGAAGTTCGTCCTGAATATCTTGCCGTACCAAGGGAAATCTACTCCTCTTGCCGATCGTAGCTGGCTGAAGGACCTCGGTTTTGGTGGCGCAACAGTACTCACTCTACTGCAAGGTTATCTAAACAAAGCTTATCATGTCGTTGTGGACAATTGGTTTCTGGGACCGAAGTTGGCTAAAATAATGCTCGCCGAAAAGACCTATGTACTGGGGACAGTACAACGACGACGTAAAGGCATGCCAAAGATGAGAGGGAAACTACCCAAAGGACACGTCCAAACTTTTTGCGATGACGAAATTTTGGTTGAACGGTAAGCAAGAAGGTCATGCATTATCCAAGAATAATAATGACAAATAATTTTATGTAAATAGCTGGAGTGATCGGAGGGAGGTATGCATGTTGAATACATTTATGCCCCATTCCATGCGAATTGCTGAGTCGTCCAATCCGAAGAACACCAGGGAGAAACCAGCAACGGTGCTACTGTACAATTCGATAATGGGAGCTGTCGATAATGTTGACAAAACTATCAAGCCCTACCAGTCCGTTCGGAAATCGTACAAGTGGTATAAGAAGGTGGTGTTTAATATGATCGATGTAGCAACCTATAACAGTATGATACTGTATAACCACTTGCATGCTGACCAAAGAGCTGTCCCGTACAAGGAATTTGTCATGAAGATCGTTAGAGAAATTCAAGAAAAATATCCCACCCTCAAGAAACCAATTGGAAGACCTCCAATAGTACCACGAAATGAAAATCCAGCCTTGCCACTTCGTTTGAATCCTAGTCATCATATTGCGGTCAAACACTTGGATAAAAATGGCACACCAGCTTACTCTGACTGCATATACTGCAAACACCACGCCGAGTACTCTCCGAAACGCAAGACGACCCCTTTCAGCTGCGAGATTTGTAAGGTTCGACTTTGCATTCAAGGAGGGACATCTTGTTTCAAACGGTACCACTCTGATAAAAAACTAAAGGTAATTTCCATAATTGTATAATGGTAATGACGATAATACCAATAATAATTTTTGCTACATTGTAGAAAATCTCAATCACTCCACAAAATACTCAGAGTCAGCCCCACACTCAAATATCGCAACCACGACTTCCCGAAGACATTGATACACTCGGCCCAAATGCAGTTCAATTTATTTTAAGTCCCAATCATGAAATCGTAGTATTTGATGAAGATGGAAATCTGTTCACTGGTGCTCAATTTTCGGACGAATCATCCTTGCCACCCATTTAAATTAAATATTTTTCATAATTATATTTACTCATGAATCGTAGTAGTTTTTGTTGAATATTATTGCATGTGATAATATGAACATATTCCGTTGGGTTTTAGTTGAAAATAAAATTCGGGTCCGCGAGGTCGGAGAATATTCATCAGCTTGGGTGCGTGAGGACAATTTACTGACAATTATTCGGGCCTGAAGGATATTTAATTGGAAATTAATTAGGGACTTAGTGATACGATTTTTCTTGACAAAATTTTTTACATGGGATCCTAAACACGATTGCTTGACATTTAGTATCTAGGTAACTCTTGTGTCTTTTAACGGTTGCGACAAATGGTGGAGTTACAAATAAAATAATTATTTTTTAAATCGTTGGTACACGTCCCATGGTCGTGTGTACCAACGACTTTGACCTTTAATAACTTTTGAATGGGCAGACATAGAGATTTAATTCGTTAAGATGAAATCATCGTAATTTTTAGCTTGATTTTTTAAGATCAAAATCTCGAGGGTACTATTTCGAAAATTAAATTTGAAATCCCAGTGTGCAGCGTTTGTTTAGCCCGAGTCAGGGTCAGTGTCAGCTTCTAAACTTTAGTCAGACGACCTGCACCAACTACTATTCGTAATCGGCAAAAATGTTCCCACAATCCAGCATGCAAAATTTCAGCTCCTTGACCAATTTTAAAACCAGTACGGGTCTCAGTCTTCTGGGCTGGGCCCACAAAAATATTCATATTCGATGAATATGAACATTATTCATATTCTTTAGTCTGATGTGCCCTTACCCATGATACCGAATTTTATTTTTATTCTACCAATATAAAAAGCAGCGTGGGTCACCTTGTTAAATCTCTGTGGAAAAAATCTTAATATTTAGTTCATATTTTTCAATCTGGTCTACCCCCACGGGGTCGTGCCAAATTTCAGTCTTCTACGAGTGTCTAATTTCATCTTTTTAATACAATTTTTGAAAATCGATATGGGTCACCCCCTTAAAGGTCCCTCCACATAAAAATGGTACCAATTTCAATTCATATTCTTTCATCAGGGGCCATTAGCAATCTCTGCACTAATTTCAGCTCGATGGATAATTTTCAAAAATCGGTATGGTATCGGGTCCCTCCAGTCGGAAATTTTCCCAATTTAAATTCATATTCTTCAATTAGACACCATTAGCAATCTCAATGCCAGTTTACAGCTTTCAACGAGGATTTTGAAATACTCCACCCACCCAGATGACCACCACAGGTCAACCACTTAATTGATTTCGCCCATCTTCAAACTTAACTCCTCATTTGTCACATACTACATGTATACCAAATTTAAAGTCGCTAGGCCGAGTTTAACGAAAGTTATCGTAAAATGATCGGACGGACAGGCAGACGGACATGACGGTTACAAAATTACATTTCCAAAACTGTAACCAATGGCATATTTTCAACAATTTTTAGTTTTCTAAAAATGAAAATTTATTTTGTAACTCGGCCATTTGTCGTAACCTTATAGATTGATAAAGTGTCAAATAATCTTGGATCCTAAAGGTTAATGAATAAACTTAAACTATTGCCAGGTGTACATCAACCCTCTGAAGCATTATTTTTATGAATAGATGATCGAGCTCGTTACTTTCTTCGATATATTATTTGCCGATGTACGGGAAAAAAGATTTCTTGCCGAAAGTTTCCTACGTAGAAAGTCGTCTCGCGTATAATTTTTTTCTTGTAAAAAACACCTAATCTATGCACGTTCTTGCACATTATTGTGGAAGAAAAAGGTGGTTTGATCTTCAAATTAAGCAATTTATATAATAGAAATCTTTTGTGTTCTTCGCTCTTGCAAGGATTTTCTGTTACGACAAATAAGATGCTTTCTCGGCTTGCTGACACCTATTATTTTGATTTAATAGCCATTCATCCATCGAACTACATGTACTAGAAGTGTCATACATTTTACAATTTGTCGAAGTCTAAATATTTTAATTTCCCTAATGAAGGTGGAGTTTCAGACACCAAATCGTAGAGAGTATCAGAACAAAAAGTTGGAGCAGGGCGTCTACAGATTTACAGCGAACCGACCTTGGACGGATGAGTGGAAAAGACAAAATGACAAAGCGAGAAGACCCGTGGTTGTGGAGCCAATTAGAGATTGGAATTTCTTCCGAGGGGATCGAGTGGAAGTGCTGGTGGGCAGAGATCGGGGAAAGCATGGCATTGTGTCACAAGTAAGTTGCCATCAAATTACCTTCCAACCGTTTACATAAATTCACCTGGGGGTGGGAATTGCTCTTCTCAGCTCATTCAGCCTCAAAGTTAAAACGCTTTGACAATTTGAAATGGAACGGTTCCATTTGCTTTGCTCTCGTGATCCAAGGTGGCAAATTCGCTGTTGGCTAATATCATTTTGATAAATACCATTATCTACACCATTACAGTTGAATGTCTCAATGTACAATTTTGCCATTTCAACTTTCCAGGGACCGACTGCTTTTGTTGAACTGATGGTTCTCATTATATAATGGTTATGTATGCAGACAAAGAATGAACCATCCGATTTTGGGGTTCATTATGATCCCGATAATCCTTTTCTGGTTCTCTTGGTTGGTTGGTTGTGGTATAGTGATGGGTTTAACGCTCGAGGGGAAAGTACTATGTGTGTGCATAAACATAGTGCTATAGGTGTATAGCATAGCGTATATAGCATAGTGTCGCCTATTCCGTGTTGGACAGTTAACGAAAGAGCTCATTAACCGAGACATTTGTGGGAATCATTCTAGGTTATTCAAGAGCGAAACTGGATATTTGTCGCTGGTCTAAATACACATCTTCGTCGGGTCGGATCACGCCAGGAAGGGTCGGCTGGATTCTATGTGAAATCTGAAGCACCACTTTTAGTCACTAATCAAGTTGCCCTGGTTGATCCAAGTGATAAGTAAGTTAAATTATGACAAAAATTTGTTGTCGTCTAAAAAATGATGTACACGATAAATGATGCAGTACATACACATGTGCATATCAAAGTATCCTGATCATAATGTGTTGACCATTTTGTGCAAACAAAACGAGCGAGTCAGTCTCAGAGAATTGAACGGTGAGAAAACAAAGAGAAAAAGATGATTTGGGAGATATTTCATGATCGACATTTTTTATACTCAAGAGCAACGCACATGTTTTGCTCTGCTTGTTTTATGTTGGTTCAATTCTCTGAGACTGTGGCTCACTCAGTCCCAAACTCTTCTCATCCAAATTCAGTGGTTGTTCTGTTTATCTGTCAGTGTCTTCTTTTGGGCTCGTTTGTATCTTACATGATTTTCTTACGGTTGTAAAATTTTGAGAATTGCTTTATCTCTCTTACAGTAAAACAACCAAGGTGGAGTGGAGATTTACAGAAGACGGAGAACGAGTTCGGGTTTCTTTACGAACTGGAAGAATTATTCCTCTGCCTCCTTCTGGTTTTGAAACGTGGGATTATAAGACACCTGAGACTTATCTGGGTAAGTTGGACCAGGCTTTATATTACACATCTTACATCATCTGGTTCTCATCACCTTCGATGTTTTTCAAAATGAACCCTTTTCAAAATCCTGAAATGAAACATTTTAAAGAGATGATGAGTTGAAATTCGAACTGTCCCTGAAAATCCTGACTACAAATTTTCAAGGGATCAAGTTTATCATGCCATGTCATGATGATGAATTAATTTAAAGAGTGAAAATGGGGTTTATTCTCCCAAATAAATGGTTTGTGGATTGTGCCGTCAGCTTAATTCAGCTGTCTTCAATTCGTTTTTGCGATTGAAACTATAAATCCAAAATATCTTGATTGAAAAGTAAACAAATAAAATGGCAAAACGTAGACAGTGGCGATATTTTATTTTTAAAAGGTATAGGCGATGATCAAGTTTGTATAGGATTTTGGTACTTGCTGATGATGGAGGTTGTTATTAGTTTTGATCAGAAATGTAAAAAGTTGAAAGGAGAGATGAAAGTTGTGATTTCTTTCATCTCTGAGCTGACATCAGAATTACAACTTTGTGCTTTCCCCTCAACACATCCACTGAACTGAACTCACCCCACTTTCACTAGTACATATCTTCAATTTCTGGCAAGTGTGGAGTTCTTGTTCTATTTAAGTTGTCTCAGCATTTTATTAGATGACAAGGTGAATACATGCATACCACTCAGAATACTGTAAAATGTCTTCTCTTTTCAGTCATTCTGTCCCCTTCTTCCTTGAATTGTGAACGAAATTTTACTGATACACCATTGATTTTCTAATAAACAGATATTTAGAAAAATACAATGGCTTAAAATTTCTTGAATTTCTACCTTGAAAAATTGATACGGAATTTTGATTTTGTTGTCTTATATTGCAGAAGGAGACAAGGATACGAAGGCGGATGTCGTGAAAGCAGTAAATTTTCGTCCCACGTTAAAAACTTTTGAAATGGAAATTATGGAATCGATGGGAATTATTGAACACCGCGTGCCTAAAAAGTCGTACTGGTATTAAATTGAGATGATCATTTCTATAATAATATAATAAATGTCTTCTCGTAGCGAGTACTATTTATAGACCATTTTTTTACTTCTAGATTATTATTTGTTATCATTATGGTTTAGATATAGAGGGAAATAAAAAGATTGGGTCACTCGGTTGTCCCCTGTGGTAGCTTTTTTCCAAATCTGATTTTCATTATGAAACCCTTGTGTAGCTTGTATGTATTTGTATCAAATGTGAAATAAATGCTGGTTGGTGGACAGCTTGGTTGGTTTGGCTGTCCACCAGATTTTATGACCCAAAAGCGTAACAACTTTTGACTTTACATTTGATTGCATTGCATTGTTGGTCTGACATGGGGATGTGGCCCAGAAATGTTCCTTGGCTTGGCACGCACACAACGCAAGGTATATTGCATGAAATTGTGACTGATTCCCAGATCACAGCCACAAGGGGCTAGTTGCTCTTTTTATCCTGGAGAATGGGCAAAAAGTTGTCTCCTGTCTATTGACAGAGAGAAAATCCAAGCAATCCAAGCCGATTTATAACGCCAAAGTGAACACACGACAAAAGTTTCCCTTTTCTACTTTCTCCTGATGCGTTGTCGACTTGCGACTTGCTGTGTCTACCCTCGTACATACATATCTACTTCCATGGTCTACCCCTTGTCTACTTATAGTATTTTCTAGGTAGGTACTTCTGAACATACAAACGTAGTTGGCCAATCTTATTACACTGTTTTCAAGCACATGGTGATGTATGCAGTACGGTGTGTGTTCGCAATAATTTTTTATGTTAAAATTGTGTTGGATGATACTTATTGTGTACTTTCTTGCTACTAATATAATTTGGCAGTTGGTTAACCTTGTAATTTGATAAATTGTTAGGCACACAATGCACGTAAGATATTAAAATTGTGTTCAAAGCGTGAAGACGAAATGCATGCATTTCATTTAAATTTAATTGAGGTTGTCCGTGTTTGGAATAAAAATTGCCCTGTTTTTTTTGGAAATATTGCATTTGGCTAGACTTTTTTGAAATTTTGCAATGTCGAGATGGCTTTAATCAAACTCAAGACGTCGGTCGAGATTGGAATCATTCTTTCGGAACAAATGGGTTTAATTGCATCTCCCGGATCCTGAGTGAAACAATGAGGATCACTGAAAACTGATTTGTCCTTTATTTTTAGGATCATTTTGTAAATAATTTTTAAGTTGGTATTTTATTCCGTTTTGTATGAAGTATAACGTGTAATATAAATCGGATTCTAAACCGGATTATTCAGTTGAAAAACTTTTCTTTGCAAATGCACGTAACTATTTATTATTCCAATATACAAGTAAAGTTATCGTAAACGTGTTTTATTGTGTATGTATGTATACTCTTGAATAGACGACTCCAGATAAAGAAATCAGATAGAGATGTGTACACCTTGCACCTCTCAATATATGAGAAGGCAAGAACTGAGGAGAAAGTAGAAAACAGTAGTTGCAGTAGCGTGTGCATATTTGAGATGTGTTAAAAATACGACGTACGTGCGTTTCATGCGAAGTAGGAGCAGGACACGATTTCAATCCATCACACCCCTCTTTCTCTTCTTATTTTCCCCATTCTGGCTGCTGCCTCAACTGTTTTACAAAATCAAATGTGGACTTCAGCATAGTCAAGCCCACTTTAGTTTGTCCCATGCATTGCATTGCACTTTTTCCTCTCAGCCGAAAATCCTATAGTATTATGTATCTATTCACATAAATGCGACACTGGATCACACAAGAGGGGCATTAAAAACTTTATAGTTTTGAAAGAAAGTCTTGGCTAGATTGGCTTATTATCAATGCGCTTCTTATGTGGAGACATCGTAAGAGATCAAACTTTTGAAGATTTAAGCGCATCACATATATGATTAGGTTTCTCCGTATACTTTCACTAATCCTAAATTGGAGCGGCTCGAGTAAGAGCACAAGTCAAGTCTGAACCAGCAATGGAGTGAGTATTATCCGGCTTCAACTTTGGTAAGAAAATCGTTTTATTGCTTCAAGTCGGAGCTAAACTACCACATTAATGCTCCACACTCCGTTCCATGCCCCTGTTTTAAATAGATTCATAATGACATTTATGATCCAGCTATTTCCAGGCTGATTTAAGAACCACTTTCATCCCCGCAGCCTCTTTCTTTAGAAAGGAGTATGATTTCTACTGAGGAACATCCCTCTTGATTTTCCACATGACGAGAAGGCCTGATGAGACAAATGTTAGCTGATGTGTTCGCCATTCTGAAAGGAGTCGTCGTATTTATTGGTACTTCATAATTGAGGTAAACGAGTGTGCGTTTGATTATAATCGGGTTTCCGCCTGTCGTGAAATGTCGAATAAAAAGACACCCTATTTTTAAGGGACTTAAAACACACACCTTTTGCATAGCGACGATGAAGCATTAATGATATTATGAAATTACTACATACAAGCAACTCCCCTGTTTTGAGCTAATTTCATCCTATGTAAACAGTGTCACCCAATTGAACATCTGAATTTTGCGTGTACTTTCTCCTTATATGCACGTCCTTATGGACCACATACAAAATTTACTTGAACTTGACGTTTGCTTGATGTGACAGTGATACTTCATGTGCTTGCTTATCAAAGCCGGTCCAAGTAAATACATACATGATACATATACAAAAGTGTTATGACGAAGAAGCTATATGGCTTGGATTCTTGTATTCACAATAGATTGTTCAGTGCAGTGAAAGTCATTTCATTTAAACTTTGGATGATGCCATCCGTGCTTGCACAATTTTTTTCAGACCTCTACTTGTGGTCTTTTTTCAGGTTAGTTTGAAATTCGACTTAAGTACTTATCGTCAGTTACTTCGACTTGGTTAGAGTATCAACGCATTAGAAGAAATGCGAGTAAAAATTCTCATCGCAAGTCGCTACATGTCCTGCGGGCACCATATGTCTAAGTTCGTCTTTAAGTTAAAGGTCATTCCATTAGCACTCATGTTTATCCGGAGGCATGAGAAAAAATTGTAGCAAATACAATCGACATCTTCTCATAAGGAGTTTCAATTTGTTATCTTAAAAGTTGCAGGCATATCAGATCCATAAAATACGTTAAATAAACGACATTTTTTGCACTTGAGCTTGTGATGCGCTGAAATCCACTTTATGGTTACATATATTTGCATTTACCAACCTTCCTAGTAATATGACTGGTCAGTTTGTATTTATTTTTAGTCAGGTCAAATAAATTTTGAACAGAACTATTAATAGTATCGGTACTTCTTGTTTAACTCTTAAAAATAAATATTTTGTACTAAAATTGAAATTATTGCACCTATGTGTTACCGCTAATAAGTACGCAAACTGAAACGAATCATAAAACACTTAAAACGTCTGAGTAAAGAGAATGTAGCAAGTCTGATTTTGTCGAACTAAAAATTTTCACTTAACCTTAAAAACTCCAAATGATGTTAATAGTAGAATAGCTGAACTATTTAATACTAATTATTTACTGCCTCATCCTCATGCAACATCATACTGGTATTAAAGTAAGACGATAATGGCATTAAACAACATTAGCAATTTCACAAATTAGTTTAATTTACGATTAAATTTTAAAAAAATTAAATATAAATTCACCAGCACACCTCACCAATACTGGTATTACGTACATACTTGCAGCCTTTGTGCATGGACTGACTGCATAATATAAAACTTAGGTTACATAAATTGTACAGTATTTTGGTCTTTCCTGCTTCGCCTCATTGTTTCACCCTCACACGCGTTTGCATAGTTTTGTGAACATGGAAGAATTGATGTGAAGGTTTGCTTTTCCAGTAAAAGTACATAAGTTTTTCCACTCCATGCAAATAAATGAATGTTTCTTCCTTTCCGTGTTCTTGCCATGATATCACCAAGTGATGGAGTGCACATAGGAATTTATGGAGCACGTAGAGACAAAATTTTTAAAAATATATCCTCCACTTGTAGTGAAAAAGCTCGTGTCACACAAACATGGAATAGTAAAAATTCAACTTTATTGTGGAAAGGTATGAATGTAGAATTCTGAAGTGTTGGTAGTTATGATATGATGTTGAGTTGAGTACCAAAAATTCAAAAGTGAAGAACATGCTCGAGTTTGTTTCCTGTTCCGAAGTGAACTTCAATCCGCCCAACGCAACGTGACACTTTCTGGGTTTATATTTTGTATACCCACTGCGGCCATAATCCGTGTTCACTCATGGTTGTCTTCTCCTCCAGCCATGGAATGTGCACAAGGAAATAAAATGAACAAGAAAGAATAAGGACGTAGTAAAGTCCGGACTACATTATATGGTTCAAAATTTCAGAGATAACTATTCGTGCGTCCCAATTTTGTTCATTTGTTGTGGGGAACCAAACTATATACAATTCTTAGTACGAACTGGAATGTATTTGTATGTACTTGTGCACGTCGTGATATGCGAGTAGGTGGTTGGTTACGGCATAATTTTTGGCATCAAAACTTCAAAATTTTGCTCCCCAATTGTTAGAAATTGATGAATGCACATGATGTTTGCGAAATAAAGTATGAGATGCCCATGATACTTGTCAACCATTTGTGTTTGCTCTTCGGATTTTTATGAGATTTATGGGAATTCTTTCTGGGTCTTTTGTCCTCAATTTCATCTCTTCAACAATACTCAATGTGAACCGTTCCTTAAAAGTTTCAGTCATTTACTGTCAGCAACAGATACTACTTTTGCTGAATCCTTTGTGGGCTTTACGTGACAAAATAACCAACCTCCTCGTCGTGAATTGCAACTTTTCCAATTGTATGTGTCGAGCAGAATTGTTGGAATTCTTGTACAATGATATTTACATGTAATAGAGCAAATTCCATTGTCTGGAAATTCCATTAAATTCACTTTCCTAGATACTTATGTAGAATGTACATATCTGAATAATACAGGCATAATAATGTACGCAATAGCACAGAGACTTCAAGAGTTACAACTTCATATTACTCACGAGGCACCTCCAAGTTAGAATCGTATTCTAGCAAGATAACCAACCTCTGTCTCAGTACCTAAAAATATTAGAGTTTTATGAAACATGAATTAGTGAAAGTTGTGAAAGCACGTAAAAATAATAACGGAGTGATGGTTCATTTTTGTACATATGTTCATATGTAAATAGTTGCAGCTATAATACATAACTGTTTGGCAACTATATGGAGTGTTAACTTTTAAACACAATTTGCATACCACTCACTGACTAAAAAGTGAGGATATCAATACTATTGATAGTTTTCGAATTTACTAATGGGAACATATGTGCACCTACTAAAGATCACAGTGCAATCGGTAAAAACACGTAGGAGATACACTTTTATCTGTTTTGATCTCCAGACGAGACGACACTTTTTAGCCCGAGTCAGGGCTTATGGAACCGTCATGTCCGTCCGTCTGTCTGTCCGTCTGTCTGTCCGTCTGTCTGTCCGTCTGTCTGTCCGGCACGATAGAGCCAAAACGGCTGAACCGATTGACTTGAAATTTTTACCATATGCATATTGGACAAAGTTAGGAAACGAGTTCGAAGATAGGCGAAATCGGTCCAGTGGTTGACCGGTGGGGGTCATCGGAGTGGGTGGAGTATTATGCACCAAAATTTCAAAATTGTTGTAGAGAGCTGAAATTTGGTACAGAGGTTGCTAATGGCTCCCAATAGAAAAAAATAACTTCAGGGTGGAAAAATTTTCATCTTGAGAGACCCTAGAGGGTGACCCATACCGATTTTTCAAAATCGTCATAACAAGCTGAAATTTGGTAGAAAGGTTGCTAATGGGTCATAATGAAAGAATATGATATGATATTGGTAAAATTTTTATCTGGAGCGACCCTGTGGGGTGACCCATACCGATTTTTAGAAATTGCTTTAAAAAGATGAAATCCGGCACAATGATACTTAATGGCTTCTAATTAAAGAATATGAAGTTAAAAGTGAGCAAAGTGCGACCAGAGTGACCCTACGGGGTGACGCATACTGATTTTTCAAAATCGTTAAATCGAGCTGAAATTTGATATGGAGGCTGAAAACCACTGCTGAAAACCACTGCACATGCATACAGCTTAGAACTTCAGGATGCTAAAGAATTCCACTAGTCATTTGTTTGTAACTAATTAAAAAATTTGGTGCCAAATAATAGAAACTAATAGACTTTTAACTATCCACAACAAGGAGTTTGGTAATATTATGTCGGACAATTTGTAAAAAAATTAGAAGCGGGCTCTGGCTTATTGAGTCAGGGACTATGTCCCTGACTCGGGCTATATGGAGTCTGCACTGTAGGTTTTATGTTACGTGGGTGGTTACGACAATAAAAAAGAGTTCAACAATCCGAATCGGAATTTAGCATATGTTTAAAAGGCCTTATTTGAATTTTGCTTGGGTTTGATCTTTGTGAACATGAACACCAATCTTCATGAAATTGTGCGACATTGGCGTTTGATTTGTAAACCATGAAACTGGAATTTGGACAGTTCTTGGGACGCTTGACATCTTCTGTGATAGAGGAATTGTCCCTTTATTTCAGAAGCTATGTAGCTTGGAATGTAATTTGTAGCAGGGGAACATTTATGTTACGTCACAAGGCAGGTGGAGATAGAATTTCTTGTCATTTCACTTCGTACATGTGGATCCAAATGTCGTATTAAAATTTCTTGACATTGAGCACAACACTTCTTGAAGATGGGTCAGACTTTTCTAAGTTGGAATTCGCAATATATGTAAATATGAATTCAGTTGACCTCGTTATGCCCAGTTCAGTGCTCGTACATAGGTGGTAAAGATTCAATGGACGCACACATATAAAATGAGTTAAATAAGTTTCATAGTATACTTACTCCACGCGTTTTTGGGGCAATGTGAAATAGTAACTTAAAACAGAACAGATAAATAATAATAATTCTGACATGAAAGAAATCTAAGATATATATTCTACACAAACGAAAAATGTAATATTGTATTAAATTAATAGAAATTAAGAAGATATTCAGAACCCTCATCTTAACTAAAGGGTTGACGGGAAGTCAAATATAATTAAAATATAACTCATTAGTCCATAATGTTGCGGACATATTTATGCAGTATGGGTCATACAAGTAGATACTTGATATGCATTTTGGATCGCAATTTTACAGACCAGCCGAGCCAGCGGTTGAGTTAATACAAATTGGAGGATGTTAAAAAATGACGATCAATTAAACCAGCAATGCTTAAATGTTTGATTTATTATTTGCTCTTCACGATTAACATGCTATTATGTATATTTATTTACTCCAGTAGATCCTTATTTATAGATATTTCTTAACAACATGCGACATTACTACATGTGGTATTTGGGTATCACAAAAACATAATACAAGTAATCAAATAGGTATACTCACTTTTTGGAAACTCAGTACAATACAAGGTTATATTTCCAGTTACTTAATTTTAAAACCTAATTATGCATTATGGAGAATTATAATCAATTATCTGGTTGTCACGATATACAGACGCATACGACGATCTAAATGCATTCTTTCTACTAATCTTAAACGGAGTATGCACAATTTAATTAATGAGAGTTACATTAAACAGTATTTACTCATGTTACATTCTCATCACTCTGCGCTCCAGCAAGTTAACCTACAATATATTAAACTCACAATTAACAGAGCTTAAGATCTTGGGTGATGAATATTATTACAATTATAATTACATTAATTCGACCTTATATATAAATGTGTTGGCTCGTTAATAGATAGTCATTCTGATATATTTTGCTTTCTTTTAGTAATTACACTGCTATCGATTAAGAAAATACAGGGTTTCGAGGTTGATGCGTATCCTACACTTTTACGCAAAATTGTTCCTACTTGAAATTATTTCATTTCCTGCCAACCTTCATCATTTGTCTTTTCCTTGGCCTCGCCCGCAAATGCCACTTTGCCACAGCAAAACTACACATGCACACAAACACAATGTATGGTATTCAGTTTTTCTTTTTGGATCTAAAAAAAATTGGTGGAGCAACTTTGAAAATTCGCTTGACTCTCCGCTTCCCTTGAGGGCTATTTGCACCAGAAACTTTTCTGGAGCAATATGTCCCATTAGAAAAGTCTCCAGGAGAAAGTATGAACTTTTCCAAACTACGTATGAAGTTTGGATCCTAGTGTGTGGTCGGTGCTGGCAAACTTTCTTGTTGATGGTACATACAGGGCTGATGTAGCGATGGCGGTGGAGGATGATGTCCGCTCAATCATTTTCAAGTTAACTTTCTCTCCTTAACTTGAGATACGCCCTGCCCTTTAAGTATCACTTCAAATTTATATCAGCTCAGTCACCGGCTTTGCACATCAACATGCGACTTCCCCTCTGATTGGTTTCTCTTTCCGAGTACAAGGTGATGCTGAATCTCTGTAACAAAATAATTAAACAAGTATGGCACTGGTGCATACATAATCTCATACATTTTATGCGTAAGGAATAACAATGAAGCAACAGCCAACATGCCATCGTTAGGTCTTACCACATAATTAATATTTAAAGAATCAAGCTAGAAAATCTAAGACTAAAGAATCCTCAAGGTTGAAACGGTCGTATAATCAGTCGTAAATGTTTGTGAGAGAACTTACAAGGGTTTCTCAGAAGATTCCGGACCGAGTGGCCGAGCGAGATGACATGGAGACCACAATGAAGTTTGGACGCTGACAAAGAGGAGCAGGATCGTTAGACATCAAGTTCTTCCCATTCTGATCTTGACAACTTTCACCACATGTCTCATGTCATTTTTGTTATCCTTGGTGAATGACATTGTGCTAAAGGGGACGACCTTCATCCATCATTGAAAAAGGAGTGTCTCCAGAAAATAATATTTGAACGGAACAATTCGACAATGCGATGGAATAAAATTTCTCTGGGTGGCCATTCTCCAACTGTCACTACTTCTTATTCGGAATTGTGTGTGTGTGTGTGTCACTTATTAGAAAGATGGCGAATGTCACCTTGTTCTTGTAATATCACAATCTGGCCAGAATGTAGCAGTTGGCCTGTGGGTTGTGGTTGGCTACATAAATGAAGGGCTGGCGAGACTGTCTAGGAGAGAAAGTGGCGGTGATGCTGATGGTGAGATCCCATATGCAAAGCGGTTGGGCACAGTGTGGAAATCAATAGTGAAAGTGACGCTAAAATCCACACGAGGGGAGAAAGTTGGCTGCCTAACACCATCCGGGAATTTGCAGTAGATTCGTGTTGCAACTCGTACAACAGTTCGCCTGTCACAAAATCATGAGCATCAGCTAACATCATCAAAATCTGCAGAGTTATGTTCTCAAATATCATCTGCATTGTGATAATGTCTAAACGTCATGTTCCAGTTCACACATTTGGAATGCGTCTCCAAAAATCAATTTCTCCCTCGGCAGCTGAACTTCCTTAATCCATACATATTCGAAATAAATCAAAAACAGTTTTGAACTCTTACAAAAAATCCAATTCAACTTTTTGTGTTGATAAAGTACTTTCCTCAACTTTAATAAACCGAGAGAAGAAAAGTCAAAAGAAATTACATGAAGTCGGATTACACCAACCAACTATTTGCGACTAGAGCACTGGATGACGTTATGTTTCGGAATTGCAGACGGTGCTTCGTTTCGGTTATGTTCATCGTTATTTAAAAAATAAAAACGTTAAAGAAAATCTTCATACCGTTAAGCACATGAACAGAAATTGTGGAAGAAGCTCGGCCACTGACACAACTGTAATGTGATTACAATTATCAATTACAATTATTAATTATAACTAAATTAAAGTAATTGTAATACGTGTAATTCCCACTGTCCCCTTTCCGGACGGACAACACTGACAAATATCCAGTCGCCTCTCCGCTGCCCTGACTTTTCGACAATCTGTACAAAAACGAATTAAAATTCTTGACGCTTATTTCCAAAGTTCTCATACGTAACCATAAATGCTCAATGTCCGTCACATTGTCATTGGTCTGCATACGTAAGCATGGGCATATGTTCATTCAAACAAACTGTTCAGCATCCTGAGTTTGACCAGTACAAATTATTTCTGGTTGATTTAAATATTTTGTATGGAACTGACACTTTTCACTTTTGTGTGGAGCTGTTTTGCATAATTCTCTTGTTCATGGAGGCAGAAAGTAGACATTTTTCAGGAAGCTCACAAGAGTATGTGAGCCTCATAACGGCGTAGTGAAAGGGTTGAGCGTATCCGACTGAAAATGTAAATGGTTCGAGATTCGTCTCATTCTGCTGATTGGGGATGTTGGATATCACTTCCCAAGTAGTCAACCCTATAATCACTCAGCAAACTTGAATATCATTAGACTACGGAAGGAATCGCTAGCGGGACAGTGCACTCATGCAGAAGAATATTATGGACCCATTGTCTCCATTGTTTTAATTTATTTCACAAACAGGCAGATCCCTTCCTCCCTCCCATCCCACCAGAAACAGTTTGTTGTCAAGTTTGGGTTACAACAAGGCTGCTTGTTGGAATGAGACTAAAGTTATTCATCTGCATCAACATTACGCGAGATTGATGATGAGACCGAGGATGGACAGTGCAGCTTGAGCTATTGCAATTTAAATGGAAGGATTTTGTCACCAGATTTATTTCCAGCTCGACCTAAATGACTTGTGAGTTTTGATTTATTTTTCAGATAAAGAGTTTGCATGGTTTGCTACGGTTTGTTTGAATGTCATACGCACACATATTTATGGGTATGAAAAAACAATAGCATTGGAATGACTGAAATATGTCTGGACATTATTTTTAATATGTAATCAAGAAAACTTGAAATTAAAGTCGGCTTATGAATTATATTAAACATGAATCATCGGTTGTATGTAAGAGTCTTACTTGACTTTGATGCGACTATCACCTCCGGGCAAGGGATTTGCTCCTTTCAGCCAAAGAATGTTATCCACCGATTTAGCGATATCAACGTTGCTAGCCTTGCAAGTTAGGTGAAGTGATGAATCTACTTTATAATGACGTTCTGTGACGACATGTCCATTTTCATCTAATATTTGCACCGCTGGAGCTGGATGTACAAATAAGGAGAAAATCACATGAGCATTTGAAATGAGCAAAGATCTGTGTGTAATGCATAAACTGGAATTAGATGAGGGACATACGAGATAGAGGACAAACTTAACATTTTTTCGTACACGGCAAAATAATAATAATGAATATCTAGCCTTGGCTGAGGTTTACGACTCTACTTTCCGTCTCACCTACATGTGTACTATATTGTATGTAGAGCTGCCAGTCTAGTAGTTCGTCCCATTCAAACGGCACTACTTTTGGAATGCTTGTGGGAACATATGTATTTATAGTCATGAGGGAAAGCATGTTTCCTCTCATCCTTTCATTTGTTCATTTGTTTGATTGGACGATGAAAGGAAGGAAGAAAAGTTGAAATTTTGTTGAAAGTTGCGTGAGATGGAACAGAAGGAGCATTTCAACCTCAGTCACAAATTATTCCCCACTGATTCATCTCATTTCAACTGACTCACCCATAATATTCCACACTTTGGTGGAATATGACTCTTGGGGGACTCGTAATCTAACATTGCTCAAACAATGGCTAGCTCAGAAAAGCAAGTCGGATTGCCCAGTGAAAGTTTTGCAGTACACACATGGCTATACGAAAGTATCCAGCTCATACATCCCATCATCCTACTACTACATACTTAATATGCCTGGATATGCTACCCTTTCCTAGCTGACATTTCCTGAATGGACGATTATTTACACGAGTTATGGGACATTTAAAAGTAGCTGCAGCTAAACTCTGCGAGTATTTATGTGTACAAGAAAAATGCTAATGTTCGAAAATAAAGTAAACTAATGAACTATTTCTCAAAAAAGCAAACGAGTTCCAATTTATTGTAGAATATGTTTGGATATTAAAACAAGTTCATGTGTGCATACATACATTTTATTAGTCAGAGGCATGACATAACTTACCTATGACTTTCAGATGAAAAATCAAAGCCTTCGTAGGATGCGTCGATCTGTGTAAAACAAGTGAAAAGTTGAAGGACTTTCACCACGTAAAATACCTGTAATGTGGTTTAATTTAAACTCACAGCTGACAATGATATTCTCCTTCATCTTTTTTCTGAACCATGTCGATTCCTAATTGGATCATAGATCAAGTTAATCAAGATAAGTCATGCATAAGTAGTGACAAAATCTCTGCAACTTACCTAATCTCCAGTTATTTGGATATCTACAGGGAAAAATAAACAATGTACCTCATTGTTAAATGAAAACCATGAAAAATTCTACTGCCTCTGTTATGCATTGAATTTCATAGGTTCCTAATTATACATACGCATTTTCTTGCTCGCCTACGTATATCCATCATGCATCAAACTTTAATTTGCATGTATCGTACAGAAAATGATACTTTGCTTAAGGTTGTACTAAATGAGACTGCATTATTGAACAGACTACGGGGTCAAAAAGGACCCACAAAGATAAGAGATGACGCGTAATCCAGTTTATTACTGAAATCTTGTTATCAACTTTGGAGTAAGCTGAGAATTAGGGTCAAACAAGAAAATGATATGGCCAACCTGAAACGTAGCCCAACCCTGGAATCAGAATAGTACGTGGCGTTGCCTACAGTCAGGAGCTGCAAGTTGTCCTTCCTTCGTCTAAGCCAGGAAACCTGCATGAGAACAAAGAATTTCATCAAATTTTTGTTTTTCGTAACATAGCTGAGCTTCTGCAAATTCCAGAGAAATCCAACATCATATTTTGTTATTCTTGGTGTGTGGCCACTGCATGGTATGGGATAATACATGTATTCTCACTCATAGAAGTAGAATCTGTACTTAGAAAATGACTGGATTTCGGATATGATAATAAAATATCTCCGTTATTATTATACGCAAAAAATTGCATATTCCCACTCTCGATCCGTCGCTATTTTACATTTCAGTATAAAATAAAGGATTAAAAATAAACTCTTTTTTGCAAGAAAATAAAGGCCACGAGTTCCACAATGAGTGAGGAGGCGAGTTTTCTATGCACAGCATCACAGTAAAAGTTTATTTTCTTCAAAAGTTATTCAAAGATGAACCTCACAAAGCAAAAATGTTCCCAACCAGCAGCATGTTTAATGCCGTCTTAAAACTGACAAGCAATCACTTTTAAAACAAAAGAGATGAACAAACATGATGATGCCATGTCTGAGCCTTGCGAGAGATAGACACTGTAGAATTTAGACGTTCCTCCTCCTCCTTTCTCGTCTTGAGTGGATTCAGGATTGGATCTGAAATAATAGAACGAGTGTGGAAAAAAGAAGAAAAAGAGATGAAGGAAGTGAATGTGGATGGAAAGAGAGCATAAAATGTAATTACTTGCTCGCCCATTTCAGCCAGAGTTAGTTCTTGTTCTCATAAAATTCTGGTGAAGTAGTAGGAATCAAGGGGAAAGGGGACATTAACGCTCTGTCATAATCAGAGATATTGGGCAATTAGCCTTTTCAAACTTTTTCAAATTATCCGTCCACAACCACATCCCAGACAAACTAACTGGCGAAAAGGGGGGAATGTTGACGACTCACGCGTTTTCGATGAAGTGGCTCATTAATGGCTACAAAGGTGCGAGGAGAAAGTCAGCCCGGAGAGAAAAAATGGTACGGGGCAAGGTAAAGTAAACGATTTTAGAAAAAATTAGAATTTTGGCAGCTGCGAACATGCAACGTGAAATAAAAATGTGCCACGAACAGGAACACTTACTTTTGTCCCTCGAATTTGAATTACCGTCACAAAAAGTTAGGGGAGAGACAATGACTATTGACATGCAAAATGATGATGGAATTGACTTCCAAAATGGAGGAGAATAACACACATTGGAAATCTCCTTGGCAGAGGTACGCTGAATATGAGGCGAGTAGAATGAAAAGGAAGAATCCCTTCGACACTTCAATTTCCCTGTTAATGGCATTTACTCGCATGCAACTCAAACCAGTCAGTTCATCCCTTTATTTTTTGGAAAGGGGGTTTCAGGAGAATTGAAATTAGAATTGCAAAAAATACAATTTCCTAAGACATGCAGTTGGGCATGGACTATACCTCCATTAATTTACTTGCTCCGATCTACTGTCTCGCCCTAAGGTGAACCTTGTCCCAGTTACTTTCAGTTGATTGGACTTAATTAGTTTTTTTAACCAAAGAAACACCCTTCAGAAAAGATCAGACTTGAGAGGTGGGTAGAAACCACGGGAAAAAATTCACTCACCCAATGATTTGTAGAATTTGGTAGTGATATGCATGTGCTTGTTACTGTTCTACAGATAATCCATTTTTTAACTATAACTGACAACTTTGGGTTGATTTAACTATGGTCAGCTACATAATAAGATAACTTGTTTAAATAATTTAACTTGTTGGAGTAGTAAAATAAATTTTTCAGTAGCAACGTTTTCATCTATGAGTGTACAAAGTACTAGTTGGTAATGCTAAATATTTTAAATTAGTAAGTACACATGGTATGATTTCTACTAAAAACATTGCAAAATGATGCATCATTAAGTCGTACATAAGTAATTAAAGTCAGACCAAAGTCTCGAACTAAATATTTATCAGCCAATGTATAGAAATTGCATGTGTTTGCCTATGTAGTTCATAAAGTCAAAACACAACCATGCCGAATTACAAACAAAGTATTATAATCAAATTATCTCGAGAAATAATGGGAGATAAAATCCTTAACAAATCCTTATTACATAACAAGTGGGAGGTTCATTTGGAAACCTTAGTTGATAAGCACATACATTGCATGTAACTGTTTCGCCTGAACCTTAAACAGCTTGAGACTCGTCTGCTTTCCTCTTCTCATTCTGACCAACAAGATTACTTTTGCACATTCGCCACATTTAAGCCGACGGGAGAGACTTTCCGACTCAAACAAAACCAGCAGCAGCAGCGGCAACACATTACCATTTGCTATTTTGCTACCAACATTTCGCCGTAGCAAAAACTCGACAACATGTTATCCGTTCCATTCGAGGAGGGCAGCAGACACGGGGAGAAGGAGAAAGGGTCTCAATAAAAGTAAATAAATATGTGCCACCCTAATGACCAACACCCCATTTGCGTCTCGTGGTCTTAAATCTTTCTTCATTGCTAGTCAACTTAAACTCATCGGCTGCCTGGGATGTAATATGGAGCAATATGGGTCATTTGGACAGAGCCTGGACAAAAAAAGATATTTTCTTCTCTAGATATGTGGGTTACCATTGCATTAGAATTGTGTTACAAGGGGCCACCCGTGTGCATTAGTGCAAGTACTACTTTTGCAATATTACACCGCCCCATTGATTCTCTGCCATTATTGCCAAACTCCTTCCGCCCTTCACTAAAACAAATGGACTACATTTATCATTAACAGCGATAGGCAATAATTTGATCATTTTCACTCAAGACGAGAAAGTCGGTGTACCCGAGGATAAAGATTACTTTTTGAGGAATTGCGAATTTCATGAAGAAGACCAAGTCTGCTACGAATTCTATAATAAACAAGGCCCCAAAAAAGGGAAATCTTAGTGAGGCTTGGTGCGACTACAACTAATAAATAAAATTAGATTGCAGAATTTTTGCATCACCGCTCTCAGTACCATTCTTTATTGGAAACATTAAGTAATCATTGCAATAAATGACTCCCCTCAAACATGCTTGTAATTTCATGAGAATAAGAATTAATAGGATATCCAGATTATAGGATTATCCAGAAAATATTAACATTAAATATTTGCAACTTTTGTAGCATATTTGCAACTTAAAGATTCGTAGTTCACAATTGTTACCCATTAAATTTATTCCTAGGTAATTTACCAAACTTCTCATTCACTGGTAAAAACGTCTTCTTAAAAGCCAAATTAATTCAATAAATGTAAAAATGCATGTGTATGCGAAACAAAATTTATATTGGATCCAGTAAGAACGGTACAGAGAGCGGTGATGCAAAAATTCTGCAATCTAATTTTATTTATTAGTTGTAGTCGCACCAAGCCTCACTAAGATTTCCCTTTTTTGGGGCCTTGTTTATTTAATACTTGTAATTGAGTTCTTTATATATTTAATAATAAGCACCACACATTCCTTAAATCTAGAGTTGATTAGAAGATTTATTGTCAACAACATTAATTCTTTGCGTCGCTGCAAAAATTCGAAGGTTTTCTAAATTTAATAATATCCAGAGTTCTTAACAGATTTTGATCATCCGGATCAGTTTGAATGTCATTTGTAAATTTCATAAGAATAATCGGTGCAAAATGTCATCAAAATCGGTTGAGAAATGACTGAGATATTGAATTATTTCTGTTAGTTTTTGGGGTGGGGTCAATGCACACGTAATTTGTGTTGCCAGGTATAAAGGTCACTAAAAACTTGCAATTTTTAGATTTCAAATTTGAATAACTTTCTGAGTTCCTAACGGATTTGGATAATTTTGGACTTAAAATAACCGGAATGACTTTGTCTTCAATGTTTTCAATAAGGGAACATGTTTGGATGACCCATTAATGAGCTATGAAAAGAAATGTTCAGTAAGGGGCAAATTTTCGCGTATTTTTGCCAATAACTCTCTTAAAAAACAAAAATTCCAAAAGGCGACTCGCACGTCGTTTTGAAATTATCTAAGAATGATCGGTACAAAATTTCATCCAAATCGGTTGAGAAATGACTGAGATATCGTCGGTGGTCACTTTTTTGAGGAGGGTCAACTGCATGCTTAGTAATTTTTGTGTTGCTATGTATTTGCCTCACTAAGAAAAAATGGAAGAGCTGTAGGAGCAAGGTCATGAAAAGTGACTGAGGTCCAAAACAAATGGTTTTTGCACATTTCATCCGGAAATCTATGAGTTTCTTCCACTGGGACTTGTGTGCAACGCAGCGGGGTTATCCGAATGAAGGATTACGCCCTGAGGAGTCAGGCAGGAGAGCAACTTGCACCCGACGCAAATCCTGGTAAACCACCCGACCCACACTTTGCTACTTTACTTACTTTCTCTCTCTGGGTATTATGCTTGCAGAAATTTGTTTGTGTGTTTATTCCTCTTTTCGCTTGTTGAGTGGATCACAACTTTGCGCTACGAACATGTTGGTCAAACATGTTGACGTGACGGAAAATGAATTATTTCGTGGTACACGTCTTGACACTTGGGTGGGTTAGGTCGTAGGAATAGTTTGTAGAAATTCTATATATCAACACATACAATCTTTGATATACATAATGGTTTAAGTCCCTTATTTCCACGACATTTTGATTTGTTCACTAAGAAGCAGTTAAAAACCAGAAGCGGAAAGAAATTAATCAGATCTGGGCGATCTGTTTCATACATAAATACAAGATTAATCAATACAACTATCAGCCAGGAAAAGCGTATCTGGTCAGAATGTCTCAATTTTCCCAATGATGATTTATGAATCCTATCCTCCTCCCACACCGGACATTAACATCCGGGAACAAATGAAAGAAGAAAACTCAGTGGGTCGGAATTCGAAGTTTGTTGATTTAGTTCTGCAGAATTGGTGGATTTGCGCCCCGAAATCCAATAAAACCAAGGAAAACTTGGTTTACTTATCAAAGCAAGTTGGTATTTTTGTGAAATAATAGAAGAGATAGATGCTACACATAAACTACCAGCCAGACGCGTGAGTTAAGTTGTCCAACCTTTGGCAATGTTGGCCTAATGGAGACTCAGACTCTAGTATTTCCAATTTGTTCAGCAGATATGGAGCACAATGGAGTTTTGGAACTAATGTGAAGTTGATTAGAATCTCCATTTCATGCCTAGAATTCATACACAGCCCATCTTCCTCCTCCTCTTCTCCATTAGATGTACTTGTGTACTGCAATATATGTGTCGTGTGTGGAGGTGGGACGTACAGAAAACCATATAAATGCTACCAGCAAATCCAATATTGAGACTCAAATCGAATTTGGAATGTGTGTCAGATCTGACACTCGGTGATTAGCTGGGGAGAAAGGTCACGAGAGAGTTTTGCCCAGCACACAACGAAAGCGCACACCAACACGTTCAGTAGTAAACGGTTTTGTTTTGCTCGTGTCGGTGTACGCTAGCTGCTCTCGCTTGTAAATAATGCTACGTTTTCAGTAATGTCCCAATTTGTGCAACATATCAGTTGTGGGCATTAGTGAAAATTAATTGGCTCCAGTGTGTTATACGTATCGTGGCCAAGTTATAGTAAATATTTCACAAGTAGAATGCACAAGTAGTCTGAAGTTTATGAATCTAGGTACTTAGATACGCAATTACACATGTCAGTTGTTATAACTTTAGGTTTAATTAAATTATGTCAAGAGCTAACAATGAAATGCTTGACACGTGCATAATTATGGCACTAGTTTAGTGCGACAGAACAGCAAATTGGAACACTGAAATGTATTTAGATTCCAAGTCTCATGCTGATATAATTATGTGTCAGCAATTGGATGAGATGCCGTTCGTGCAGGTAATTGCGTTGTCCGTATAACAGCAATGTTGAAAATGCTACTATTTTGAAGGAGCAATTTATAAAGACTTTCCAGCCCAGCATCATGTTATGTTTTGTGAGTGGAGTAATTGACAACTAAACAATTAAACACACTTCATCGTTTCACTAACGTCAATAGGAATCTGTGTTGTGTGTCATTCCCCTTTGTTTGTACGCCTTTCGTGGTGTGTGGTAGCGCGTATAAAAATAATGCCTTGAATTAAACAGCATTTCATACCCCTGTGCCCAGCAGGAAGTCCACCTCTCCCTCTCAAAGTATTCTGGAGCCCAAAATCCGAAAACGGGGACTTTCCCCTACCTTAAGCATCTTAAAAGTCTTGATCCCTTCTAGTCTTAATATGATGCAATCCATATTTAATGCAGCAACACAGCTGAAACTTTATGGTCTGTCGATTTGGTCCAATGAGTCCAAAGTGCGTATTAAGCACAAGTGGGAGCATTATGCAGGGGGTCCTCGGATCGTCTCCTCCTCGCCCACATAACTTTCACCGTTCCATCAAATATTAAATGAAACCATTCACAAGTCAACCCCACTTCCTCCGCACCAGGTTCTCTCCCCATTAGAAGCGTTGTGAGGAAAAGTGCATCAGTGCAGCGTAGCTTATGAGTGATGATGGGATCTTGAAAATAGTTTCCCTATTCTGCCTTGTTCAGCTGAGGATCAAGGAATCAATGAATTCAATTCAAGGGCTTAAGATCGAAATAGCTTTTAGCCTCATGGCCGGATTCCAATCTATATGAGTTGTGAATAGGGAAAAGTATAACGATACTTTGGTCCTCTTGCGTCGCATTTCTTGGTATGCATTTCTTCGCATGGTGGTCGTTCTGAGGCTGTTTGAGAGCGAGAGGATTATTGGCGAGAGTATTTTTGTGGTTGTGACTAGCATCGAAGTGAACCCCAACCTCTTTTTGGCCTATTCAGTTTCTTCCTGCCCTTTATATTCCGCCCACATAAACCAGCAATACACAGTCTCATTGTGTCTCAAACAGAGTCCGCTTAGGGTTTAATAACATCGAGAAAGGTTCAAAATGCTCGAGATACAATTTACTTTCACTTCCTTCCTTTTATCCTAGGCTTATTCCAAATGAAAATGAACAAATCCAGCCTTGTTTACTCACTCACTCACTCGCTAATACTCCAGCCGGCTAAATACATTTCTCGTCTTCTCATTGGCATTGGAGGTAAAGTTGGTGGTCCAGAATTCGGAAGAGAAAGTGCCGGCCAATAATAAAAAGCCAACTCTTTCTTCACTCATTCATGGGAGAACAATGGCCTCCGTTTCGTCTTCGTATCCCTGCCCTTTCTGTTTTTGAGCTGCCTCATTCCGACTGACTCGGGGAACTTGATAAAAATGTTAACACGGACATATACTAAAAGCAACACGTGTTGTTGACCAAAACATTAACGATATCAGAGATGTATGTATGTACGACGCCAAAATGACCAAAACTGGGTTTTGGTTGTTTGAAATTAAATAGATTAGTATCAGCTAGACAAACCTGAATTCATCGCACTCGAGGAAAGTGCCACTTGCGACTATTGAAGTAATGTCCATTTCGCCAAAGGGATTTCGGTCACTCGAGACTTTGTTTGATTTCATTTTGTGAATGGAAGTTTTCAATCCGTGAGTAAGTGAGTGTTGAGATTTATTCTGTATCCCATTCAGTCGCACAGCTCAGTCAGTTTCAAAAGTCGATTGGTGTACTATTGGTGTAAGTTGTTGGTCATACTACTACCAGTGCCAATCTATACGTATATCTGTTGCCTTGAGTTTCTGATATTTTCCGGTATGAAATATATGAGAATCGGGTCGTCCTATAGAAAAGCTCTAACGCATATACAACTAAATCGATCTATAACTGAATGATGGGCGAATGTGATACTTTTAGCCTGATGAGCATCGTGGCCTGATTTCGTCACATCACATCGTCACTTCAATTCGGTATCTTTGAGTTGGTTTTTGGCTTTCACTTTCACTACTTGTGTGATGTGGGACCAGCGAAGACCAAATGTGCAGCATGTAGCAGTAAATTTATACATGTAGCAGTAGTGAGAGTCTGCAAGACTATGACTATGACCAAAACTAACAAATGACTTCCTCCAATCGACCGAACTAGTCAAGTGGCTAGCGAGATAAATAAATTGGAGTATTACATTACACTATTGTACGGTGGACTGCAGTCTAGGTTCGAGACTGGAGTGTTTGTACATGGACATGTATATACTCACAGATCTACCCACCACCAAACCAACCTAATACGAATGACCAGTGGCAGATGATACGCAACAACAAATTGCATGAGTGGGGGTGTTGAGGATAGTGTTTGGATTGGGAGCAGAGAGTGTTGTGAGATGACTGATGATGAAGGAGAGAAAGTGACCAAAATCAACATTGGTGGTGTGAAAGTCCACTAATAAAGTAATGGCTCGCGGCTCGTGGTGGTGGTTGCATTCGTGGAGAAAAGTAGAATAATGGAGTAGAGAAGGACTACTGCTCGGACAGTGTTTTAGCCTGGTTGAATTGAGGGTGGGATCGAGGAGATACTCGTTGTTGGCGAAGTTCACATGATACGGGGTGAACAATCAATCATACTCTTGTTGGACCATGCCAATCGTTGGACCACCACCACCACTGAACTAATTATTATTTTGTTTGGGACAACAAACAAGCGGGCGATACATATATCTAATTTATAAGTGTCGTACCGTTCTTCCTTGGAGTAGAATAACAGCGCAGTCTAGAAGAACAGTCTGTCCGGCTCGAGCTGTGAGATGGACCGTGGTTTTGTTGGACTCGAAGTAAGGTCCTGTAATCCTTGTGGAAGAACTTGCTAAACTCATTGGAGGAGGATTTGGAGATTCCAGTTGAAATTCAAACTCATCTGCTGACCTCTTTACCTCTATAATTGTTTCCCTTGAGCTGAAGGATTTTCTATCTCGGAGAAAGTTGTTGTTGGAAGATTCGATCGATTTACCACTGCCACTACTACTACCGCTGCTCCCGTGTAGCAGTTTATGGTGCTCATGATGATGGCTTGACGTTTTTTGCATGGCGCTTGGCGTTTTTGTCGGTATTGACCCAAATGGTGGCAGTGATAGAGCTGTTGGTGGGGATACTAATGACTCGTGGTCGGGTTTATGAATGTTGATTCTCGCCTTCGTCGTCGTCGCCGTCGTCGTAGTCGCGGTGGTGGTGGAGTGGGGGGAATTTGGCAAAGTTGACGACCACGTGGGAGCTGGACTGATGGAAATGCTGATAGGGTCAATTTTCCCATCTTCCAGCCAAGTTTTATTGTCCTTGAGATTGGCCATCGACACCATTGAAGGGGTGACATGTTGTCCAGAGTGTTCTGAAAAGTAAGGAAAATGTGAACAAAGAGTTGATTCAACAGCCTCCTGTGGTGAAGTAACGGCTTACTCCATCCAAGAACAAAGCACTCTCAACTATGTCCACATACAATGCCTCATGTCTGTTAATGCGATAAACAGAGAGACAAGGAAAAAGTGGACGACTAGATTCCGCTTCTGGCTCAGATGGTGAAATGCTATTGGGTGCTTTTATTGTTATTGTGCATTTTTGTACGAATATAGCTGTGCTCAATATGCTCTGAATATTTTATCCATTATTGCAAATGACGGGACATTAAAGCACTATCCAGGATTGGGCAGGATTTCGTAGTTGCCAAATTCGTATACAGATACGAATGCTTTTTGCTATCTTGGTGCCGTCAGCAAACAAAAAATGACATAATCTCACTGATTGTTCCACATTATTAAATCTTTGGTATTGTGAGGAGAGGCTTATTTACATTTGGAGGATTGGTTTAGCAGATATGATATTCCTCCCTATTTCGTTTTTAAGAAGAAAAATTTGAGACAAATGTATTCCACGGAAAACTTGGGAAAATTTGAAATAAACAGGTAATAACACCACCATAAATATGATATTGTGGTTTCATTCGGTCGTTTCACCAGAGATAAATGCCCAAGGCAATGCTTTCACTTTCTCTTCCGGAATCTCTTTTATTATCCAGCATTACATCCTCTCTTCCACATCCCCGCAAACTTGCTGGCTAAAGTCCAAAGTGTGCAGAATGATTTTTTGGGGGTAATGCAAATTAAAACAACATAAACTTCACTTGCAGTCAAAAATGTATTGAAGGATCATTATGATGTGGGTTTGTTGTTTAAATATACTTTCCGCTTTATCGAACAGCTTAATTTCCTTCTCTTCGGTTTGTAATACGTTTTTATCTCGAATCAGGGCGTATGGATCCATCGCGTCTGTCTATCTGTCATCTGGATAACTCTTTTTCAGCTTATCCGAGTTGAAAGTTTGAGCACATATCTGTAGTATGGGTCAAAGTAGGTCAAGTTCGAAAATGAGGCCTGAATTGGGGCTGGTGGAGGTCATTATTATATTGGTGGCAGAGACTTTATAGCATGCGAAATGGTCCTGGAAAGCTGAAATTCTGCGAATCCAGTTTCTCCGTGCATGAACTTGTGAAGGGGTAAAGAATCACTTTGTTAAGGAATGTTATAAATCCCAAATCTTAAGTACCAGGAGCCTATCTATGCATGTCCAAAAAGCGTTAGTGTGGACATGAAACGAATAATTATAACAATTTCAACTGGGAACTGCCTTTGCTAAATTTATTTTACTTTCAAGTCTGAAGCAACCCTAATTTTAGGCATTTCATTTCCTCAAAAGTAAAATGGCAGAGAAAATCTCACAGTTCAAACGAAAGTTGAACAAACGAGAAGGGCATTTTAATGAATTATTTAGCCTGGTTCTGTTCTGGATCTGAGTGGACTGGTCGAGATTTTCTTCTGTGGAGTGATGATTAGCCATTGGTTAGTGAAGAAGCATTTCAAATTTAAAACAATATCATCAGCCGCAGAATAGGATGGAATGTCCAAGAGAAAGATTTCCATTGAAGATTTTCTACTCGACTCACTCATACTCAAACTCTATTTACTTTGCTCACTAACTTATCGTTGCTCTTCAAAATTCAAGTGCTTTTTCCACCCTTCCTTCCTTTAGATTACCTAATATTTGAGGCAACCAAGCTCAACGAAGGAGATTATATTTGCACTCGTGCTTAGGGCGGATCCGTATAACTCTTGCATTTCTATTCCGCCACACGACGAGGCTCCGAGAGAACTACGCACGGAGAAGAACACTTTTTGATGGTGGTGTTCAAGACAAGAGGAAGGGAGGAAGGACAGATCGGATATTATCTTAAATTGGATGGAAAGGACCCGACTTTGTGTATGTGGGCCTTTGAATTCTTCCAGTCCTTATCTCTCGATAAGTCAGTTTTCAAGAAAATGGAGTACAAGTTTTCCTCGACAACTTCCTAGAATAATGATCAGAGAACCTAAAGTTCACTTTTCCACCCTACCCAACGTGTTGCTAGTCTAAAACACGTAACTTCCGATTACGCAAAGAAAAATACAAAAATGGCACTGTGTCAACACCGGGGGCAGTTGTAGACATTGTAATTGATGCAATGTTTAACCTGCCATTCGTTGGGTTGTCATTAACCTTGGAAGAAATATCCACTCCGACGGACGTCATTCTAAATAAAATCGTCATTTCCTTTGAGGTTACATACTTAATTTAGATTTAATTAAAAAAATCTATTTAGATGTAGCACAACGAAAGTAAAAATGTGCTCAAACTTTGTAGGGCACCGATTTAATTAAAAATTGACACATAGACACAGAAAATGAATACTGTCCGTGTCCCCAATCCCCCGAAGAACAAAATTCTGCAAAACTGAGCACGTCACATGTACTTGGGCCTTCTCCAACACCACTGGAGAAAGTTGGGTGGGGAAAAGTTGTGCTCCCCAAATGAATTTCGCTAGGCTGAAAAGAATATTAAAAAGTGGGCAGGAGGATGTGGCAGAGGTATTAATTCCGGTGGAGAAAGCGGAGAAAAATTATGTCATGAATGGGAATCACAACCAACGGAGCCTTGCGAATAGAGGAATTACACGTTGCCAAGCTGGTGCTTTTTTCTGTACATAACACATTGCCTACTTTTGGAACAAAGCAGGTTACTCGGGGTGGAAAAAATCTTGTCAACATTCTTCAGGTCAATTCACAGGTTCTAATTTTTTTTGCTAAATACATGGATTACATTCCACAATTTATTTTTTCCATCTAAAAAATTCACTAAATACGTGTTAAGCATCCTGCTTTGTTTACGAACATTACACATCAGTCTCAATAGTTGGACTACCCCTTCCAAAAAAAACCTCTAGAATTTTGCAAGTTTCATTTTTATTGCGAATTCCGCCATCACATGCAGCCTTACTTATACACTTTTAGTTTAGTTTCGCCCAAGTGTTGAGTTTGAGTAAGATGGTATTGTGATGCAGCATCACGGTTGGGTCCCTAATGCTCAATATATTTCATCCCAAGCGAAAGGAAAGAATATTATTAAGCACCCCCTTGTTATTTTCCTGTCGCACTTTTATTATTTATACATTTAGATATTCTATTTCGTTGTGGAGAAAAGAGGAGGAGTGCGGACGGAGGTATGAAGAAACTCGCAACAGCCTCCGCGTGCCTTCCGCGTCCGAAAGTTAGCGTAGTAAAAGAAAGCTGGAGCGAATATGATGATGATTCTGCTGCTGCGGCTCTGTCTCTCACTCTCTCCTCCGCATCGATGATTCCAAGATTCGACACTTACGAATACAAAAGTTCCCATCTTGGCTCGTTACTTCCCTTATGCAACCAAATATTATGAATATATCCCACGCATTCGTCCCAACTTATTGGATTTGGTACCGGATTTTTGTTATGGAAGGCATTAGCATGTTCCCAGCAAGTCGCTCATGTTTGACTATACATACGTACGTACACAAACTTTTCCCCATTTATTATCCCCCTCTTTGGCTTGCCATCCTCATCATCGGTCGGCCCGCCGAAGGTTTGCAATAGTTATTTTGATATGCAGTAAAAATTTCCTTCTTAGAAAGACAAGCACGGTTTATAAATTAAGGGAGAGCCTAAAATCAGGTCGCCTATTGTATTTATGAAGGAACCAGGATAAAGATTTCGACCACCAGCTTTGTTTTATGATGGCAACTTGGTGCACCCGCTGATAGTAATTACCATAAGTAGTCCAAGTGAAACGACTTTGTAATTTTAATGGCAGAAAAACTTTGGTATTCAAATTTTGACTTTGTGAATATTTTTGTAATTCTACTACAATGTGTATTGCTACGTATATATGCGGTGTATATACACGTGCTCACTATTTAAGTCCAGATAAATACGTACATACACATATACAATTTGTACTTTGGGTTGAAGACGCACTAAGGTTGGTATGTAGAAGTGGGATCATTTGGAAACTTTCGATCCAATAGATTGAAATCTAGACGACTGGGTTTGGAGAGGAGGCAGTTTTATCTGCGGGACACAACACGAGCCGGTTTGTAGATGTTAATGCATGGCGACGTTATGTTACGATAAGATCTGTGCCAATCTAATCAATAGAGTAGCAAAGTCAGCCAAGCCAAACCGTTATATTGCAAGTCCCTTCGTATACTCTCATTCAGCCGACTTCTTGTTTGGTTTTTGATACGTTTCGTCCAACAACCATCGTCTTTTATAGTTAGGGTCCATTACTAAAATAATATTAAGTAATGTGATGAAGGGAAAGTAGGCGGTCGAGCAGAGTGAGTTGATACCTAATTCTGTAATGCAATATTATGAAAGTTTATGGGAGATTCCATATGGTGGTTATAATACAACTTTGGTCGGTTGGTTATCGATTTATTTGGCAAATCGGCCAAGAGAATAAAGTGGAAAAGCTATCTGATGTACAGCCGCCTTGACTCTTTTTGTCCAAAATCTAAAATATGGATAAGGACTGACAGCTTAGTTCAGGAAGGAAACGGCATGATCATGAAGAAGGCTTTGGCACATCTCCAGCCCCGTTCCAGCAGCTCATTCTGGATGAAATGTTGACCACGCTCGTAATGAGCCACAAATTAAGGACGCCTGACAACGCTCCTCAGAAGTTTTAAATGCCGGTCTAATTTTTCCTGCTCCCAGTTCATATTTTATGCCTACCTAACCACATCAAAGTTAGTCGTGCTCACAAAAAATATAGAAATGCAAATGCTACGTAGATTTGTCCTAGTGCGACTCGTCTATGACTATTAGTTTGACAAAGCATATTCCCGTGTTCCATCCTTTGATAGCCAGCAGAAGAGCAGCCTCGAAAAGAAAGGAGGAAAACAAATCATATAAACCAGTCTAAAACTTTCACCTCCAGACGCATCTTCCAGCTACTCGTTTTTTAGCTAATTTATGAAAATCCTAATTC